GCAAGTCGCAATGATAAACATGATGATATATCAACAACACAGTAAATTATGTAGTGTAATGCTACAAAATAATAAATAGGAAATGAGAGAAAGGACAAAGAAAAGGGTAAGAGGAAACTGAGGGACTGAGAAGGAGAGAGAGAGAGAGGAGGAGGGATAGGGTGTGAGAGAGACAGTCAAATAAAACAGACTGAGCATTAAAATGGCAGACTCTCTCAGAACTCCGATTTGACCTGTCGTTTCCTCATTGGCTAACTTTCCACACTAAAGTTTTCTTATCGGCTCGATTTTTATTTAATCATTTCTTCTTCTTCTTTCAAACGGCTTTGTTTTGTCCTTTTCTTATTCTCTGTGCTCACTGTTTATTGACAAGGCTTACTTAACTAGGATTGTTCACACCAATTTCTGCTTTTAATGTAATTCAACGCACCCTTCATATTTTTTTGGTTGTATAGCTATCCACATAATACGGTATTTGTTTATACAATTCTCACTAAATACTGGGAAAAAATTGAATACCAAGTATTATAACAATTTAGATGATTGGTATTTGTCTATTTGACAATTAATATAATATTTGGTAATATATCAGTTTGATACACTTTTATTTCAAAAGGATTTCTGGTATTCTTTCCCTAAAAACAAATTTGTTTTTAGTTTTAGGGCATAGGTGTAATTATAAATCAGGGAGATGACAACACGTAAGTGTAGAGGAGATTAGACCCCAAAGTTTGTGGGATTAGATTAGACTGAAATACTCCTGACCCCTTCTCCTTCTGTGGTTTGCACTTTGCATTTATTATTATTTTTGTTTCCTGAAATGCAAATCAATAAAGGTCTATTTCTTGTTAATAAAAATACAGAAGAAATTATTATTGCACCACAAAATTACAAGTTCCTTTTTTTTGCTATAAATTAACAATCTCATTTAATGTTCACGAGATTGGGCTTCCGACAGTGCTGATATTTCTCTTATCATACACAAGTTCTTTAGCCATGATAAATATACCAGAATGAGTTATGATAAAATTTTATATATGGATAATGGATTCATTTACGATAAGTGAATGACACTACATCGAGAAATAAATTTCATATAGCTTCTCCAACTGCCGTAAAGACTAAAGAATTTGGCGCCATGTGAATACAATAGTACTTCTGCGAATAAATTCTTACAAATTATAACGTATAAAAATTTAAAAGCAATAAGAGTTTTAGAAAAGAAAAGGAGAAAACAAAAACGAAAGCAATAAGAGAGAATCATCACAGTAAAAACCCTAATCATTTTATAATCTTACGTGTCAAATAGTAAATGGTCATAATCGGAGTAGAGAAAAAGAATGTCGATGAAAGAAAAAGTTTGACTTGTTTAGTCCCAACTGTCAATTTCCCAGCAAGACACACATAACTTAAATATACATACGCGCTTTATTGCAAAAACAGCGATATAAAAAAAGAATATTTTGAAAACCTAGTATTTAATTTCTAGATTCTTTACTGTTGTATATATAGAAGTTGCTCGAGTGGTCATTTTTACAATAAAGCAGTCTGCTCAAAAGAGTAAAGAAAGAGAAAAAAAAAAAAGATTATGGATCCTGAAGGTTTCACGAGTGGCTTATTCCGATGGAACCCAACGAGAGCAATGGTCCAACCACCACCTCAGGTTCCTCCTCCACCGCAGCAACACCCGATTACACCGCAGACGGCGGCGTTTGGGATGCGCCTGGGTGGCTTAGAGGGTTTGTTCGGTGCTTACGGGATACGTTTTTACACGGCGGCAAAGATAGCGGAGTTAGGTTTTACGGCGAGCACGCTTTTGGGCATGAAGGACGAGGAGCTTGAGGATATGATGAATAGCCTCTCTCATATCTTTCGTTGGGAGCTTCTTGTTGGTGAGCGGTACGGTATCAAAGCTGCCGTTAGAGCTGAACGAAGACGATTACAAGAAGAAGAAGAGGAGGAATCTTCTCGACGCCGACAATTGCTACTCACCGCCGCAGGTGATTCCGGTACTCATCACGCTCTTGATGCTCTCTCCCAAGAAGGTACAATAATACTGAATCTTGTAAAAAATGATTCGCACATTTTATATACGTATTGTTTAATTTCCTTTATGTTTATTTGCAACGAATATCATATCTATTATGTTCACGTGACTAATAGATGAATCTTCCAAAGAACACATATCTGTATGAGAATTGCGAACAACGTAAATTTATGATTATGCTTTTGTTTATGATTATTATTGCAATTCTTTAAAGGCTCTACTACACTTTTATGCGAATTGATCCAAAATATAGGAGGGAAACTTACATCTATTGAACCAAACCATGTTTTTTAAAACGCATGTGTGTATAGTAAAGCTATTGTCTATAGACTATAGAGTATGCAGTTGTAGTCTGGATTTTATTTATTAGACCTATTGCCAGAAGTACGAGGATTAATGTCATGTGTATACGCATCTATAATATAATCACTGTAGAAATAAATTTTGTGATAGTGACAAAGTATATGTAGATGATTGGACAGGGTTATCAGAGGAGCCGGTGCAGCAGCAAGATCATACTGATGCGGCGGGGAACAACGGCGGAGGAGGAGGTTATTGGGAAGCAGGACAAGCAAAGATAAAGAAGCAACAGCAAAGGCGTAGAAAGAAACCGATGGTGGCGTCAGCGGAAACCGATGATGACGGCAACGAAGGTGAGGATGACGACGGGATGGATAACGGTAACGGAGGTGGTGGGTTGGGGATGGAGAGGCAGAGGGAGCATCCGTTTATCGTAACGGAGCCCGGGGAAGTGGCACGTGGCAAAAAGAACGGTTTGGATTATCTTTTCCACTTGTACGAACAATGCCGCGAGTTCCTTCTTCAGGTCCAGACAATTGCTAAAGACCGTGGCGAGAAGTGCCCCACCAAGGTATCTTTCTTTTATCTTCCAAGATCTAATCCTAGCCATTTATTTTTTTTACATATAATTTTAGAAAAATACGGAGTAAATATCAAAAATTGGTGTCGGAATTTATGGGGTAAGGTAGGGAAACCATAGCCATAATCATGGACAGCTGTTATAAAGTAAGTTTGACAAGTCACGAGTTCAGGGTTTTCATTATGATTTTCTTTTATTTTCTATTTTCATATTTTGCTATGTCTGGCAAAACTTGTAGGTTCTGACTTCTTATTTTTTCATTTTGGTTTCATCCTGTCTTCAGAATAGCAATATAGTTAGATTTCAATTTAAATTTGACAGACACCGTACGATGACGTGTCGAGTTAGGGAAAGGACACAGTCGTTTTTTTTTGTTTTCGGCTAAAACGACATGAGATAGGAAAGATACTATGTCCCCATGCATATAATGTTTGCATGCATTCACATTTCACACACATTTATAAAGATGGATACAAGACAACATTAATAGGGATTTTTGGTTTGTATATTTTTATAAAAAAATATGTTTTTTTGGTTTTATATTTTTATAAAATATTCATCATGTGTCGATATAAAAATATAGAGAAAGAGGCTATTGCTCAGCGGGTAATAAAGGGTCTTCTTCCCTCTTGTGACGATAGTACAGAATCCATGAGCTCTGTGCCATTGCTTGTACAGACGCACGTTATTAAAATCTGATTTTTACAGAAAATTTAAGCGAATAAAAGTCTATTTTTCTTTTCTTTTTTTTATTTCTCAATATTTATTTTTTTAGTTCCAAAATTTAAGTTGGATTTTTTTCCTTGTTGTCTAGTCTAACAAGGGTTATACTACCCCTTTTTTTTGACGTCACAAGGGTTATACTAACTTACGAGTACATTCTCTTTTTCTAGTATATTATATGTTTGGGAAATTTCTATTCGGTACTTTTTCTATTCTACAACTTATTTTGTTGATTTATCAAATACTGATTTTTATGTTTCTGAAAAATATGTCAATAGGTGACGAACCAAGTGTTCAGGTATGCGAAGAAATCGGGAGCGAGTTACATAAACAAGCCAAAAATGCGACATTACGTCCACTGCTACGCTCTTCACTGCCTCGACGAAGACGCTTCAAACGCTCTCCGAAGAGCGTTTAAAGAACGTGGCGAGAACGTTGGTTCGTGGCGTCAGGCTTGTTACAAGCCACTTGTGAACATCGCCTGTCGTCATGGTTGGGACATAGACGCCGTTTTTAACGCTCATCCTCGCCTCACCATTTGGTATGTTCCCACTAAGCTGCGTCAGCTCTGCCATTTGGAGCGTAACAATGCCGTTGCTGCGGCTGCGGCGTTGGTTGGCGGTATCAGTTGTACGGGATCGTCGGCCTCTGGACGCGGCGGATGCGGTGGCGAGGAGTCGCGGTACTAGCTTGAGATAGGGGGGTAAAATTAGTTGGGTTGTTGTGGTTTACTTGTTCGTTAATCTTAATTAATGATTAGTCTTTGATTTAGCTCTTTTAGCTAATCTGTCTCTCTTTCTTTTTTTGTCAACCCCTTTTGGCTAATTTGCTATACACGCAGATTTTAGAGTTATCATTTATCATTACGTACGTTACGTCAACCGATTTTTATCCAAATTAGTCGAAATCGAAGCACGTAAATACATTCGATTTTAGAACATAAAAAAAAAACCACACGTAAATACAAAAACTTTTCAAACCGAGATTATAAAACAAAAGAAATGTGAGGCAATGAGGGTGTGACCAGAAAATTACACAAAAACCTTATAAAAATTGAATTCATTAAGAGACAGGTTAATGAAGCAGCATACCGTAAAGTTCTATTACAGACATATTCGTGTTAGTCAAGTATGGGCCGAGCTGGTTCGTGACAAATTTATGGGCTGGGGATAATATATAATCTCGAAGAGGAGAGAACGGAAGAAAAAGGTCCACTGGACCCACTTTGCATTTCTTCGTGGATAATTACAAAATCCAATGATCCAGTGTGACGGATCTATCCGTGTACCCATATGCTATCAACTAATTAGATGACACCACGTCAATTGTTAACGCAACTCCAATCATATGGTGTTTACAACGACTCTGTTTGAAATTCGAATTGAACGAAGAAAATAAAGAGAATTGAGAAGGACTATTTGAAATCCGAATCCTTTCTCTTTGGACTTCTGATCCAACAATGGAGTTCCCGCCAAGAGTGTTATACCCACGGAGATTCCACGCCTCTCCGTCGCAATACACGGCGGATAAAAGTGCCGCAGCGACTGATCTCCGAGATAAGCTCGCGACGCTGGTCGATCGCAACAAGAAAGTGAAAATGGCGTACCATCAACTCCAATCGCAGATTGCATTCGGCCTTGTCGAAGTAAAATAATACATCCTCTTGACTCTTCTCTGGTTTGATAGATTTGAGCTTTGATTTAAACGATTTCGAGAGTTTCAACGAATTTGAGTGAAGTTATCGTATCCTATGATTTGGTACATTCGTTTGTTAAGTAGACAGATTCAAGCTTTGATTCGAGCTAATCTGAGAGCTGCCATGAATTTGAGAGAGCTTTTCGTATTCTAAAGGCAGGGGAAGTTTTCGATTCTTTGGCGATCCCTTTGATGAAGCTGGTTGGGCTGAAAACGTCGGAGATGGAGAGCGAAGGGAGACTCTCCACCTTCATCTTCAATACTGTAAGTTATTCAATCACATTCTCGTAGAATCATGAAGCTATCGCACAAATTTTCAGATCATACTTTATTTTCACCAGGAAAGAACTCATATGGATACTTCCCCAAATGGAGTCCATTCTGGTGATCAGAACAGTCGAATTCGCCGTTCAAAGGTAATATACATCATGATTCTTGTAGAACATGGATGCCTAAGTTATAATATAGTTTGAATACAAATCAATGAGCCAATGAGTATGATTCTGAAACTGTAAAGTGTCTAGTCAAGTGTCATTTTTGATGATTCTGAATATATATGTATGCCTGTGATGATGCTATAGATTGAATGCGAAGTAAGCAATATGATTCTGACATTGTAACGTGGCAAATCAAGCTTCCCTTCGGTGATTGAATGAGAACCAGTTGTTAGGACTCTGTTGTTTTGATGCAGACTTCTCTATAGTTTCTGTTTCAGATTTTATTAATAGCATCAGAAGCTGTTTGACAAACCATTTCTACCTATATGTGAGCTTACAGTTAATATGTAATTCCGTCTACTACAAGTGGATTTGTTTTCACTTGCAGTATTCTGTTTCTGTAGGAAGAAAACTACGCTGCTAAAGCCGAATCAGCAGGAAAAGAGATCTTGCACAAGCATAAGGGGCAGCTGAGACAGCTAGTCCATATGCTTAAGCACATTGAAACACAAGTGAATTCACATAGGGAAGACATACTGCAGATGGTTGACAGTCGTCGAACCTTCTTCCATGAATTCATCCAGAAATCTCTTTATTACCTAAGCTCGGCTCACAGCCAAAACCATGACACTTTCCCTGTCACAGTGAAGCTCCTTCGCGTACTATTTAATCACATCAACGAGGTGCTTGGTTCAGTAGATACTGGTGTTAATGATCTTATGCAGGCTTTAGCGAAGAATATGTGTAACCCGATGACCAAGTACGTAGGCAACTTGGCAGCTGAAATAAAGCTTGGCCCTTGTGTGAAACTGATGAATGTAGTGAACGAGATGGAGAGAGCAAACGCAGACACAAGGAGAGAGCTGCAAGACGCTAGAGAAAGGATTAGGCTTGCAGAAGAGACAAAGATCGAGGCTTTATCAAGGCTGAAGAAAGCTGAAGATCAAGTTCAGAGAATGACAAGCTCTGCCAGGTTTCTTCTACCCCCAACTCAGAAGAAGCAAGCAGAACAATCCATTAATGGAAAGGTAATTTCGAAACGAGCTTTTTATTTGTAAAGCTCAATGATTTAACTAAACACTAAAGGGATTTTCTTCACCCTTTTTGTCCATGTAGCGTGTAGGCGTAGAGGGAAGCCGAGAAAACGAAGAGAAACTACTTTGGGATCTACTGAGCAAAAGAAGAAAGCAACAAGAACCAGAGAGTCCAATGGGACCCAAAGAGCTCATCAAACAAACAGACACGAAGCAGAAGCCATTGGTGCACAATCGACGAAGGACTAGGAACCAAACAAGGTTAAGTTCTCAAATGGAGCGTACTGATGCTTTGATCCCACTTGGTGTGTCACCTTCTGCTAGAACAGTAACACGGAGGTAAGTAAAGCGAGCACAAGTATACACGCATTACTTGAGAATCTATCTTCACTATGCTAAAAAAAACTTTACAAGTACTCTTTTATTATGTAATTAGTTTGCACTTCTATGAGTTTGGTGTTTACTGAGAAGATCAAGTCGAGCATGACTAACAACTTGAGTCTAGATATGCTTCTATTTCAGAGCGAAACAACCATATTTCTCTAATAACATTAGGTACTTATAAATCAAATTACACTCTGCAAAAGTTCTCGAAATAAAAGTGTTGATGATCAAGCTTTTCTTTTCAAACATTATATATAGTTTAAAGAAAAACCAGAAGATAAATCATTTACCATTTTATCATTTATACTGTTTATCAAATTTGAATATAAAGAAATTTCCAAATGATTCTAGAAAGAGGACTACGAATTTCAGAATTATGTAAGTCACTCAAATAATAACCAGCAGTATAGACTGAAGACACATATAGTTTACTTGATCCGGAAGTGATTTCTATCTTTGTGTAGATGAACATGTGTAATTCCAACCCAAAACGAGAGAGACTTGATTGAAAACTCCAAAAGTACTTTACATTCATGTTATAGACCAAAAGAAGACTTGTTTTGAACTGGATCATGCCACTGTTTTCTAGGTTTTAATACATGGATACGATTTTGTTACGCCTTCGATCCGACAGCTTCATAAAGCAGAATCACTGGCCGCACCTTCTTTTCCTCACAGAATCTGACCACACTCCTCCAGTCACCAACATCCTATGGCATCACCACAACATATATTATCAACAATGTCTGGCCTCTTATCTAAATTCACTACTCAACACAAGGAAGACAAAGGCAACTGTTTCGTCTCTTACCTCTCCTGCTAACGACTTACGTCTGAGATTGACCCATTGGTTCTTCTCATAAGCTATGCAGATGTGTTCGTCTTCTTCAGCACAACCAACCTGCATCATATCCCATTTATTCTTGAGACTTTAACAGAGAAATACAGAAGAAGAACATCACAAACATTTGAGACCCTTTTTTTTTACCATTGACACAAGCCGGTAGATAGTATTTGGTTTTAAGCCTTCGTACAGCCTGCTGATATCTATCTCCGACTCCAAGGCTTTTGTTGTTTCAGATATTTCTTTTTCAGTATCACTTTTCTCCCATTCTAACACTAATGATCCCCACAAAACACCAACGTTGTTTTATTATAAGCAATAACAAATGAAATGAGTCTTATGAGATCGCAGTCATGGTGAATAAAACTTACCGATTGTGAAGATAGGTGGACATCTACTCATAATGTGATGAACAAAGTTTGTCTTCCCACAGCCTCCTGTTTTGATGTCGCATAACATATTATATTCCATGCGCACCATTTTAAGGATATCCACAAACACAATATCCCCAAAAGCACACTGCATATATAATAGCACAGAACATCTTTATAAGGGGAAGTACCACTTTCTGTTAGGTAAGACAAAGAGCGAAATAAATGAAACATACCTTCAGGTCTCTGATTGAATCTGCAGCCATAAAAATTCCATAATAACTCTGCTCTGGATAATTTGTCTTCCTTCCACATTTTCTACAACTCATACTTTCATTTTCCTCCAACGTAAAAAGGCGAGTCACCAAGCTTTCTCTTTCTGAATTTTTCCAGCAATGCCAAGACTCAAGGATGTTTACTAGTACCATAGCAGCATCAGTCGACTGAAAAGCGTGAAAAAGTACAGTTACTTGTAAATAAGCTTATTGACAGATAATAATATCATCATGCTTAGAAGCTTATCTAAACCACACGAACCATTGAAAGAACTTCTTGAGCAGCAACTAAGTCACTCAAGATGACACCGTAGAGTCCGTCAGTTTTTATCATGTCTGATTTCAAAGCAGTAAAGAGATTTTGTAGCGCACAACGAACTTGTGTTTCCAGGTCGTCATGAAGTGGTAGCTCATTGTGCTTTAAATCTTCTTTAAAAACGTTAATGTACAAGAGGGCCTGCCATACCACAGGGAACAAGAAGGTAAAGAGATATGAAATGAGCTGAATCAGAAGATGACAGCTTAGGTATTGAATCTTGTTTTTTTGCTGGTAAGTGCTTCACCTTTAGCGTCATGTCAAGAGCTGAGTTGTATCTGACTGCAGCTCCTCCAAGCACTGACTCCAAATTTACCGACGGTGAAGCTTCTCCGGGCACGTTTTGCATATCTTGAAGATGGCGAAAGAAAGAAATAAGAATTCTGCACCTCAAAGCTAAAAAAAAAAATCAAATGATTTGTCAATTAGGAAGTTCCTTTACAACCACCGTCAACTATAGTAGCTTCCACTTGAATGTCAGTGTTGGATGAATCTTCCAAGCGACCTCTTTCCCTTGCAAGAGTATCTTCTGGTTCCATCGAATCTTCTTCCGGTTCAAGGTTGACACAAGGTTCACTGGACAAGTAAGAACACGTTTGCTCAGAAAAAACCCGAAACAATTAATCAACACGCAAAAGAACTCTTGAGGTACTTACTGTTCAACAGTCTTATCAAGGGGACTAGACATGCTCGTTGAAGTTATCTGTTGTGCCTGGAAGACCATTCATTCTTACAACCAATTAACCGAAAAGCCAGAGACGCAATTAGAGGATTTAGAACATCAAAGACCTTGATGCTTTTAGTTTTCTTCTTCTTCTTCTTTGCCTGTAACTTCTCCTCTTTGAGTAAAAGATCTGCTGCTGCTGCATCTGCTGCCTCTGACTTGCTTTTGGATTCCATATTTACAATTTCATTCTAGACAAAAAGAGTCATGAAAACATATAAGAAATACCAAACCAGACGGGAAATGAAAGCTCTCTGTATATAATCAAAGTTTTGAACCAACCAGCAAGAAAGGTTTCAGGAATTGAAGCATATAAGAGCGGTTGTCAAAAACAAAAAGCTCGGCGAGGGTGTTTAGCAATCTAATCCGTGAATTATCAATCAGCAATATCTTTGAATCAATTAGCAGAACCTGCAAGTCACGTATATATGTTTAGATGGATAATTATATTGTCTTTCTTTTGCTGTTAATGAATTTCAAAACATGAAAGAACCTTGTGGGTGACCAATGATTTCAGAAGGTCTATGGACTTCAACACTAAACCATCGCTGAGACTTTTACGCTTGCGTATAAGATTCAGGCTATCTTCTAACTCAGGGAAATCAAACGTCGGATGTGATGCTCCTTCGAAAACATCTCGTACTGCACCCAAGAATAATTTTGTATTGAAGGAATTATCGGAGACTTTCTCTTCGCATCGATCGCATAGAAGAGACGCATAGCTGTTCCATTGATCTTCCGGAAATCTCATTCTTCTATTAGCTTCGCTCATACATAGGTTCTCCACGACAGTAAGAGCTGCTTCATAATCTAAGACCAGCTTTTTCTTTGCGTATTTGGTTCCCAATGTTGTACGTATGAACTGGACAGCTTTCAGAACAGCCATCCAGATATCGAGATTGTGTTCCCTGATAGGTGTAGGAAAGCTCTTATCAACTGAAGAGTAGTCACATAACCAGGATATGATATCATCTCCCTGAGCCTGTGCCTTGGCGTAGTGAATATTGGGATCAGCAATTAAATTGATTTTCCCATCATCATCAAATAGAGCATTATTGCTTTTCAACAGTCTTTTATCCAAAAGCACAAATGAATAGTGAGAGTCAAAGTCGATCTTTTCTTTAACTCGAGTACGATCCAAAAGACTGTCCACTGCTCTGCAGACTAGATCTGTACCATCATTCCTTTCACACTTTATCTTCTTTAGAAAGTCTCGGATTTGATTGAGGTCATGAAGTTCCAGAAAACAGATGCTCTGTGGTGTTTCCAGTAGGTGAGAATCGATAAGACTCTGTTCGGAAACCTCAAGTCTTCGAAGATACTCAGCCGGAAAACGCATCAGCCAGTCTCGAATGCTACCGGAAAAAATGTTATGGTCACAGAGCGACACAAGGAGTAAATTGATTTCCTTGAGTACATTACTGCGCTCTTCATCCGCTGCGAAAGGCCATTCCTCTGACCAACCTTTCCTTTTAGATTTAGACGTAAACGCTTTCACATCCGTGAGGTGATTTTTGATCATTTCAACAGCAGCTACTGCATCGACTGGTTCCCAACCTCCAGCCATTATCTTCTGAGCCCAGTTTTTCCCTATCCTTTTGACCATATCCATTTCCGAAGAAGGTTTAAAACCTGCAGCATGTTCTTCTTCAAGATGAGTCTTACATTCTTCAGCACTAGAGAACTCCTTCAAACATAAAGTTCGACACACCCAGAATGTCCATTTGTCGTTTTCCCTGGCAAAGGCGAGAACTTTTTCGAAAGCATCTCGTCCCTTACTTTCATGTACTCCGTCGACAAAACCTGTAAGCTTTTCAATGCTTACTATCATGAGATCCCTTTTGATCTTAACATCTAAACCCACCCAGTACGACCTCAATCCACTAAACTCGTCCTTAAGCGGGTGCGGGTCCGGACTTTTCTTTGACTGCCAAAGTTTTGGCGCTAACGAGCTAGCCTTGGAAAGAGCGAACTCTGCTTTCTCTATTAGACTCTCCAGCTCTTTCCTATCTTTGTCTAGTAGTTTCTCTCGCAGTGTACCAGTAGGACTCGGCAAATCTGGGTAAGGAACATATAACCCCTGTTTTGCTTTGCGCAAGAAATTCTTGTAATACGATACTGACCCAAGATCTTGGGCCAATTTGAAGAGCACGCGAGCACAAAACCCTGATGTCTCCGCTTTTTCCGATGTAGATCCTAGAGCACCCAACAAGTATGCGATCTCCATGTGAGTTCCCTTCGATTTTTGCGCTAGTGCCCGAAATTGATCACCTTGGTCGAGATGAAGAAGCCATAAATGCCTGTCTTCCTTATGGGGTAAGACCAGATAGTCAAGTATCTCCAACGCCTTGCTGTAATCTCCATTCTCGTGGAAATCTTTAACATTTTGGTAGAGTTTCTTCCCCTCAACGTCTTTCATGAAAGCAGGCTCCATGGAAAACGATTCTCAAGATTTGTTGCAGGCTTTCAAGAGTTCTTTTTTCTTCACGGAGAGAGAGAGAGATTTTGTTTGCGAGAAGAAGCGGGAAAATCAACAAACGTATATAAGCAAGTAACTGAAGAGGCTCGCTTTTATCACGTGAGATCCACGTGACAAGGCTTGGTGCCATAGAAAGAAAGAAAAAACAGAGACCCGATTCTGGGGAATTCTATCAAACACCTTGTGTGCATTACCCGCTTTTGATTTCCCCGGAATAAGTAAACAAAAATTCAAATGAATCTTCGGATTTGGCTTAGAAAGATTTAAAAGTAGAATGTTCTTCATGTCTGGGATGAATTTAATTCGCGAAAATGTTTGGACTTGAAAGATCAACAATAAGACGCAAGAGATTCGATGATTGAAAAAGCAAAGAAAAGTGCCATTTTATCATAGCTGGAGGAAAGTGTTCAAGCAGCATAGAGATCGACACGTGTCTAGATTCATAATCACGCGCGCTCTCTCTCTCTCTCGAAACCGGAGGGACTTACAACAGTGGGCTTAAATTTATAAGAAACAGGCCCAATTTAATCCGTGGGCTTATATTATAAGAAATAAGCCCGAGAGGCGGATGTAACCGAATATCTAGATTAAAGCTGTGGGCTTTAATGTATAAGAAGCAGGCCCAGTTAACCTTCCGACGTCGGTTAGGGTTCTATTGATCATCATCTGAAACTCGTACCTCCGTCCAAGAACGCAGAAACCTTTAACTTCCGATACGAAAATTTAAGTTCGTACCGTCTCTTGTGCTCCTGGTATGGTTCTCTATTCGATTTATCTTCATATACTCGACTTGTCTCTGTTTCAGATTCTACTTCGTGTTTTTTTTCCTCTTTTTCTTCTGTTTTTTTTTTTGTAAAGAGAGATCTCAATCCGTAATTATATTGCAGGTATCTTAAAGAGTGTTGAAAGAGAGATTACGTCTTTCCATAGTTTTCAATCGTCTTCCCGATGGTATGTAATTTCCCTGCCGATTGTTTCTTTATTTTGAGAATACAACTGACGAGAAACAGTTTTATTTATTATGAGATTCAAAAGTATTCTCAGTACTTGATTACTACAGTTATCGAGATTTATTAGAAGATTTTTAAAAAGTTAAAATTTTTAATCGACCCGAAAAGATTTTGAAAATTTGTGTCATCTCCTGTGACCTTGATTGCTTGTGAGATCCCCGAGTTTAGCATAAAGGGGAAGCCTTTATGTAATGTGGACTGACAATATTTTGTTTGCAGGCTACGAGACTTCTTGCGAATTTGTTAGTCTACAGCTCTGCAGCCATAGTCAGGGCTTGTGGTCAGGCTTATCGTCAGGCTCTTACAAGTATGTGTCTTTTAATTACAATGTTCTTCTGCTCTGCTATTTTGTTTCTTAACAAAAAATTGTTTGTAAATCATAACATTGTTTGAACTGGTCACAGATGCATCAAAATCGGGGGTTGCGCATGAAGCAATGCAGAATGTTAAGAGTGGAAGCAGAAGGATGATAAGTGAACCAGAAGCTAGACAGATTCTTGGTGTAACCGAGAAATCATCTTGGGACGAGGTTCTACAGGTTTGTCTCGCTTCGCAATGCATTTTGTTATCATAGACAGAAAGAAAAAAAAAAAAATCCATTTTTGTTATGAACATTGTGTGTGTGTTATGTTTGTTGTAGAAATACGATACTTTGTTCGAACGCAATGCGAAGAACGGAAGCTTTTATGTCCAATCAAAGGTCCATAGAGCTAAAGAATGCTTAGAGGCTGCTTACCAGAAGAAACCGGAGGGAATTACAACAAGCACATAAACAAACGATTGTGTAGTTTAGAAGCAAATCTTGAATATCAACTTTTGTGATACATGTGTTAAGTTTTCTTGGTGTCTCTAAACCGGTTTTGGCCCGAGAAGTTTGAAAAAATTGGATAGAGTGACGGTGAAGGGAAATAATACGGCCGCAAAGGTTGAAATGAGAGAAGGTCGGTGAAGCCGGCGTTCGGACACTCACCCACTCACCGGCCGTTGTTTCAAGTCAGCGTTTTTATTTATTATATTGACTTTTCAAGTTCTTAGGTATACACGTTGAATTCCAAAGTCTGTCGAGTTGAATTATCCTTAGATTTCTGAAGCTGTCTATTTCATTCTAGTACCAAAAAATAGTGAATAACAAAATCGCACGTAGGATAACACACGTGCTGTTTGTGTAAGACAATTTTGTATTGTGTTGTCCCCTTTTTTTTTAATTTCATTTGTACCATCATTACACAACAACTTGATGATGAAATTCAAAGACGGTGAGATGCGGTTTTCACTATCCTCTTCTCTTTTTTTTTGTTCCTTTCTACTTTGGTCAAAGGATTCGAACCAGTTGATAGAGTTCCACTAGTTAGAAACCAAGTGGAGTAAGACTTTGAAGTCCAAGTCCAAGCCCAAGTGGGTTTCATCATAAGACATGTTCGTTGAGAACCGAGAGTGTTCAGCAAAGTTGTGGAGGTGTCTATCACGCGTCTTAGCCTATTATCGTACCAATTTAACACAACAAGGAACCTTTTATTTATTTATTTATTTATTTGAAGTTGGGATTATGTGTTTCAAGTGCACATGTCGACTGCCTAATTTTGCCATTCACACGACAAACTAATTGCTTATTTAGAAAAGCTATTTCGCAGATGAGATGGCATTTGATCACACCATAATTGACATTTTATCATCTATATTTGATGTGTATGCCACTATGCCTCATGTCATATGCAAATTAATTATGATTTGCTGAGATTCGAACCGGTGAGTTTATGTTGTGATGACCAAAAAAGTGGTGTAACTAATTATATTTAATTTTGAAAAAAAGAAAGAAACTTACACGTTCAAGAAACATTAACGAACAAAATATAAAAGACAAAACATTCAAGAATCAAATCATCTCTTCATCACAAGTAACATAAATCTCTTATATATATATCATATCAAAAACCCGAGTAAGGAGAGGAAGAAGGCCAAAATCTGGCATAATCTTGATCTTCTTGTTGCCTAGAAGAGCCACCAGAAGACGAAGAAGTTGTTGCAGCAGTAGTAGTAGTTGATAAACTATGATCATGAGACATTGAAAGTCCACTACCGCTGCCATATCCACCGCCCAAACTAAAACTCAACATATCATTATTACTCCCATCTTGATAACTATACTGGTTATAGTATGGCACATTTTGCGGCTCGGTTTGATTGGAGGAGTAGTAAGTAGAGTTTGATAGCTGACTATTGGTACCATAATTATCACTTCCAAGCTGAACCCTCTCAGGGAAATTGAGCTTGGCTTTGCTTCCTTTGAACTTAAGAGCTGCTTCATCATAAGCTAATGCCGCTGATTCTGCGGTTTCAAATGTCCCGAGCCACACACGTGCTGCCTTTTGCGGATCTCGAATTTCAGCTGCCCATTTTCCCCATGGCCTTTGCCTTACCCCTCTATAATGCCTCCTCCCCACGTTCCCTTTATATCAATCACAACAATTGAAAATGATAAATTGCATAGTAATGTGATTACATTTTACATGCTCAATGTATGTATTTAGATGTATAAGGAAAGCTATCCAAATGAAAAAAAAAAATAACATTTTATGATAACATAATTTAGTTACAACCAGGACCGTCTATATTATTTACATTTGCTATTAAAGTTGCACAAAAATTCCAACTAATTTAACATAGACATGAGCGTACATATATGATATACCTTGATCTTGATGCGTAGAAGCATTAGGGTCTTGTGGATTATATACAGAAGGATGATCATGAGAGCTGCTTTGTTGGTTCCCGATTACTTGAGTCAAAGCCGAGACCATAACACGCATGTCGTGTTGAGATCGAGCCGAGAAGACCGGGAATAGGCTCTCATCCTCATCGGCTTCTTCCTTTTCGTCAGGTTCATCGCCTCCAAAGGGCATCTTCCCATAGATTCGAGGATCCACTTTTGCTAGCTTTTATTTAAAATATATAGAAAAGAGAACAAATTGGATATAGGATTTAAAATCAGTTTTTCTTTGAACATCAAGAGCAAGATGGGCGATAAAGAGAATGAGGAAAGAGAGAGTAAAAGCTTCTTGGGGTTTGCAATCTTTTGAGGCTTTTATAGAGGAGTACTCTTTCTACGTGTGAACATAGGACCTTCAAAATATATACGTTAAGCACTTAAGCTTGATTTTGTTTTTTGTTTTTTGTTTTTTTGTTTTCATATTCATTTGTCTTTACTAAGCTGTTTTTAATGTATTTTAGTTTTGTTATCGTATTTTTGTTTTTTTTAAAACTATGTTTGTACGATCAGTACGAATCGATGTTTTGGGGCCTTAAAATGAAGACATGTATAAAATGAGAAATGTTTGTTAAACTTTTCCTAATGAGGAAAGTGCATGTGTATTTAAATATAAGACGAAAGGATATATTTTATAAAGACTAGTAGTATATATAAAAGGTACTTCACGAGATGGAAAGATTAAACATGGAAAAGTCTAGCTAAAATAATAAAATAAAGAAGAGGGAAAAATGCATGCATGTTCACGTTTTGTTTAATTGTTTTATCTTCGTAAAAGGGTTTAACACACTCAAGGACTCGCGAGGGAAAGCAATAGTATTCTTTCTGAATATTAATTTTAATTGAAACAAATATCAGAACACTCTCGTGTTCTTACGAAAAGCTGTAAATGTAGTGTAAACCGACAATTTGTTTTTTCGTCAAACCGACAGTCTCCACAAAGATGAATGCGATTAAAAAAAAAAAATCTACAATGTAAAAAGTTTGCTTTGTGAATCAAGCGTGAGCAACACAAAATGGCAATATGAGTTTGCGTACGTGTGAAGTGAATCTAATTTTAAAATTAAGGTTTGACTCAATGTTGGCAACACAAAAGACATTTTAAAACCTCTGAATCCGAGAATCGTGTACACATCCAAATCGACCGAATTAAAAAAAATAATGAAACCATTGAAAAATTAACATTAAAAAAGATACACTTTATTCATTCATATATAGATACAGATTTATACTCATAGATGTAAAAATGATTATATTGTTGAATCACGTTGTAGACAATTATACATCTAAAAATGCTTTGCTAGTAAACAAATGAAGCAAGGCAAGAAAATCGTGAGACAGTCTACATTTTCCTCCTATATATGATTAAAATCTTAAAATCATGCTTTCTTATTATAAAAATCATATTTTAGAAGGATTATTTCCGAAGACTCTGTTACAAATAAGTTAAAATAAAAATATTTTGGGACCTTTTCAAAAGATATTATTGCCTTTTATCCAAAAAGTTTTCGTATTTGAATAACTAATAAGTCATGACCAAAAAAAAAAAAGTCAACAGCTAGCTAACTAAGTTGACAGGTAAAGAACTTTTGAACAATGTGTCAAGTGGGTTATAGTGTATAAGACTTGTAAATGCAAATACCAGCCACTTTGACTCGCAAGATGTGTGAGTTTAGGTGTTAGGTTCAACTACCATTTCCCTAACCGGTGGTTTATTTATGTTTATGATCACATTTTTGTTAATTGAAAGCATTACTGTTTTAAGTCGTCTAACTCTAATAGATCGTAGGTGGCTAAACACATTACTGCGATGCTTTACTATTCATCAATTTTTTATTGACTTTTTAGGTTATAGTTTGTTTCCAAATGTCAAAACATGTGAAAACGATAAATCGATTTTCGGCTCTAATTTCAATGAATTAAGGTTGATTTCGATGTCTACGATGTTCTTGTTGATAAAAGAAAAGATGCACACATCAGATCGCTATGAATTTCCGAATATTGAAAAAGGAGAAACTTTCCAATACAAAACCAAACCGATGTGGTACTTGGTATTATCACTCGCTTTCATTCGAAACTCTTTACATCCAAGATTCAGTAAAAGAAAACAGAAACACGAAAGTAGAAAATGCCATTTTATAGAGCTTATAACCCCAAAACGGCGGCGTTTTTTGCCGTTGTAGGAGTCCAGCCTGTTGTAGAGAAGTATGTATATACTGTATGTACACTTTCCTTTGGCAAATCAAGTTACAGAGACCATCTTTTCACGGAGGAATTGGCTTCATATTACGGATTCTCATATACGTCAAAAACTGCGAAGGCAATTCCGCAAGAAGGGCTTGTACCACAGAGATCTCTCCGTCTGCAAAAACACCAACACTCGTTAAATTGCGTTCATGCGTTTCCTGCGATTCAATTCAAGAATCAAACATAAACTTACGTTGGACGTCACGTAATGCCACAAACTGAACGATATCTCGTGAAGCCACTCGTCCGCTCGAGCTCTCCAATCTTTCTCCTCTATCCGCGTCTAGTATCTAAGAGCCCCACCAAAACAAAAACACAGTTTACAGTTACGCAAGATCATACATAGTTGTAAGAATCTTTAATGTCTTTTTCTTCTTAGAAGACATATAAGCCTTTTTTTTACCTCCATCTCTTTAAAATCGGCTCCTCCAACTCCTACGATGAGGATTGATAAAGGTAAATCCGATGCACTGACTAATGCATCTTTTGTTTCTTGAAGATCTGTTATAACACCATCCTGAAACAAGTTTTTTTTCAAAATGGTTTATAAACATTGTTTGATTTTGTTATGTTATGCTATTTGATGCTAGTTTTTCTTATATGCACTCACTGTGATGATTAGTAAGACGTAATATCTCCGGGAACCTTGAGCTAGAGACTGGCTGGCGATAGTCGCAGCAGAGTTAATCACCGGACCAAAAAGGGTTGGCCCTGCAAGAGAGACGTTGAAGAGCGCACTGGTGTATGAAGTCATGATTCCTTGAATCCCATCCACCTGAGACAGGAGAAAGACAAAGAAAATTAGATTTGCGAATCCCAAAACACATCAAAAGTTTTTGATTTTAAAAGATACGCTGAGTCGAGTTTGTTTACCTCACAGTATGAGCTGCTTCCGTTGAGGTTGAAGCAATGTGAAACTGGAGCGTCGATTGGACGAGCTCCGAATCCCCACGCAGGGAAGCGTTTGTCTGAGTCATAAAACTGCAATACTTCTCCAACATCCACTATTGCCTGAAGAAGAGATCATTGTCGGTTTTAGTCACAGTCACTGCTAATTAAGAAAATGGAATAAAAGTCGACTCCTCACTCTCTGGTAGGCATTTAATCGTCCTGAAGGATCAATGTAGTGCAAAGAATCAGGGAGGCGTGGATTTCCGTTTGAAGCTGAAGAACAAACAGAAAAGTTTCAATTAGTACACAGGAAGGCGACGGAGGTAACAAAATAATTTCTTGCTGATAGGTTAACAACAAGAACATCATATATTGTATCAAAAGTTTTTAGGAATCTCTGCAGTGGTGCAACACATACCTGTGAAATCTATTGCTACCATGAAGCTTAATTCAAACCCAGATGCCAAGTATTCTAGGAATGTGTGCTGGACAGTCTCGGTAAACTTGTCCACAAAAAGCTGGCTCTTTAACACCTAAATAAGTGACATATGGTATTAGATAGCTTACACATGAAAAGGCATGAAAACGTTAGGGAATCTTTAGTACTGGTTTATACCTTGTTTTGCCCAGCACCGGTAGGCAAAGATAGATTGATTCCTTGGCGAGCCAAATGAAGTTTTTCCAAGTCTGAAAGTGATTTCTGAACTTTTCTGGCCACCCAAAATAAACGAGTAACAATGTCAGACCTAACAGCTTGTATAAGTCAGTTCAAAAATGAGAGAGACTGAGCTCGAAGATTTTGGTTACCCGATCAGACTGTGTTTGCCATTGGAGTTGAAGTCTGAACATTCTATTATCAATGGGCTGTCCTGCAGGATTATAGAAGAAAAAAACTTGAGACATAAGCATCTCAAACAAAGAAACACACTTTCCATTCATATACATATCTTTGGACCAAATCAGATATAAGAAATCTCCTGTACCTTACTCCCCACTTGTTGAACGCTTAGAAAGACTGGTTTCCAAATAGGGTTAAGATCGTTCTTCAGGACTTCAGTTTTAGACACCGGGATTGGAGTTCCATGCTCCACAATCTTTGATACCACCAAAAAGGGGTCCTAAGGATGAGCAAACATAAAACGGGTTATATATATGTATGAAGTATGAACTATGATTTTAGTAAAATGGCAACGAGAATAATTCCACAAAACTTACGCTTTTTGAGAAAAGATCCTTAGATTCCAAACTCGAGCATCTGAATACTATCTCTGTTGAAATCTTAGAAGCAAGGGACTCCTCACCATGGATAATAAGCTTTCCATCGTGAGGCTGACTCTGTGCGGCAAAGCCTTCTTTACGCTTGAGTTCTAACGTGATCGTCCTAGTTGGTTTTGTGATTATCTGCGTGGTTGAAAAGTCAAAAAAAAATATAAAGTAATTCTCTTTTCTACTGGGTCTCTCCAAGAACCAGCAAACAAGTCTACATATATTACAATGCCAATATTCGGTCTGTAAAACAAGAAAGGATGTCATTTAAACAGTTGATACCTCAGACAATGCACATGTTGCCTCACCGAGAAACTGCTGTTCGTCAAGCTTAAGCATCTGAAAAAGAGTAAATTTTGATACTGAGTGTCACTTAACGAAACAAAATACAGATTTTTATATGCACCAGTTACAGTATTGACATTCATCAGATCAAAATGAAAATGCAGGTATACGATTAGCAGTTACCTCCTCTTTTGAATTTTGATACTGAGTGTCAACATCATACACACGAAACCTGTTGTATAAAACAGCCAACAGAACGAGTCATTTACTCTAAAGGTAAAGGTTTAGAATCTCATTCCTCAGTCATATACATATAAAGATTGAGAATCTTACAACAATGTCTGCACAGTCTCGAAATGATAAGCGGCCGTAAATTTCTTGATCCATTTAGGAGCTAAGGAGTTCAAAACAACTTCGCTGCGGAACACTTCGGAAAGCGTTGCATCTTTTTCCTTTTTGTAGACAACAACCATAGGATCACTCTGTGGAAAAGAATGCCATCAATATAAGAAAATTCCAAAAAAAAAACAATTAGAGGAGACGATTTTTGAATTACAACTAACCTTGGAGAGCACGTCCCGGTCTCGCAAATTGGAAGCAGAAAACGATAGCTGCAAAAAAATTCGAAAATTATCAGAGAAAATCGAAAACCTCCCACTCTCCGCAAAATGATGAAATTCAAACGTAGCACATGTATATTGTTAAACTTCACATTACGATGAAATTGCGATGAAATATAAAATGATGAAGAAGGAACCTCGATCTGAGAGAAGAGTCCGTTGAAGCCTCGAGACTTGAGATAGTAATCAACGGCGTCGTTAGTAGTGCCGAGAGCGGCAGAGGAAGCAGTACCACCTACGCCAGCTATAGCACCGGCGCCGGAGGAGACATCGGAGCAGCAGTTACCCATAGATAAATCCTCTCGAGTTCCCAGAAAAAAAAACAACTGTGGTTGATCAGAAGCACCTGGACGGAACAACACAGGCGATCATTTTTGACGAACGATGGAAGAAAATTCAGAACCCAAAAAAAAACAAAAAACAAAAATCGAAGAAGGCAGTACACGGGACCCACTTGTCCAACTCGACCTTTTTCTTTCATTGACAGGGCTCGTCCCTATTTATACTTGTTTTTTAATTCATTTTCTTATAATTGTTTTTAAATAAAACCGACTTTTTCATTAAATTAAAATTGACTTACGAGAAGGATAATTTACACGAAATATCCAAGAAACGTTCAGCTGTTTTCTAAGAAATTCTCTCTGTAAAAGCTTTTAGTAAACGTCCTGGTCAATTTATATGTACGAGAGAGATCATTTTAGCCAGTAATTAAATAAAATACTCAGGAAACATATTCATACGACACAATTTTTTTAATTATTGTTCTTTCTCTTACCTCCACATGAAATGTTTAGAGTGTTCAACAAATTAATTAAACAATTACAGTAGTTTTAATTTTAAAAAGAGAATTAGTTAGGACATTCAACTTTTTTCGTTTAAAGGGACATAACATTTAAATTTACCAGACCTTAGTCCTTTATAAGCTCTGGAAGATGCCATGGCCCATGTTATTTGGGTTTATTCTGAATATATGATATTCAAATACTAGTTGATTCTTTAGTCATTTGTTGGCAATACAATATTGTTAAAACATCCATTTTATTGTTAATTATGATAGGCTGTTCAATATATATATTCAGCAGAACAGTTGATTTCCATCTAAAATATATAAATCATTGTAATCAACATATTTCTTTAATGATATATATAATTCCTTCTCCTTCTTTCTTTGCCAACTGGATGTATGATTCTTTTATTGAAGAATTGTAATAATCATAGATTTGTTCTCACAGAAATTTTCAGACTACATTAAAGTTGTTGCTATTGGCGTAATTCTTTGGAAAAACACTACAATTGCCATACAAGTGAAGGTAGGAAACAGTGAGGGACTTTCACGTGAGAAAAATTTACACATTTAGATCATTATTACTATGGAGAGAGACCGTTATAATTTATATACATTTAACACGAGACGTATGGTTTACACAACTCAGAAATTTTGTGGAAACAATAGATATTATAAATCAGTTTATATAAATAGGTTAGATAGAAATGTATATACCTTTCAAAAGTGGATAGGATAGAGATTTATATAATGGAAGAAAGAAAAACACGTTATGATAAATTTAATTAAATCTGTAAAATTTTGGATTTTGTTCTCAAGTCCCACCCAAATGGCCTCACGTTATTTCGAGACAATTCAGAGAAGCGGGTCTGAATTTGTTTGTCCAATTTCAGTTTTTTCTTTGTCAATAATATTATGTATGACAGACACAACCACCACCATCCACAAAGCTGTAAACTGACAGGAGTCAGGACCATTGACACACAAAAAGAAGAAGGAGAAGGCAGGACCAGAACCTAATAAAGGTAAATCATATAGGGAGGAAAAGATGCGACTCAAAATCTTCTAATCGGAGAAAAGTTTTTTTTTTCTTTTTAAAAGGAAAAAGCGAAGAGAAGACAAACAAAAAAACAAAGAACATGTGAGTTGCTGCAATGCAAGTGCTCAAACATACATAGTGGGAGACTTAGGACACCAGAGAAACTCAAAACCAAAGCAATCTTTTTGTCTAGCACTTAGGGCTTAGGGTTTAGGCCAGTTAATCTACAAGAGTCAATACGCATATTCTTGGTCCCAAGTTTGATTATTCTTAATAGCAAATCCCAAAGTATTAAACATGAACATACTAAAACAACTGTTTCCGGAGAGCTTGTGATAAAAGAGTTATTATATATTTTATTTATTTTATATCCCAATCAGAATTGCATTTCACATTGCACTTCTGAAACGAGACTTTAAGAAGTTTTATTGGTTTGAGGAATTTCCTCAATCTTAGCGCATAAGATATGTAAAGTTCATATAACTTACAGCAAGCGAGCTGGAGACTCTACCTTTTTATGTCCTTGTCCAATTTTTCCAGTGAGTGCACCAGTTCGAGTCCATGCTTCTCCACCACACACACAAGTTTCCCAGATCCTGCAAAGCTAAAGAGGTTTTCAGCATCATCATCATCAAACTGCTACTAACCTGAATCGAAACAATGTTCCTCAACTGAGTTTGAAAATTCACTACGTACACGAGAGTTACCAGAGTCCTAGATTGGCAACACTTTGCTTTAACAGTTTTAAGATGCTTGGTTATAGGTTGTGCTTGTATCCGCTGCGTAAGGGTAATAAGACTGATTCACCGCATTCCAGTCTCCTGTTGCGTAATATGCCTGGCTTGCAGCATTCCAATTAGTTGTCCCAGGAACCCCTGGTATAGAACCTTGCGTCACAGCCTGTTGAGTGTATGCACCAGCTTCAGCACCGTATTGCGTGTATCCAACAGCTTGAGCATGTGGTTGCGTTGTGTATACAACGGCTTGACCATCTGGTCCCAGAGCGTACCCAGCTGCTGCATCATAGGGTTGCTGAGCGTATCCAGTTGCCGCAGCATGGTGTTGCTGAGCGTACCCAGTTGCTGCATCATGGGGTTGCACAGCGTACCCTGTTGCTGCATCATGGGGTTGCAGAGAGTAACCAGTTGCTGCAACATGGTTTTGCTGAGCGTGCCCAGTTGCTGCAACATGGTGTTGCTGAGCATACCCAGTTGGTGTAGCATGGTGTTGCTGAGCGTACCCAGTAGGTGTAGCATGGTGTTGCTGAGCGTACTCAGTTGCTACAGCATTGGGTTGTTGAATATATCCAGGTCCACCAGCATAGAGTTGAGCAGTATGCCCCATAGCTGCATAATGCTGCTGTTGTGGGTAACTGACTGATCCAGCATATAATTGTGCAATTTCTTCCACAGTCCCAAGCTGTGAATGCGTGGTGTAGTTACCAGTTGCTCCAGCAGCAGGTTGTGGGGCTTCACCATTTGCCTGTGTAGGATAACCAGCTGACTCAGTATGAGACTGAGCAACACTAACTGCCTGCAAGGACACTGTAGTATTTGGAACTGTAGATGTTACTGGGTGATAGTAGGTCCCAGCAGGAATCTCATGCTGCTGACTTGCTTCCCCTTCTTTCTTTGATGCTGAAGTATAGAACTCACTATTATACACACTCCCATTAGCTGCAGATGCAGGCGGATGCTCACTCCCAGATAATGTCGAAGGGTAATACTTATTATCAGAATAAGGTGAAGCAAATTGGTCCTTCTCCGATGGCATTGCAGGATGATTTTCATTTTCTGACTCTGAGGCAGTTCCATATCTGTCATAGCAAAAAAAAACAACAACAAGCCCTATGATTACACATTCACATATAGGTAACTGCGAAGCCAGAAAACAGAAACAGCATTAGAATCTGCAAGATGGAGGAGTCTAGTAGAGTTCTCAGGTTTATCTATGCTTTGAAACCCTGATGGCAGCAATTATCAGATCTTTGGTAGACTAATGAAATATGCTTCCTAGTGAATGATCAATATATTTGAAATATGCTTCCTAGTGAATGATCAAAAAGCCACCACGACCATGTTTACCTCCGGATATTAGATAAAATGGTTAAGTATTTGAGTTGAGGGTCTTGTATAGATGACCGCGTAGTGTCTCCGAGCAACCGTTGCTGCCGACTTTCTGTAGGAAAATAAGGCTGATTCAAATTCGACCGACTTAGTGCTTCTCTCACTGGGGTTGTGTAGTCGTCTTGTCTGGAGTAAGTATGTTGGGGCAGAGGTGTGCGCGGAAAAGACTGATGGGACATAAGAGAACCAAGTCGTGGTTCTGCATGACGAGCAGACAGAGGATCCAAAGCTGACGAAGCATTTCTAAGTTGTGTAGCAGCAATGAACCGTTCCTCAAAAGATAGCGCCCTGGGTGCTGATGCTATGGAAGCTAATCTATGAGGTAATGCATCGAGTTCTGGAGCAGTAAATGGACGAAATATCGATAACAGAGACATAACCTGCAATCCATGAACAATTTCTTCAGCACCTTTATAATTACAAGGGAAAAAAAAACAAAACAAAAAGGAAAAGCCTAGCAATTTAAAAGATGTGTTGTAAATAGCAAGGAAGTGTATTTATTACTTGGTGAGGAGCGAGCTCTTGCTTAAACTTGCCGCCTCTGTAATTTTCATAGATAGCAGACTTGAAAGTGTTTTCTGCCAAGGGGTAACAGTTCTTGACAATTCTAAATCCAACCTGCAAAGATCAAGAAAACAAAAAAAAAAAAACAAAAAAAAGAGAAAAGATTAATTCAGTTGAGAGATTCATCAGTTGGCATTTAAACAAAATCATGTGTATTACTATTCACAGGTGTTATTACCTGAGCTGGATATTTCTTGTCAAAAGCTTCTGGTTCTATATCCAACTTGCCACCAATAGTAGCTTCGTAAACACCATAGAGAAGCCTCTTCTCAAAGTCATAGAGGAAAAGCTTCATGCCTGGCTTTATACTCTCAACTACGTTTTTGCCCCCTTTTGGAATCCCGAAGACACGGTAACGATAGCAATCATGTTTTGTTCTCCCATTACAGATAAATATATAACCAGGTAGCTCTCCGTGTTCCTGTCTCCTTCCCATCCCATTTTCTAATCCAATGGATGAGTTTCCGTAAACAGCCGCAAGAGCAGTCCCGTTATACGCAGGAGGATTAGAATAGTGGGATATAGAAACACGTGCGTTAGCGCTAGTTTGTTCACCATCCGAGAACTCCATTTCCGTCTCCATAGACTCTACCATGTATTCTTTCTGCTGTAATTCAGTACAGGTAAGCTTGTCACTAAGAGAAGAACCAGAACAAGAACATATATGCGATATAGAGACGCTATCCGTACACAATACATGACGAAGCAACAGAGAGAGAGGCCAGTGGAATTGAAATTTAGAGCTTAAACGCGACTGATGTACAATAAAATCTGATGAGTATGAATGAAGAAACCAGAAACAAATGTGGAATCGAGGAAGAAGATTATATAGCTTAAAATGACAAAACCGGTTTTGGATATTGAGATTCGGACAAAAACGAAACTTTTATCCAAGAAGAAACATCCCAGATGTCGAGAAAGAACAGCATAATAGTTTCAAAATGACGCAACAAGAGCAGAACAAAATAGACTTACCAGAGATATACGATTTCGAAGCCCTGGGACAGAATTCGGAAATCAGGGCAACTGAATTCGGATATGAATTTACGGGTCAGCGATTTATCTGCTTTGATTTAACCTATAACTTCAGTTGCGAATCTGAATTGAAGAAGTTTTTTGTTCATGAAAAGTCGGGACTCGGGAGAAAAAGATGATGACTTTCGTTCAAGAGCAGAAGAGAAAGAGAAGGAAAGGAAGCTCACGTGACAACAACCATGGAAGATAAATGGGCCAACACCTAATGGGCCTATATGGACAACGGATCCATCATATTGCTATGAAACAGGCGCATGACATGACACGAGCGTACGTCATAAATTGGTTTAATTTATAAATAAATAAAAAGTATCAGAGTCTCAGAGAGATTTGTGACAAGCCAAGACCGGAGTTGGGGGGTGTCCTAGTGAAATCGATCGTAGTCTTTGATTTGATTCGTTCAGGTTTTAGAGCACAACGCTCTAGTTTTTGCAACACGTGTTCTACTTCAGCTGATATTACCGAAGATCATCTCTCTAATTGAATTTCAGGTTCGTCGAACTGTGATATGGATTAGGATTTAGTTTTTTTTTTTGGCTTCACTCTCTGTAAATTGATTGTCTCCTTAGATAAAAGGTGTAAGCTTGAGACGCTAGATCGTAATTTCAGTTTCTGGGTTTCGTCTAGCTCGTGTCAAGATATGAATCTAAGCATGTGCCATTGATTTGTGCTCTCTCCTCCTTACCCATCTTCGATAGCTGAACCACATTGTACAGACAATTTTCCGGAAATTAGCTAGCTTAGTGTTGAATTTCATCTCCAGAACGAAAAATTAAGCCGACTCAGTCTTTTAAGTTCAAAATTTCTCAGTAATGAAGTTTTGGTGTTGAATGTATTATTCACTTGCAGAATGTCTTCGAGGGAGAGGGTAGGTTCAAAGCATTATAGCCGAGTGAGCCAAGACATGTCAACAAGTGGATCATCGTCGGGGCACCACGAGACCAACTCTTCCGCTTCTGACCACCGTTACCACCGGATTTCACACCCCGAGGTTCTAGAAAACAAGATTGCAGCTCGAGCCGCTGAGATAGACCGGCTCTCTAGTGACAAACGGAAACTAGCTGCGAGCTACGTAGCTCTCAAGGAGGACCTAACCGTGGCTGACCGTGAAGTCCAGGGGCTAAGAGCTCACATCAGAAAGACAGAAACAGAGAGCGAGATCCAGATCCGAGCCACCCTTGAGAAGATTGCCAAATTGGAGGGTATTGTCAACAACAGGGAGAATATAAGGAGGGAGCTGCAGTTAGCTCACATTGAGGCTCATAGATTGGCGAGTGAACGCGAAGAGCTTGCTTCACAGGTTAAGTCGGCTTTAAAGGAGTTGAAGAAGTGTTGCATCGAGGCAGAGGGTTTAGAGTCGTCGAGCCAAGAGCTTGAGCGGTTGAAAGAGGAGCACCAGAGGTTACGGTAAGATAAAATGTCTTATTTTTTTATATGTCAAAGTGTGAATGTTAAAGATTCATATCATCAGCTGGTTTAATCAATCATTTGGTTCTCAATGGAACAGGGAAGAGTTTGAGGGAGAGAAGAGTGTGAACGTAGAGAAACTTGAGCAATTAAAAGAGACGGAGAGGAACATAATCGGTGCGGTCAAAGCTATTGAGAAGCTGCGAAGTGAGATCGCTGCCGCAAGGAGCAGAGCGGTTGAGAATTGAATGGTTTGAGATTTGAGACCACAAAGAGGCTCTCTCTCTCTCTTCTATTTAGGAAGGATACAAGAACCAAAGCTGTGTTCCTATTTTTTCCTAATATATAAGAGCTTTCTTCTTTTTTTTTCATATCAATGTGATCGATGCTGCTGAATCATATCGAAAGGTCAAGCGACTAGATCGACCTCATCACGCTGAGGGTAAACCACATCGAGCCTCATCATACTCTTGTACTGGTCAGGCACAGGTGCACCACCTTGCACACACAGCTCCACGACCGCAGGAGCTTTCCCATAAAACCTCTGCAGGCTATTGTCAAGAGCAGAACCATCTGGATCCCGAACATGCCACACGAAGTTCGGACCGACCACATCATCAACAGTCGCTTCTTGCCACGCATGCATTCCGTCTCGCATCTGATGCTTTGTCGCTTTGCACATCCTCACTTTGTGTCCCTTGGGACCCACCTGAATCTCCGGACAGTACCCACAGGTCCACACTTTGTATCTCTCCATCAGTTCCCTGACCCCTGAAACCATTTCAAACCACGACTCTATCGTCTCGATGCTTACTTCCTTCAAGCTCTTCTTATCTCCGCTGCAACGATCATCTTCTTGCAACAGTACAGTACTAGTGGTGCTAACTGCGGATTCTGAGTCGGCGTCCTCGAAATCCACAATCCGTCCTTCGATGCTGTAAACAGGTTTGGATCTCCGCTTCGATGGGAACTTCTCGAGGTCTAGGCCGGCCTGTATGCATAACTCGATAACCGCAGAGATTTTAGGGACGGTGAATCTCTCGTCGTGTATAACTCTGGGCTTGAGGGCACGGTCATAGAGGTGAAAGCTTTTTGGGAACAAGACGACATCGCTCGCTCTTCCTCTCTTCCATACATGAGTCGCGCTTCTTGAACCGCTCCCTGAGCCTGTGCAAGTCCTGATCTCATGACCTTCCTTGCCAATGTGAGCCTCAGAGCAGAATCTGAGAAGAGAGAAACACAAATAACTCAGCGGCGTTTCAACTCCAAAACTAGATAAAACCGACGTTAAAGTCTCCATTGTTTCATATAACCCGTATGATTACAAACTACGCTAAAACTCATTGTATATCTCTCAGAGATGATACAGAACACTGGAATTTGTAGAATAGACAAGCAATAAGAACCGTAAAAGCTTCAGAGAATCAAAACAGAGAATGGGAGATGGATAAAATGACCTGCAGCGATGAACAGGAATATGATGAATGATTTTAGAGAGGCCGGAGAGTAACGAGGAGCGGCACCGGTGAACTCTGTGAGCCACGTGGACGAGTTCCGGCACGAGTAACCCGTTATCCGGCGGATCTTCCAGAACTCGACAGGGATGTGATTTCCTCAGCTGTTTCTCCTCCTTGGCGCGCCGAATCAACTCCTTCATCGGAGTCGGGTAAGGCTTCCTCTCCGATTTATCCCTCCGAGGCTTGGGCACGTCGGCGTAGAGAGGATCTTCGCCATCAGCTGCTGTTGAGGATGGAAAGTCGAGATTGGTGAGGGAGGTAATGGAAGAAGATGAAAAATGGGATTTGCTGATTACAAAGACTGAGATTTGCACAAGCTTTCTTCTCTGCATTTTTCTTTTTTTTTGTTTCTCCAATCCAAGCTTATAAGCCCTCAAGTATTATTTAATGTTGTTGTTACGGCCCAATAAACACTTTTAATTTAGCCAAGCCTTCAAAAAGAGAGAGAGAGCCATTGTGAAAAGACACGTGTCAATCTCTCCTGCAAGTCCAAACAGTTCCACGAATTTTGTTCATCACCAAACATGAATTCGCCAAGCGATTCTGGTTCAGAAACGTTAAAGAATCTCAAGAATACAAGATTGGAGATGAAGATATTGTGTGAAGATGGTGTGTGTTGATTTTTTTTTTTTGTAGTCACTGTCTTTTCGCATACATGAAAGAATTGTAAACCAGACAATCTACTTCTCTACTGTTTTGGACTGCTTCATGTCTATTGTTTAAAATTTTCAATGCGCATCTGTCGGCAGATGAATGTGGCGCCAATACAATTTACAGTATGTAGAAAAAACGTTAGGAAAAATTTAATATTTTATATATCCAAAAAGGAAGCATTTAAAAATCTCCCACAGAATACAACATGAAATGGCCATTAGCCGGCAAATAAGAAGAGTGTAATCCAAGGCTTGTTACAATGATAGCAAGAACCAAAAATCCTTGAATATAACCCCAAAAACAAAACAAAACAAAAAAAAGGGAAGAGAAGCTCTGGAAGATTTCTCTCTAAGGGATTTTGATAATACAACAAAACTGGTGAAGCAACCTGGGAAGATTTGTGGTCAACAAAGTTTATAATCTCTCCCAAAAAAATTTCTTCACTGCATAATGAGTTTTGTCAGGGTAAAATATAACACCCCCGATTTACAGAACTCTAGGGTGTGTAGATGATATGATATTATATATATATTAACCTTTTGTTATCTTTAGCTCTCCTTTTTTCTTTTACCTTTGTGACTTCTGCTCCTGTATTGCTCATTGGTTAGTTCTCCTTCAAGAAAGGATCGGTTCCATTAGGAGGTTCTTCTCGGTTTTCAGAAACGGAAGCGATGGTAAAGCTGTTGTAGTTATCAATGCTACTGCTTCGTGGCTTGCCTGGTCTTGATCGTATGTTGCTACCCATTGGAAATGGTTCCTGCAAAATATAACAACGAAGGAGGGAAATATGTAACGAATGAATCTCTCATTGAGCAACTGAGCATCATTCATCAGATCTTTGATATTATGAGATCACAAGAACCCATTTGAAAGGGAGAGCGAATTTGAGCCGCTAATGAGAAATGAGACAACGGGAACCAAACAAGATGATGTTTTATGATGTGTTGATCTTTACCTGATCACCAGCATTTGGACCTTCGGTGTGGAAGAGAATAGGCCGGCAACGTTTGTCTTCGTTCATTAAGCTTGAATTCTGGAAATGGGCAATAAGAGCTATTTTTCCTTGGATTCGAGCATATGTAAGAGTTGCCACCTTCTCGCTGTTGAACTTCTCCCACTTTTTGCCATTAAAAGCCTGTTGAGTGTTTTTAGAGCTTTTAACCAATGCTCTTTCCCAAAAAGCCAAAAGATACATGAAAAAGCAGAGCAACACAAGACTGTACCTTATAAAATGGGACAATCTTTTCAGGCTCGATAAGGTTGATGAAAGCATATCCCACATTGCATTTGTTCTGCAATGATAAGGTAAGAAAATTAGATTTAAAAAAAAAAATCTGCATGAGACTTTCTTATGATCAAAGGTAGTACGCTTGCTTGCCTTGAAGTCAATTGGTAAATAAAGGAAATCATATGTTCCTTTACAGTGCTCGTCAATGGCAGATAGAAGCATCTTAGAAGTATACCTAAACCATAGCAGCATAAAAGAAAAGAATCAAAGATGAAACAGAATACATCAAACAACCTACGAAGTTAGCTACATATATAAGCAAGGGATAAAAGAGAAACGCTGAGTTTACTTACTTATTAGGAATGTTTTTAATCATCAATGTTGTCCTGCGTTCATCTCCACGTAATATACGGTCAACATCAAGCTCATAGAGTTTCTTGTCAGCATTACTAGAGCTAGACTCGCTTCTACGGTGAGAGAGATTCTTGTATCGTTCATTCGGGGAGTCAAATGAGCCTGGCATTGAAACCATTGGGTTCCTCCCAGGGAAGAGATGAGACAACTGTTGAGGAGATCGCAGTACAGCATTCTGGGAATTTACATCCATGCGATTCCCACCAGTATGGGAAAAAGTCTTATGAGAACCAATTTCCAATGGATGTGAGGGTGACGAGCCAGGAAACCCCATGCTACCATGAGAACGTATGTGGAAGCCAGACGATTCCAAAGATTCAGCTGCATAGGCTTGTCTTCTATCCCAGAAAGGCGAGTTCAATACCGGCGCAGATCCAATGTGGTGGTGCACAGGAGAAGATGCCATATTCACCATAATAGGAGGTGCTCTGGAGAATACAGTAACAGGTGGACGCTGAGTAGGAATGCTGTTGATGTGAGATGGCGAGTTAGGCCACATCATGCCACTTGACGGATTCTGCTGCTGAGTGTTAGAGTTGCTCCATAAATTAAGGTTAGGACGGCGGGAACTTTGATTCATGGGAGATCCTATGCCTGCAGTCAAAATATCACAACAGCTAAAAGTGAGTAAAAACAATATTGCGTATGACAGGATAAGAAAAACTTCATCACAATCTTCCAAATCAGAAATTTAATAGCATTTTGTAATTGTGCGATTCTGTTGATATGCACAATGAAAGTTTAGCCCTTTTACTATTTAAACCCCAGTACAACACCTCCTGATCTGTTTAAATAATTAAGAAATAAAGAACATAATGCTAATACTATTTTCCCCGACAACTAGTTTTACACCAAGACTCACAAGAAAAGACCAGTTGAATAATCAGACAACAGTACCTGGAGTTTGCATCGCTGTAGCATTTCACAGTCCACTAATCGTAAGGACTATATCAATATTTAACTTAAAATTCTGCTCCGATAATGTGCTACGACAGAGCATTCTTCTTAAATTCAAAATTGTCAACTACATTTCATCGTTATTCTTCGAGCAAGTTATCAACACAGCAGAAATTTAGAGATAAAAAACTTACCCCCTCCATTAAAGCCATCCACTCCACGAACATTATGCATCATAAAGCCTTCATTTGCTTTTGAGCCATCACTGACCATATCAGAAAATGCTGTGGATGACTTATATGGACTACCATTTGCAAAGTTTTCGAGGTACTCCGGAAAAGAATGAGGATGGAGATTTGGCATGCTATGGATCCCCACATTTGAATTATCAAAATGGTGGCCATGCTCTTGTAGTCCGACAGGCTTGCTGGCTGAGATGACGTTTGCTGAAGGTGGAAATCCAATAGGAATGCTAACACTCCGATGACGTTCAATGAAAGAGTTCACAGGTGATCCAACTGAATTGTGAATAACCCGCATAGATCCACTATCAATGGAGGTTGAAGAAATTATTCCTGGGAAATGTCTCCCTGAAATAGCGAAGTGATTTGAGTCCCAAGATGACCAATCATTGAAGAAAAAGAATTATAAACGATGAATGCAAAAGCATACCCATGTGCCCAGATGATGTATTATTAAAAGACATTTTAGGTAGACACGCTTCAGCATCATGTGCATACTGTGACACGTATCTGAAGAAAAAGAAAAAAAGAAGGTGAATACAAACCAACACAATTGGCGACCTTGTAGAGACTTAGCAGCAAATAGCATGTTCAGATCAGTTTGATTTAGCTTTTGCATTAATTCACATCTCACAAATGAATATAAAGCAGGAGTAAGGATAAATAAACTAGTGACCACCTTGTACCCTCTGGACAGGTTGGCGCAAGTTTAAGCTGCTTCCCAGCAACCTCGAGTCCATTTAGTCCACCAAGAGCAGCCTCTGCAGCTCGGACGTCATAGAATTCTATGTATATCTGTGGACCATCATGCATGGTTCTACGAATCTGCAAACCACAGTAACAGCATAAGCATAAGCATCAATCTAAAATAAAAATAAAAACAAGGAGAACCCCGGTATATCAACCTCTTTGATTTCTCCATATGATTTCACCATTCGATTGAGCTCTTCATTCGAAATAGAAGAATCGAGATTGTTAATCAACAAGGCTCCTTTACTTATGTCTTTTTCTGAAGAATTTTCCTGATAACAAAAAGAAATTGTAAGAAAGATACAAAGCAAGTAGAATCCACAGAGACAGTATCTTCCCTAAGAACAGTGAATAACACCTTAGGGATAGAATAACGAATGTCAAGCTTCGCTCCTCTTAACAGCTTATTGTGAAGTGCTCTCGTGGCATTCTGAGCAGCCCTTGTATCATAGTACGATACCATGACAAGGCCACGATTCTTGCAAGCTGTATGAAGAGCCTGGATGTCTCCAAATTGCTGAACAAGTAAATTTATTCTCAGTATAAAGTAGTCAATTCCAAAAAAAAAAAAAAAATCCTCAATAAAGAATCCATGGGAACCAAAAAAGTTGCTGAAAGAAGTTACCTCAAAGAGGACCTTCAGCTCATAGTCTTCAACATTGCTACTGATATTTCCAGCCAAAATTGTTCTGGATGGAACTTCACCTCGATGGTGATCGCTAACAGAATTATTGCCGCCTCTCTCACCATTTATGTGGCCCACAGAAGAAAAAACATCTCCATCAAGCTCCATGCCACCAACACTGCTGAAGAGGTCAAAATCATCCAGATCATCCCCATTGGCACGAGATTTACGCCCAACCTCACCCATCACTTCAGCGAAGAGATCATCTTCATCTGGGAGAAGATTTCCAATAGTTTGTGCCTCAATTTCTTCTAAAGATTCAGAAGGTTCTTCCTCGCGGTGGGTAACGACTGTTTTTGCAGCCATAGGAGATAGCATATCACTTCTTTGTAGTAGTACTGCAAAAACCAGCAAGTTGGAGATGCTTTCATTTAGTTCAAGTACATTAAGTCAGAGCACACAAGTTACAAACTTATAATGTACTAATTAACAAACATAGAGGATTGCAGATATAGGTAGCTGATTAAAAAAAAACCAACAATAATATGTAAAAAAATCATAAAAGTGAACCAGAAGCTTACGTTTTCGACTAAATAAATCAGACAGCGAGCTGGAAAATAAACTGCTTTCCCATTGGCTACCACTTATAGTGTTTCTTGAGTTAGGGCTAGCAGAAGGGTGCAACCCGGACAAGCTAGATTGTGGCTTCAGCTGGTAACTTTCAGGTGTCCATGAACTCTTTGGCAGATTTGAAAATCTATCACGACCACCTTGGTTTTCGGGCATCAAGTCAGTTTTCAGAAACCCAAATTGCCTCTGCTGAACAAAACAACAAGTAAACTTGAGAAGAAAAAAAAACAGTTTTACACATCATAGACAATAGTGGCAGATAATGTCATATGTGACAAATATGGTACCAGCAATTCCAGTTAAGAAAAAAAACTGAAGCAATAAGACCAAGAGTTACCTCTGAAGCAATATGAATATCTTCATGAAAGTGTGAAGGTGTTGATACACCTCTCTGATCCATTATATCAGACGGCATCGTGCAGATTACAGACAACAAAATTTGACTGATAAAACCAGAATCAAAAGTTTCTTTTTAGTTTTTAGTTTTTAGTTTTTTCAACGGACCATAGCCCCTTCCCTCTGAAAAAATGAACAAACAGTGTTATATTCAAAGCCAATGTCTGCAGAAACAAAATGCACTTTTCATTGCAAAAAATGATTAGTGAGTGGAAGGGCCCAATCACTCACGTATCAAGCCAAAAGATGAAGCAAATGACTCCAAGGATCAAAACAGAAGATTTCTACTACAACTAAGCGAGAACTCTCACCACCAAATCCAAGGATAGAAACAAAGTTAGAAACTTTAAGCACTCTTAGGAAGAAGTTCAAGAGGAAAAATATCTTAAAAGCAAATGAATCATAAATCGCTCCTTTCTACACCTGGAAGACACGATTAGGTATTTCAGAAGCCATAAGACTACAATTCGCCTAATTCTGGATCATTGTGCAGCTCATTATATTCAAACAGGGAACCAACTCCTACCTAATTCACAAAATTCGGCACGGAATTAGCTTATTTCAAATAAAAGAAAAACTCCCCTAAATCACTCACCAGCAAAACAAATATTCAAAAAAAAAAAAAAAAGCTTTAACATTTTATTTACCTAATTACAAACAAACACAATTACGCTTCCTCTCAAACAAATTCGAACCAGATTTTCAACAAACAGTTGGAAAAAAGGGTAGTGAAGAATGGATCTCGTAAACCTCTTACCTCCAAATATGACGATCCCGGAGGAAAACACAGCAGCAGCGATGTAGACAGAGAAGAGAGAGAGAGAGAGAACAGAATAATTCGCCTTCTCTTTTATCTTCCTCCTTTCCTTTTTGTTTCCTTCTATCCAATCGCATCCATCAGAGAATATTTAATTCCAAAATAAAATCTAATAAAATAACCCCCCCCCCCCAAAAAAAAAGTGAATCGGTGTGTCGATTTTTTTTTCCTGAATTTCCCCTCCTCTCACGACGCGTTGTTTCCAACGAATAGTCCGTGCGACCGGCGGTGATTGTAGCAATTCCGGCAATATTCTTCCCGCCGATGCACGATTCCGGCAGTCTCTCCGACAAAGAAAAACGGAGAGGAGAGTTTTTTTTTGGTTTTTCGGTTAGTTGGTTTAGAAGAAAAAAAAAGTAATGAGAGGAAAAAATAAAAGAGGGAACGAAAAAAAAGAGAAAATTGAGTTGAGGAAGAGAAAGACTCTGCTACGTTGTATGTACCATGGATCTAGTGGTAAAGTACGAGCTTCAATATGGACCGTAGGATTATGATTTAAACTCAACAGTTTGTTTTTAAAAAAATAAAATAAAATTACGGACTCACACGAGAGTCTCGACGATAGTAGCCTTCGAGCCCGGCTAAATATAACTAAGGAGCCGGCTATTGAACATGTGAACTATTTGGTTTTCTTTTTCAAAGTGTGTGATTTGCTTTTATCTACCAACTTTATTTCTTTTACAAAGCAAACCATGTGTACAATCAAGTTAGAAATTTACACCTTGGTATTATGAATTACACACATTAACACAAATAGAGGATTCGGATCCAGCTCTGAAAGTGTAAATTGATAGTGGAAGCTGAATTTAAGAGGAGCGAATTTTTGAAGAAAAAATGTTAATGTATGATTTCATAGAAAAAGACAAATATATAATATTGAGATTTATTTTTAATAAGCTTTGGAATTAAATTCTACTACAGTTTTGCAATTTCCTGAGATATAAATATCTTATGTTGCTAAATAAGACACCCAATCCCAACAATAAATCGTCATCTACTCATTGTAATCTTTAAAGATAATGTTTGGTTGGTTGGTACAATATTATCTTAAACGTAGTTTTTCTTCACTAATTGATTTTATTTTTTGAATAAGCCAATTACTTCTTTTACTCTCCAATTCTTGATTCAAGGTCTTTATCATTCGTGTTTGGTGTTTTCTTGCTTTGTTGTTTTCTCCTCGCCATACTTCATTGTCTCGCTTGAATATTTTCACAAAATTGCAGTTTAATACTTTTGCAATGAAGGACATAACAAAAAAAATAAACTAATAATCAAGCATTGAGAGAAGACTTCAAGTGAAATTTAATTTGGTTTGGTGGCCAAGACCTCACGTATCAAAAGGTGGTATAGATACCCTTAGACAAGGGGAAAAACACTTATTTTGTCTATTTATATTCCAAAATAACATTTAAATAAAATGCAGTCACATAGCCCAATCGACCGTAAAATGTGGCCGAAGATGAGTGTCGTGTACGATATCTCGTCTGTCAATATATTTTCAAATGAACCTGTTTATCAATGAATTAGTTTAATAAAAGTTTCTATTTATGTATTATGTTGTAAATAAATGCTTAGCTTAATTATTCATCAAGTGTTTTGTATTGGGATCTCCGTCGGACATTTTTATCATTTGATTTTGTTGAATACAAAATACCCTAACAAAAAATATTATTTTCTCCCCATGGATGTGTTACTGTTTCATATATTTTTCGTTATTTTAATTTTTGACATACGATACATACATTATATACTAAACATAAGTGTAACTATATGTTGATATGTTCAGATAGTTAGATACTCTTAAAAAATATTTATTTTTCGGAAATATCTCTAAAATATAGTATCAAATTGACTTAAATCAGTTTGATTTATCTAAACTTGGTCATTACCATTATGTGGATTTTTTATTTCCTACATACTTATAAGTTACTAACTTGTGTAACAATCGCGACGAGTTTTGAGAAAAAAAAAAAATGTATGGTATTTTGCCGGCCAAGCTGAGCTGGCGAAAACAAGCCGATCTAATGGCTGCGACTGAAAGTAGCGTGAGAGAGAGGGTCACTCTCCCAAATTTTAAATGCTGGGCGCTGCGTGAAGGATTAGAAAAGCATTTATTCTAAAAAGATGCTCTTCTCAACGTATCCACGTGTCCAAGTTTCATTAGTTTACACATCAAAAGTCGAACCAGCAAATCGTAGCTCGGGCTCTAATTAGCTACCCGATTCCCCATCTACAGTCTCTGTGCACCATTCTCTTACGAGCCGTTGGATTCATCCATCCACTTCATCAACAGATTTCGTGTGCCACACTCACACGTAAAGAATATGTTAACCGTAACTAACCGAACCTAGCCGGCGTTGAATTAGTACATACCAATACCAAACCGTGTATCAACTTCAGATCAAGAAGCGACGAGATTCGATTAGAATTAGCGTTTAATATAATCCTTTGTTATAGACTTTGTAGTGTCACGCTTGTCCCACATGCCTACATCCTTGGAAGTTTGGAACAGTTAGCTGAGGTCTTTCATTATTTATATATTTATGATACTTAAGTTAACATCTAAAGATATTCAAAACTTGAGAATGAGATCACTGGTGAGATTTAATAATTTATTTTATGAAATTCTATGTAATTCTTTGAAGTACATATAGTGGCTATCATTGATATTTTCTTCCTGTTTACTCGATTGTAACTTTTATTGATAATTTTCCTAAGTAACACACAAAATGTTTAAGCAACTTTTTTTAAGAAACATGGTTATACGAATCAAAATATATAGGAAGGAAGGAACCATTTGCAACAGAGGAATTTCTAAAATATTGATTTAACCTGATTAAAAGAGCATACTAATGCCATGAAAATAAATGGTATAAGGCTTCACGTCATCACGTGGTAACTCTTGAAGAACACGACTGGACAGAACAGCAAGACAGAAGCAATAACCAATGGAAACATCATATAAACTTTCTAGGTATCATTGGATAATCAAACTAAATATTATTATAATGATTTTTGAATTATTTGGTTGTTAATATGGTCCACGCGGTCTCTTCTCCAGATCCGTTATCTGTATAGATTTTCGTTGCTCTATCTGTAATTATCTATTAATTTTTAATTAATAATTCGCTGGAATATTTTATTACTCTGTGCTATTTTATTTTCTGTCAGCAATCTACATTGATCTGTGTAATTTTAACCTAAATTATCTTTGTATTCTACAAGAACTCATATCCAATTTACGGCGTCAAAATCCAAAAACGTAATATAATTGTCAAATTAAAAGCTGACTTTGTAAAATAACATCAATATTTAGAAGCTTCACGGTTCATCAACCACTTATTTACTTTGTTGAACACATGAACAAATTCGGTAAAAATATTGAAGTATGGTGAAATATTTCAAAGTGGATTTGTGTACTTTAAAATGATTAATAGTAAACCGTTAAGCAAAAAGAGAAAAATTGATTATATAAGTTTCTACAGTTTTGAATGATATTTATGTCTCTAAATGGTGACAAATAATAAAAATAGACTTAAAAAGGAAAATATTAAAATAAACAAAATAGAAAATGAATAAAACTGAAATATATATAAAAATATTTTTTTGTTACTCTCCAAATTTTATAAAAAATACTTTTTTTATAATTTATTAAATAATAAGGAATGAGAAAGAATAATATGAAAAACATATTATGGTAAATTTTCTAAAGAATGACATCATCAATTGGAAGATTGTGGTAAATGCAGTAAATGGTAAAATGCAGCTGTAACAATCTTTCCAAAAAGCAAATATCCCAAATTAAATTTGCGCAAAAACATCATCTGTTAGAAGATTGTTTGAGGCGTAAAGGACCTGGGCCTTGAGGCCCATCATATCTGCCCATATTAAACTGGACTACACTAAGCCAGATTACCAAAACCTCGAAACCTCAATTTCACCCACCCGTTACTGGTCGTCCTCTCTTCGGGCACTTTTGCTTGAGATTCGATCGAAGACTCATACGCCTTCGCTGATCGCCGTCGCCATCGGTATCGGAATATTCCATATCCACTGCTGTGAAATCGAGTCAAAGTATGGAACTGGTTGAGCTGAATTTGTCTTGTATTTTGACGATCTGCTTTTGCTGTATTTGTTCTCTCCTCGTGTTCTATGAAGCCCTCAGTTTATTTATCGCCTGGTGTCTTATCCTCGTTGGTGTATATTTTTTTCAGCGAGGCTTTATCGGTAATTCAGTGGATTAATAGGGAAGAAGGAGAGCGAGATGGATGCAATGGAGATCGACGAACAGATCCTTCCAAGGTTCTCAACGAATGGTTAGTTTTTTCTTTCGTTTTCAGGGAATCCAAATTTACACAATGACTTCTGTTTAATGTTTTTGAGGATAATTGGTACTGAGTTTAAAAACAATAGAGATGATGACAATATACATGAATAAGTATCTGCATGTTCGCGAATTTTGCTTACGAAATTCTCGAATTCGGTCATTAATTGCTTCCTTGAACCATACTTTTGGCTTCTCAGTTCTGCAGCTGATGAAGTCTTCTCAGGCGCAACATGGTCTGCGTCATGGTGACTATGCTCGCTATCGGTATGAATATGAACCCTAAGCTCATTGGCTTACACGGTCTTTTCATAAGAATTAGGTAATGTTCTAAAATCTGTGTTATCTTGTTCTGTAGGAGGTACTGCTCAGCACGGTTGAGGAGGCTATACAAGTCCTTGAAATTTACTCATGGCCGTGGTAAATACACTCGACGAGCCATAGTTGAATCAACTGTCACTGATGTCAGGTATTTTAATCCTGCTCTCATCTTTATTCCTTCCAAGCTGAACATTTTGTTAGAGAGGTGTTACTCGAGTACATAAGTTCCTCTGGTTTCGTGTGATTCTGCGTTTAGCTGAAGATTTAAGAAAGAATGTACTGTCCCAGTTGTTACTTCCACTAGAGATTAATAAGTGATTTTGTTGTACTCACAATTTCTTTATTTGAAACAGGTTTCTTCATGTGGTTTTCTACATGGCGGAAAGAGCATGGAGCCATGCAATGGAAAAAAGACAGCTACCAGATGGGCCTAATGCACGGCAGCGGATATATCTAATTGGTAGGCTGAGGAAGGCAGTTAAATGGGCTTCGCTTTTCTCAAGTTTGTGCTCTAATAAGACTGATTCCAGGACGTCTCTGGAAGCTGAGGTACTTCAGTGATCCCAAATTTTGCAGTTTTCATAAATATACATCTAACCTATCTACTGCCGTGAATGGGAGAATAAGAGAATACCTCTGTTTTAGGCTTTTAACTTAGTTGTTTCGCGTAAGATGTGTGTCTACTCTATAAACGCCCGACAGGAATCTTCATGCTTTATCTTAATGTTTATAGGCATATGCATCCTATATGAAAGGCACTCTGTTGTTTGAGCAAGATCAAAATTGGGAAACTGCGTTGGCATGTTTCAAAAACGCCAGGTTTGTTTTTTGTTCAATATCTTCACTTTGCATTTTGGTAGGTTTAGTTTCTCAAAATTATTCCTCATTGCAGAGCTGTTTATGAGGAACTCGGGAAATATGGTGATCTAGAGAACCAAGTTCTTTGCCGGGAACGGGTTGAGGAGCTTGAGCCCAGTATTCGATACTGCCTACACAAAATTGGCAAATCAAACTTGCAGACATCTGAACTCCTTCAGATTAATGAGATGGAAGGCCCTGCATTGGATCTTTTCAGAGCAAAGATAGAGGTATATATGAATTTCACCATCAAAATCTCATTTTCTGTAAGCCTCACCACCAAAGCAAGTTCTTAACTGTCTAGATATGTTTCAATAGTCCACATAATTGCTGCAGCGGATTTTTTTGTTTTTCCTGTTAGTTTTTCTATCTGTTGTTAGGAACTTACAGTCTCGATATTGATCTGTGTGGCCAACATACATGAGTACCAGATAACATGTATACGATTGTGGGTACTCTTGAATGTCTTGCAATGGTTTAGTGGTGAACTATTTATCAGACATTTTGGTCTATTAATATGTCATATGTGTATATTGCTCACTGTCACGTAGGCTGCTATGGAAGAGGCCAGAGCTCAACAAGCTGCATCTCTTACAGAGTTTAATTGGCTTGGCTACAGATTTCCAGTTTCCAACCCAAAATCTCGGGTTTCGATTTTAAAAGGTTCTACAAACTTTTTCCTTATCCTCTCTTTTTGAGTTACTTTGTTATGCTGACAAAATATATTTTCTAGCATAGTCCTAGATCTGGGAAAAGTTTGGTTTACCTTTTACCCTATTAATGTTAAACTGCCTTTCTAGAACTTTGAGCACCTTTCTGAAGCTATTATTCTTTGTTCCTTGTTTAGCCCAAGAACATGAGAAGGAGCTACAGGGTCCAACAGCAGAATCTCTCTCTGCAGAGAAAAAGCTAGCCATATTTGATAAACTATTCACTGCATACCATGATGCCAGGAACACCATCCGCAGTGACTTGGTGAGTAATTTTACAAGACATCTTCCGATTTATTAATTGGGTTCACCGAATAGTTTTTTACCCTTTTTATAGAATTTTGAAAGTGTAGACAAGTTTGTTCATCCCAAAGTGTAAGAACATCTGCTTTTTGGTGCATTGATGTTTCTTTACTAAGGAGCATACTATTTTTAGGTAAGTGCAGGAAATGCTGAGTCTGTTAAAGATGACCTAAATGGTCTGGACAAAGCTGTTGGAGCTGTGCTAGGACAAAGAACCATTGAAAGGAACCAGTTGTTGGTTAAAATAGCAAAGAGCAAACTGAACAGGAAACGTGATGATAAAAGTGAAAAGGTTACTAGGCCTGAGGAGCTTGTTCGATTGTATGACCTTCTGTTACAGGTAACCGCTGCTCACTTCTTTTATTCTTCAGAAGCAGATTTTGTTTGTTTAAACCATCGAGGAGACATCATCACCTGTGTTTTTTCCCCTCAGAATGCCGCTGATCTTTTTGATCTCATTAGCTCTGGAAGAGATAGGAAACCTGAAGAGATTGCCTTTGAAGAAGAGTGTCAGCGCAAAAGCTTGGCCTTCCGTGCTGAAAGGTTTAGTTCTTCTTCCACATTATTATATTTTTATAGGGCGGTTGCTATTGAGTTGTGGGCTTCCTTTACCCTTGATTTTAGCATCTTTGGTTAGAGTTGAGCTCCTCCAAGCCTTTTTTCCAAACCTTAGTGATACATCACGGCACAATATTAGTAAAATGTATTTCATTAAATTCGAAATCTGATTCATGGCCATTGGTCACTCATCCTCTTCACTACATGTTGGTCTATATTATAACCACTTATTATATTCTGTAGCTCCTCTCTTTGTAGAAATTCATACAGTTCATTCCATTTGAGAAAACGTAATAAGAATAGTTATTTTCATATGCTTACTGATGCATTTAGTTTTCACCACCCTTGTGCGAATTAGCTAATGATATCTTCTGGAAACTATTTTCAGGTGCTTCTACTTGGCAAAGTCATATAGTCTAGCAGGAAAAAGGATTGAAGCATACGCCTTGTATTGTCGTGCTCGATCTCTTGCTGAAGATGCCCTGGCTAAGTTTGAGAGCATATCAAACAAAGATGAGGTATACATTTATCATTTTATTGGTTACCTCATAAATGGTCATTGACTAGCAGTACTATGTTACCTCCTCATGTCGGCCGGATAGGGATTATATATTGATGGCGCAAGTGTATGCAGTGTTGCATGGCTGAAATATCGTTAAAAACGTTTCATAACATGGAGTATATAATATTCTCTACTAATGTTATATTAATTTTGACTTTTTTTTATTTTTCCTAATAATTCTCAGGGAACAATCGAGGAACTGAAGACACTGAGCAAAGAATGCAGAGCAAATAGTTGCGTAGAACATGCGACCGGGATAATGGAGGAAGAGAAGGCGCCAGAGAATCTGTCAAAGAAAATCTCAAATATATCACTAAACGATACAGCCACTAAGGTACAAGAATCTCCTGTATAAAAATCCCCATCTCACGTTGTATCTTTGCTTGCTGTTTGGTCCTAGCCAAGTTTGCACCCTAATGGTTTATATGATATGTTAAAAGCAGGCGGAGAAGTACCTGTTGGACAAACTGGATGTGTATGAATCTGCGGTTGGCGATTCAAACACGAAAGCTGCCCCAAAGATTGAACGGTTCCCGCCCGCATTCCAATCGATACCGCGTAATCCAATCGTTCTCGACCTTGCCCATAGCTGCATCACCTTCCCGGTTCTCGAAAACAGGATGAAGAAAGAACGTAAAGGAGGATTCATTAGCCGTTTATGGGGCTGAAGCTTCTCAACCTCTCTTCTCTTCAGGTTAAAAGTATCTCTGATTCTGTTTCACCTTTTTTTTCTTTTAACCAGACTCTGAAACTTCTTGTGTTGCTCTTTAGCTTCTGAAAAGCCTGCCACATGCTTGAGATTTTCTTTTTCTTTTTGTCGAATGTTTCAGAGAATCACAGTTTAGACCGAGGATTACATTTTGCTCTTCCTTTAGTAACACTTGAAATTTTGGATATATAGACATTTTATTGTTCTCTTTTTTTTTTGTTTGTTATATAAACCAAAACGCCACTTTCGTTGAGCACTGGTGAAAGATTAAAAGGCCGATTCGGGGATCTTAACCAAATTATACGATTTGAGGATGGCTGTATTTTTAAAATTTAAAAATATTGATCGTAAAATTAGTATAAGAACAGAAGCGGGATTGGGATATTCGTTGGAGTATTTTTTTTTAGTTTCTCACACGACGATTACTTAGATGTTCTCCTCTCGTAATTTTCAATTTAAAAGTCAACTACTTTGGAATAATTAATTTTGCAGTAAATATTCTTAGTTTAACAATTCAATCATTTTCAAGAAATTGGACTCGCGAATCTATGATGTGCGTGCGTGCCTCATGACTGGCACCTAATTAATCTTCCCAATTAACTCATTTCCCCTTCATTTAATTAACTAATCTGGTGTTTTTAGTTTTAGTATATATTACGTTATTTATGGATGGATATCTCCAAAATTTTGTTGGAATAAAAAGATATTAACTCCATCCAACAAGTAGAAAATTGGTGGGGATTAGCTTATACAATAAGTACATAAGTTTCCCTTTAGTTTATTTTTGTTAATTTAAAAATGACAGCCATGGAAGGCTTCAAAGGTTTTGAACACGATCACCACAACAACAAAGAGTAGAGTATATATTTTTGTTTTTTTTTTTCGGTGTTTTTCTCCATCGCACGATCTTTCCCTTCTTTTCCGCCCATTTTCCCACCTCTCAACCAAACCTAATCTCCCAAAAAAGCTTTTGATTTTCCAAAAAAGACAAAACAAAAACATTTTTTTCCGTTTTTTTGGGTGGGAAAAAAAAGACATCGTAACTAGCTCTGTCCGCGTCTCCGGTAATCGGAATTTCCTATTTTTCCAAGTGGAGGAAGACGACGACGAAGAAGACGGAGGAGGAGGAGGATCGCTCTGGGTCTCTTGCTTTTCCCGGTGAAAATGCATTTCGCTAAGCTCGATGATTCGCCCATGTTTCGGCAACAGGTTCGTAATTTTAAATTTACAAATTCTGTAATCCGTTTCGATCGTCTCTGTTTCTATTCATCCATACATTGCTCAAGAGAGAGAGAGATCAAAGAAAAAATAAAAATTGGTTCTGTTGAACAATGTTCTGTAATTTCAGATACATTGTTGGAATCCTGGAGGAAAGCAATGTATCAGGAACTTGTAAATCTTTTCACCAATTTCAGTCCGATTAAGAAAACTCAATGATTATGATGGTGATTGATTTTTGAGGCACTTTCTGTATGAAATTCGCAACGTTTGTTGGTTGTAATGTGGCTTTGTCTAGACGTCAAAATCTAGGAGTTGACTTCGATTTAATAATCCTGAAATATTTGAGATGATGTTACTGTTTGATCTTTTCTTTATAACCGGAAGGCATTCGATACTGTTGTTGAATCTGCATCGAAGTATAGTGATAGAGTAAACCATTTGGTTGTGGTGCAACAGATGCAATGTATGGAAGAGAGTGCGGAGTTGCTGCGGATGCGATGCTTAAGGTTCTATAAAGGATGCAGAAAATACACGTAAGCTCTTACACAGTATTCAGCTCTGTAATAAATGTTCTGTAATTCTCTGATATTTCTTTGGCTTATTTTTTTAGGGAGGGGCTCGGAGAAGGGTATGATGCAGATATTGGCTTTGTAAATGCACTTGAATCTTTCGGAGGAGGCCATAATGATCCCATCTGTGTTGCCTTTGGAGGTGCCTTCCTTGTTTCTCTTTACTTTTCCTCATTTTAGTAACCTGAAGTCTGCATTGTTTCTCTTTGTTCTTCCGTTAAACATTTATCTGACTGAAATGTTTTGTTTGCTCAGGTCCTGTAATGACAAAATTCACCATTGCTCTACGAGAAATCGGAACCTACAAGGAAGTTCTTCGTTCTCAGGTACCAAAATCCAATGCTTAACTATCTCGAAGGGATGACCTGAAATAGGAAGCTTTCTTTCTTGGGATTTATACTTGGTTATCTTAGTTCTGTAGATAAATGTTTGTTTTTTATTTTTGCATAACTCCTATGATGCTTTGTCAACAATTTCAGGTAGAACACATGCTGAATGACCGGTTGCATCAATTTGTGAATGTTGATGTTCAAGAAGTCAAGGTATATTTATAGTAATACATATCACTCGAAAGATTATGGCAACATTACTCTGATTAATCCTTTAAAATTCATGCATTTTATCATCGTTTTCTCTGAATTTCTCTGGACTTATAACCATCTTTTAATTTATGTCACACAGGAAGCACGTAAACGGTTCGACAAAGCTTCCATTATATACGACCAGGTGCGTTGAATGACTTCAAAATATGTCAAATTGATGGGTAAATTTATGTATTTTTCCTGCTTGTCACCACAAACATTCTGCCTGTTTGAATGATTCTATCTTATCTGAATTAAACAGGCACGAGAGAAATATCTTTCGTTAAGGAAGAGTACACGATTGGATGTGGCTGCCACAATTGAGGAGGTATGTAAAAATCTTATTGCTTTTTATAAGTCACAGATAACCTTCACTGTTTTTATTTTTAATTCTGTAAAAACTAATTTTGGTAGAGAGACGTTTCAGGACCTACATAGTGCAAGAACAACGTTCGAGCAAGCCCGGTTTCATCTGGTAACCACTTTTGTACTGTAATGCCACGAGAATTTCCAAAGTATTCTCTTACATAACCGTACATAATGTTTGCTCACTTCTTACTGGCCAGGTTAGTGCACTCTCTAATGCGGAAGCTAAAAAGAGATTTGAGTTTTTGGAAGCAGTGAGCGGGACAATGGATGCTCATCTTCGTTTTTTCAAACAGGCAAGCTTTTTCGTGAATACAGTTTTTAAAAGCAAGAACACAAATTAACCTGGAACCAACCAGCTTGGTTTTACAAGGAAACCTATCATACAATTGGCTTTTGTCCCTGTTTCTTGACAAGTGATTCCATCTTTCAGGGATATGAGCTACTACATCAAATGGAGCCTTTTATTAATCAGGTCTGATAATACCATACTCCTTGTAGCATGATTCTTTTATCTTTTGATTTGAAGAGATTTCTATGTATCCGACCCTTTCTTATCCAAGGGAATAGTACATAAAATATCTGTGTTTAATTGAAATTGAATGGCAGGTGTTGGCTTATGCACATCAGTCTAGAGAATGTGCAAACTATGAGATGGCATCACTTAATGAAAGGATGCAAGAGTACCAGAGGCAAGTTGATCGAGAAACTAGAATTTCAAATGGTTCTCCAACTGGAGATGGCATGAGACACAACTCACGAAACTCACAGAAAGTCATAGAGGCTGTCATGCAATCTGCTGCAAAAGGAAAGGTAAAGAAATATCTTTTGTACTGAGGCTTACTCATCAAACTGCTCTCATATCTTCCATACTGTTTCTTTTTAAATATTTATCTGTTGACGTTACTGTCCTCCAGGTTCAGACAATAAGACAAGGCTATCTGTCTAAACGTTCCTCAAACTTGAGAGGTGACTGGAAAAGAAGATTCTTTATCCTTGATAGCCGTGGGATGCTATACTATTACCGCAAGCCATGGAATTGGTCTTCAGTAAGTTTCAAAACGAAAAAACAATTGTGTTTTTGATCATTCCTTGAGAAAACATATCAAAAGTAACTGTGATGTATTGTATCTTTACTGAATCTTTGAAGCTCTATGTATCAGGGAAATGGAAGTCGCTCTGCTGTTCATAGGAATATGACTTCAGAAAACAGTCCTGGGCTGCTAAGTCGGTGGCTGTCTTCTCATTATCACGGTGGCGTGCACGATGAAAAACCAGTTGCACGTCACACTGTGAATCTGCTGACCTCGACGATCAAAGTTGATGCAGATCAGACCGATCTAAGATTCTGCTTTAGAATAATTTCGCCGACAAAAGTTTATACATTGCAGGTATATCAGCACTTTAAAGTAAAACGATCTTCAATTTTCGAGACCTATGGAAATGGAATACTCACTACACTTTTACATTAGGTGTTCTGTTACATCTCCTCTGACTAACCAGAATTTATGAAACTGTTATTGATGTAGGCAGAGAATGCGCAGGATCAGATGGACTGGATCGAGAAGATAACTGGAGTTATTGCTTCTTTGCTGAGTTTTCAGACACCTGAAAGAGCAATCATGGTAAGGTTTCATATGCTATTACTGATGATCCTTTCTTGAGTGACTGACTCATTATTGGTTTTCACTAACAAATACCATTACTTGCAACTGGATCAGCGGCTTTCTACAGTGGACGGATGTGATACTTTCTCTGCAAGTGATTCCGGTTCTTTAGCAGATCCATATGACATCGAGCAGGCAGAGAGTGGAGAATTCGCACAGGAAAATCCCATGACAGGAGGAAACCGCTCGAGGTTCTCAGGGTGCTTGCAGCAACATGATATGGTAAAGACTGAAAAGCCCATTGATGTCTTGACGAGAGTATTGGGTAATGAGAAATGTGCAGATTGTGGTTCTCCTGAACCCGACTGGGCCTCTTTGAATCTCGGTGTACTCATATGTATTGAATGTTCTGGTATACACCGAAACCTTGGTGTTCACATTTCAAAGGTAAGCCGTTAAAATCGAACATTTTCTCTCTCTGTCTGTCTTCTCACAAGGAGGCAGTCTTGAATTGTCCCATTTTTAAGAAGCTGTATATAAATTTGGTAGTATTCAACCTTGTCGTGCAGGTCAGATCGCTCACTCTTGATGTGAAAGTATGGGAACCATCGGTCTTGACGTTGTTCCAATCGTTAGGTAACGTATATGTAAACTCAGTGTGGGAGGAGTTGTTGAACTCAGAGAGTAGATCTTCAAGTGCTGGTATGTCTTCGGGGTAAGTAACTAAGTTTTCTTATCAGTTGTATTTGTGAGAAAACGAAACAAACTACTTCTTACATCTATTTACGCAGTCTTAAAAACTTGTTCTGTTTATTAGCACTCCCAGGTCAGATCGACCAAGAAAGTTTCTTGCAAGGAAGCCTGGTTTTAATGATCCCATTTCTGTGAAAGAGTTGTTCATCCACGCAAAGGTATTATTATATCAGTCTGTGAGTCAACGAGCAGAGTTTCTGAAGATTCCCATTGCTAATTTCTATGGCTAATTACAGTACTCAGAGAGGATTTTTGTCAGCAAAGCAACAGACAGTCGGAATTTCCAGGCAGTTTTCCAAGAGATATGGGAGAATGTCCGTGCCAACGACAAGAAATCAGTTTACAGACACATTGTCTGCTCTGAAACAGATGTGAATGCTCTACGTGGACAAGCGTCGTACACCGTGTCTTTGCCCTTATCAAAGATGATGCAGATGGAAGCGAAGGAAGAAACCCTTGAGGCCAAATTCAAGAGCATTGAAGAGGAGTTTCAAGAGAACCCACAGGGATATTCCAACTCTAGAGGGGAAGGGGAGAGTATGGTCAGAGAAGAGACTTCAAACGACTGTTCTTTGCTTCACCTTGCTTGTCTTTCTGCGGATATCGGTATGGTGGAACTTCTGCTTCAGTATGGAGCAAAAATAAATGCAACAGATTCGAGTGGTCGTACTCCACTTCATCATTGTATCATCAGCAGGAGATATGCAATCGCAAGGTTGCTACTTATGAGGTAAACTCCATATAGTTTTTTTAATCAGTCATGGAAGTTGAATTGAACAGTTATTACAAAGTCTGATGCAATGGTACAATCACAGGGGAGGAGATCCAAATGCTGTAGACAAAGACGGTAACATACCAGTCAAATATGTTTCAGATACAGACCTCAACGACAGCGAACTGATTGCTTTATTAACAGATTCCAAAAGATGATAACATTTTGATTTGCTTACTACACAGAAAGCAGAATGGTATAGCACTAGAAGAGTGTTGCTCTACTGAACTCTATTCGCCCTTTTCCGCATTTTAGTATCGTTTATAATACTTTTTTTTAGCCTTTTATAATCGGCGATTTGTTCATGAAGAGCGTAGAGAATACATATAGATGATCTTTGGTGCTGGTTAGGTTTATATACTGGTTTATACTCTGGTGTACATATGGTCTTTTGAAGGGGTTGTATGTCCTGTAAGATGAAGCCTTCTGTTTTGGTTTCACTATGAAATCTGTTTTTGCTGTTTGTGTAATGAAAAGACGGGCACCAGTTTGTTCTTCTCTTCAGCTTTGTGCTTTTTTCAGACAGAATTTGTCGTTTTGCCCACTAGAGAACCTGCTTTAAATCACTTGTATTCATCTTTTGATAATAATAAATTATGTTCATGGAATTTGGATCAGATCCTGTGACCATCAATTCTTAACCCAAAAACTGTAATTGCAACATATAAACTTGATCGTAACATTCAGTACATCTTAAAATCGAGGAAATTTGCAGTTTTGAACAGCTCAGATGTGTCTGCTACTACCATTCATCGTCAACTTCTGACTGAGTGTCATCATGACGTAAACCAATGGGATCCAACATGACTGGTGAAGGAAAAATCCGTTCTGAAGCAAATGAATTGGTGCAACAGAGTTTCTGAGCAGACACAAACTCTTCCAAAAACAGTAGCTGCAAATTCTTAATGGTAACTGAACAAATAAACAATGACATATCATGCCCAACCAGCTTGCCCTAGGTTTAGCTAAGACCCATATCACTCAGTAGATGGAGAGACAAGAGCCTCAAAGAGTGAGAGAACGAAACTTTTACTGTACAACAGAACAGGTTAGGGTCAATGTTACCTTTATCGAATGCAACTCTTCAGCAATTTTCAAGTCGGCCAAGAAGTTTTGCTGTAAACCAGATGTCAAACCAGCCGTCTGCTTTTTAGCCACAAAGGAATCTTGTGGAGTTCCGTCTTTAATCTATGGAGCAGCATCTGCTTCCATCCTTTGGTTTGAAGAAATGCAACCCTCATTAATTAAATCAATAACAGTAGAAGACTCGGGAATATATTCGAGTCGAATCATATTCTCCCTAACTTTCTCAGCTGCCTCCATCTCCCCCGCTTTAGCAAAACCAGAGAGTAGAGCCAGGCAAGTTGAAATACTTAGCTTACACCCGTCCACAATAGCGTTCTTGGCAAACATTTGATCCACGAACATTAGTGCTCTTGTCGTCATCCCTTCTTTCAGGAAAGCACTAATGATAACACTGTACATTATGTTGTCTGGTTCAATTCCTGAGTCAATAGCCTCGTCGAATATAGCAAACATTTCAGATCTTCTACCCATTTTATCATACCCGCTTAGAAGAGATGTGTAAGTTACGACACTAGGCATCACGTTTGCCTTCTTCATGTCCTCCAAAAGCTCTTTTCCATCTTCCAAATTTCCTTCCTTGCACAAGTAATCTATCATAATGTTGTACGTTACCTCATTGGGCTTGCCATGCCTATCAAGCGACCCATCAATTAGCAATTTCATCAGTTTTGTCTTTAGCTCTGCTTTTCCAAACTTGAAACCCCAACTGATCAAAGCATTCAAGGGTGCGGTAGTAGAACCATAACCCTTCTCTTTTGTCTCGAAGATGGTGATAGCTCTTTCTACATCGTTCCATCTGCAACACCCATCCACAAGTGTTGTGTACACAAAACTGTCGGGAACTAATCCCTTTACTTTCATCTCGTCAAATAACCGAAAAGCCTCCGCTAGATCCCCATGTTTGCAACATCCATCTATGATTGTACAGTAAGTCACTGCATTAGGAGGAAAACCTTTTCCTGACATTCCATTAAAAAACTCCTTTGCTCTTTCAATTTCACCAGACCTGCAGAAGCCACCAAGCAACATGTTGTATATGATGACATTAGGAGTCACACCTTCTTGAACCATCTCATCAAAAATACGAGAAGCCATTTCCATATTCCCCAACTTAGAGAACCCATCAATGAGTGTACCATAAGAGAACGCATCAGGTGTAATACCCTTTCCACGCATTTCCTGGAAAATCTCCTCCGCATCATCTACTTTACCGTTTTTAACAAGACCATTCATAAGAACAGTGTATGTCTTAGCATCCCCCTGAATCCCTTGTTCAACCATGGATCTGAATGCTGAACACGCCTCTATTACTTTCCCCTTTTTGCAATACTCATTGATCAGTCCCGTGCAAAAGACCTTATTAGGAACAACACCACATTCCAGCATCTCTTTCACATACTTATCTGCAGATGCAAATTCCCCTGCCTCTATATACCCACTGATAAAAGCCCCATAGGTGAAAGCATCAGGCTTTAATCCGTTCTCTACCATTTCAACCAAATAAGACCTTGCTTCGTCCATGCTCTTGGCCTTTGAAAGGCCAATTATAAGGGAATTGTAGCAAAAAGTGTCTGGTGCGATTCCCTGTTCCTTCATTTCTTTCAACACCCTCACTGCATCTCCAAACCTACTTTTCTGGAGAAAGGTTTTGATCAATGTTGTATATATAACCACATTGGGTCTGCAACCGCTCTCACCCATCTCCTTCACAATGTTATAAGCTCCATCGAGATCCCCAGAAGAACACATGCCTTTTACCGCTGTGCCATAAGTATACGGAGATATGACAACGTTCCTCTTTTTCATTTCAACAAGTAACTCATAACCCTTGAGTACATTCTTTCCTCGAAAGTATCCCTCGATCAAACTAGCATACGCCCGAGCACCTGGTATCACTCCGGATGCGATCATCCCATCAAAGAGAGCCTGTGCCTTCTCCATCGCCCCATCCTTTGACATCACACAGATAAAAGAATCATACATCTTAGGATCAATGTTAATTCCGTGAGAAACCATCTCACGGACGAGCCCGTTCGCAGCGTCTGCATCTCTGCCCTTCAGTAAACCCTCAATCAGTATGCTATAAGAAACACTATCACGAAGCAAACCAAAGCCATTCATCTCTACAAGCAACGATATCGCGTCTTCTGGTCTCTTTCGCTTACACAGCCCACCTATAAGTATATTGTATGATTGCTTCGACGGCACCAATCCTTTGCAGATCATCGACTTCTTCAGCTCGAATGCTTCATCCAGATCTCCCTTCTTACACAAAGCTTCAACTACGAAGCTATACGCAGTCATCGTCACCGTCCCGAACTTTTCTTCCGTTTCGAGAAGAACATCTTTGGCCAGCTGAACATTCCCAGCTCTGCAATGTGCAGCAATCAACTTTTCATGTGTTTGAACATCAAACACTACATTTCTCTCAACCATCCCATTATACACATCCCAGAACAAATCCAGCCGATTCCTCTTCAAAAACGCATCCAGCAAATGGTTACATCTTGCCGAATTAGGAATCAATTCCAAATTCAAACTGCTAGAAATAGCGAAAACAGCTTCATCTAAAAGCCCTTTCTCAATATATCCATCAATCAAGATCCCGAATAGAGCTCCGTCGTCACTCCTTCCCGCGAACTCTCGCGAACATCTCACAGCCGAGCTCCAAACCTCAGCTACAGGCCATTTCCTCTCAATCATCCGGATTATAACACTATGAGCTTGCCTAAAACTACCGAAACTACACAAAATCAAAGCGAGAAACGAAAAGGAATCCAGTTTCTGCTCCGTGACCTTTTGAGAATCGACCCAGCTGAAGAAACTCAAAAGCCTAGCGGGATCGTCGACGCGTTTGGATCGTAAAACGGAGAGAACAACGTCTGGATTTATCTCCACCAATAGATTCGAAGATGCCAAAGCGTCACGCCAGTTCCCCTTGTTGAGAATCCCCGCTATTTCAGCTGATGCGTCGGAAAAGCTCCCGATGTGAACGGAAAACGATCGGAGAAGTAAACAATTCCCTTTCATAACCAAACATTTCTTCCTGAACAGCGTTGATCCCATCATACCGGAGAGCAAACAACCTCGTCGGAGAAGATGATCAAAATCGAGATACGATCTCCGATCAAAGAATTTATCAAAACCACCATTTTTGAAAACAAATTCATTAAGGCCCACTGTTATTTGGGCGTTTGGGCCCAAATACTTGCGGGAGCGTAACATGAACAAACAAGTCAACATTCAAATGGTGTACAGAATTTTAGATAATTGGTGAGTTTGTTTTGCATTTCCCGGAAATTTCCACGTGATTTACGATTCTTAAAAAAAAAAAAAAAAATTACATACTTTTTTAACGAAGAAGAGCTATGTTAATGTTTATTCGAGAGACATCGAATTAAATAATATTGGAGAAATTCGTATGGAGAGGTTATGGGAGAGATATGATGAAGATCCCCACTAGAGTGGGAATTTCAAATGGTGCATGAATGTTTACCCAAATACATAGTGTGTGAAATGCATGGTTTGACCAAATTTTCTTTCTTATTTTGTTTTGACATTAACAACAAATTAGAAAAGTCGATGGGTATGGGTAAACATTAACTAATAGTAAATCATCTGTTTTGAACAAAAATAACAATAAATCATCTGTTTAAAATTGTAGAACGTGTTCTACTAAATTCCACAGTTTGTGTGTCATTGTGTGTATTTACAATTTTACATGTAGCTAGTCTAGATGGTTTTTTGTTTAAATACGTGAGAGGTAAGAAATAATTTAAAAGGGATAATCGTGATTCATAAAAAAATAACCTGAAAACAATGTTTAAATTAAAAATATAGTTGAACTTTTTCAAATTTAATAAAATATACAATTTTAGTTTGATTCTAGGGTTAGCAGCTTTAAAAGTCAGGGTTTGAAATTTAATTTTGAGTTTTATGTTTTTATTTTTTTGATCACTAAAATGCATTGCTTCACCAAAAAACAGCTTGAAATAAACATAGTTGCTAAAGTATGAATATACTATTATAATAAAATATTATTAAATGTCGCTTTTCACTATTGTTACACTTCTCTAAGTCGATTAAGCTTTGCACAATCAAATAAATTGAATGATTGTGTTGGAAGCGAGGAAGCAGAGACTAAAGAAAACAACTTAATCAAACACGACTAAAATCAAATTAGGCGAAGTCATCGTCATTAGATAAAATTAATTATTACTATTGTTTATGACCCATCCACCCAAGTTGGCTACAGAAATTAGTGCATTCCATTTTAATCACCATTAAGTCGATTGATAATATAAATTAATGTATATTATTTATTTTCTTAAAGTGATGTTTAGACCGAAATAGTATATATATCTTCATTGGAAAGAGAAGTTTTCCAAATTCGATTAGCAAACAGTTATATTATGCAACAAGATTATGTAGCCTGTCTATCCTAAAGATCTACTAATAAACTTTTAAATTTAGAGGATTTCTTGTTCCATTTCACTAATTTACATTAACATTTCTTAACCTTTAATTCGAACTAAGTTCAATTTTCTGGCGACGATTTTAATATCATAAGCCGACAAGTCAACATTGAAGCACTGTCGGTGGGGGAGAGTCCGTATTTAAGATTGTTACAGATATAATTAAGAAAATTATTTTGTCGTATTTTCTAGTATATAATTTGACCCGATCAAACACAAATTTTATGAAACTATTCTTAATTAGACGAACCAAAGCACGAGGACATGACACGTCACACGTGGGCAATTTGATAAAGTCCAGTTAATTGGAACAAAAAGAAAATAACAATTAATAAACATCAAAACGCTAATCTTGTAATTAAAAATAGCAAAATACTTCTGAAGATAATATTCCAAATTTTAAAACTAAACCCCGAGGCGGGTACAGTATAGAAAATTTAAAAATCATTAAATTAATTAATCGTTGAAAAAGGTCTATATGATGTATTGGGGGATAAAAAGACGGTCCAAAATGTCCAGCACAAACGTTTTTTATGCTGTCTCGACACTTGCCGTATGATTGATTATTTAAATCAAAATGTTGATTGATTATATACTTAGAGATAATCAAGTAATGTTATCACTAAATGATTTGTCAAGGGAAGTTATCTTCTATGGTGGAGCCATGCGATTAAATTAATACTATTAGAAGAACTACTATGTATATTTTTTAATCCTATGGTTTTTAAGTCCATTTGACGTACATGGGCGGCTAGTGTGTATGTGTATGTGATTAATGAGTTTTGTATGCCTTCATCCGGAACTTTTCTGAGTTTTTGGTATTGTGTTTCGAAAAATTTCTTTATAATGGTATGGCTATTATGTTTGAATCGCATGATTCTATTGTTTATGTGTTACAAATATCAACTAGATTTACAAAATATATAGCACTATGCTTTTACATGGATTATTACCATTTAAAACAGAGGTACGTAAACCGTGAAACTTGATTCATGGATTTCCAATCAAAACATAGCACTATGCTTTAATATTAGTTTTCTAAACAATTAAACTAATTGCAATTTGTTGCAAACGATAATACATGTGATTAAAGATGCAGGTAGGTAGGGTGCTTTATATGGCTGGACCGTTTTAAAGTTCGTGTTGTGTTTTTTCTTTCAGCTTTAAGATATGATTCTCACTTTTTTGCTGCGAGAAAGATAGAAAAAGTCATTAATGAAGATTATCTAACTCAATAATAATATAATTAGTCGAAGAAAGAAAGCAATATATATCATATCCACGTATGAAAGAAAAAAAAAAAGCAAAAACCAATATGGAGTATTAGATATGACGTCATCATCTGTAGTTTAGCCTAGCCCGTTTCTTCACCTAAACGACTGTCACGCAACGTGCGTGACTAGACGTAACCGAACTCTATAGGATCAACAAACTATAAATTTAATATATTAAAGAAAAAAAGGGGAAAAAAAAACGAGTAATTCATTCTGGCTTTTACCTGCGAGACCCACGTGCGTTGGAAAGAGATCTGCTCACCACGTGGCATTAGTCCATTCGTTTTCTGGATAACGCGCGTTTGAACAGAACGGCTCGAGTCCGCCAATCAGATAAGCACGAACCATTTCGTAACTGACTAGTTTTAATCAGTCCTTCTTTTATAAATTGGATTGAATAAACTCGCTTGGAATCCGGCATTGTATCCGTAAGCGCGCTTGGAATCCGGCACTTGTATCCGTAAGCGCGTGTGTCTCAATTGATGGAGATGAGAAAGTGCGATACGACGTGGCATGTTGCGAAAACCAAACAATTTGAGTTGAATAATTTCTGTTTTGATGTTTCCTGTTTAAAGCGTTTAAGTTTAATTAAAAATTAGAAATTTATATAGTATTTCATAACATTGGAACAGCTGAATTTTCAATTATCTTCCTATTAAATAAAAGTTCGTTCCAGTTTAATGACTGTTTCTGAATAAATAAATGTAGTGTCAATAAATAAATAAATTTAATTAATTAAGTATTTTAGAATAAACCCAGGGAAAGTAGGAGTTGGTCTGTAGGTTAGGGTTCAAAGATGGGAGAGATTAGGAGAAAGGAAGCACGAAGGCGTGACCCATTTCTTGAATTAGTGCTCCTTAATCAAGCGACACGTGTAGGCCCCACGTGTAATCACTTCAAATTATTTTTTAAATAAAATGAAGCATGTACAACAAAACACAGTCCACCATTAATTAAGTTTAATTTTGTAGTATTACAATACGGATCCCATTACAGTACTATGCTCTCTCCCTTTTACTATGTAGTTCAACCCCACTCTAGGTTTTCTAAATTAATTATTTGTATAAAGGTTAACTCGAAAACATCTTATCATGGGTTGGTAATGACACATTAACAGTGTTATGGAATGATTCTTTTTCTTCTTTTTTTTTTTACAAAAAAAACATTTATCCTATAGTACCACCAATACATTTGCATTTCCCTGCAATGAGTTTCTACAGTTGAATATGCACATGATATTTCTCTACTACATAGGAAAATACCCAAATTATGTCTTATAATTTCGATAATTGACGAAAATGGCTTTAAATATTTATGGATACCGAACAACATTTCTTAACTAGAAAGATAACAACAAAAATAGAGCACATTTTGCTCGTTTTCCATCAACCCTATTTCTCCAGCTTGCATCATGGACCGATCATCATGAATATATAGAAACAAATAAATAAATAAATAATAAATGACCATATAGATTTTATTTTAGTTATTACTTATTAATATTATTAAAATTGACAATAAAGTGGACATTCACGTGTGTGAGCATGTACTAGTACTACTACACACATCTCGATAGTTGTTATGATATTATCAACTACAAGAATTTAAATATTCTGCTTTTTTTACATCGAATTAAAAGGATTTATATTTCTGTATTTTCAAATTTACAGTATATTGGTGTGTTATGGTTATCTTTTTTTTGGTCAAACGGTGTGTATATACACTTATACTAATCTTTTTTAACGAAATTTGATGATGTAGTATTTAGTCTATTTTCTTTTTTCTTTTGCCGACCTATGTATTTAATTTTGTACTATTAGTTTCAGTTATAGGTCTATCACTATGTATATGTCTGAATAATGGTCCAAAATTTTGTAAAAGATACGATTACGGTCGAAAAGATGTATATTTAAGGTTGATAATTCGTCTGATTGAAATTATGGGACTTGTACTTTTTCATTAAAAGAGGTGTATTAGCTTCTAAGCTATTTGTAAAATTATCCAAATTTGTTTTGATAAGTTTATGTGGTGGCTGCAGAATACAAATGATATTATTTTATTTTATTCCGTTTTAAATAGTATTTTATATATGTATATATTACTTTCATTTTGTTTCTGCCTCCAAAAATATATATTTAGGTTGTTTGACAGGGACATGCAAGAGATAATATTGATCAATCAGCTGAAACCTATAAATTTATCACCAAGCTGAACACATGCTTTGCAAAAAGCTGAGTCTACTTTTCGTGTGTTTGATTATTAAATTGACAAGGTATAAATTTCGTAGGCTTTCAGGACACCAAATAAATATATTTATTTTATATAGTGGTGGACTTTTCTACCCTTTTATATAAATCAAAATGGTGATATACGTTTAAAGACTCGACATAATTGATTTATGGTAAGAAGTGGATTTTATAAGAATTTAAAAGAAAGAAAAAAGAAAAGAAAGGGTTTTTCTTTTTAACGGACAAAGATTCCTACTATGGTTGCTTTTAGACCACACACAAATGCCCTTGGGTCCCACGCCAATAGCAAGTGCGTTACCAACACGTGAATTTTCTCTCCCAATTTCTCGTCCGTTGCTGTTTATCATATCGTCTCTTCGACGTATCGCCTGTAACGTGTAATTGCTGAACACTACTTGATCAAGAAACACTGTTCTTTTAATTCTCTCTTTATCCTGGATTATTTATTTCCAGCGTTCTGGTATATCTATTTTTTCATTTGGTCAATTCTAACGTTCCAATTATTCATGGTTTAGGTGATGTTTAAAAGCGAAAGAAAGATAATTTATAAATGCGTCTATCATTAACCATACCATTTACTATATAACGGAGACAACATTTTGCATCTGTTGGATGCAATATGTGGTGGTTACATGAAACTTGTCCCAAAAAGACAATGTAGTAAATCGAAAATCTAACAAAAAGTTATCAAAACTTAAAGTGAACAAAACAAATTAGATAACATAAGTTTGTACATGATTGGAATAAATAATAGTAGGATTTATACCCTTGTTTAAAAAAAAAAAATAATAGTATGAATTTCAGTTTTTTATTTAAATTAACCAAATGTAAGCCGTAAAAGTATTATATGAAAATCTGTAGCGATGAATTTATTATTTAATTACTAAATCCAATTAGATATTGAATTTATAAAAGAGAATAAACACTAATAATTACTAAAAAAAGAAAAAACTTCGTTGAATCGTTTATAATTTGGATAAATCTTTTTTAGCAACACTAATTAATCTTATTTACTAATTGTATTTGAATGACTATAATAAATTCTGATTACGTATATCTTTTTTTTACAGTAAATTTTTTATCTAAAATTTATCTTTTTTAAAAAAACTTTTACATAAACAGTTTATGTATTTGATGAGGTGCACACAATCTAAAGTTTTGAATTTTTTTAATCTTAATTATATTAACTAACCACTTATTTTTCATTTGTTCTAAATTAGATAACTTAAATATCTTTCGAGTGTTTGAAATATAAATGGTTAGAGTTTTTAATTTTTGTTCGGCCAGCAGGATATTATATATTTTAATTCCTTTTTTACATACTTCCAGATTATGTTAATATTCGACAATCTTTTCTTTTTGGTATTACTATTACCTGACTTGTTATTAAATTAAGAAAAAAAACCAATAATGAAACGTCTTTGTTTTTCCATAAAAAGAAAAACAGGGTAAATTAAGTACGAGAGATTCACGAGACGAAAATTCCAAAAAGCGTACGATAGCCGAAAGAGCGTGGAAAATGACACCCAAAATATCTAAAGAACGCTAATATGCGCATTTTCCTTGGTGCCACGTAGCAGTTATTTCAACAAAAAAAACCCCATTCCCTCTCTTCTCTCTACGTCCACCCAGACCTGCCTGTTCACAGCACGACAAAGCCACTTCCCGATAAAAACACAACACCTTTCCATTGACGCTCTCTTTCCACAAACACCGTTACCTTTGTAACCAATCCATTCACGACGTGTGCTCAGACGTGTTGACGCCGTTAGTCCCATCTAAAAAAGTAAAGCAGCCTTTATTACTTACTAATCTATATTACTACCATATAGACATTAATTATCACTTTTTTTTTCCTCTTCCAAATGCTTTTTTATTTTAAATTTTTGCCAAAACAGATGGTTAATTTTCAACTCTGATTTACCGAAGTTACTGCTTAGGTTTTTTTTATTGGTAATAATTTTGTGAACAACTTCAAGATTACTTAACTTCCTATATAGTAAATTAGTAAGTAACTAGGTGTTTTCTTAAATTGAAATTAAGGGTTGATTTAGAAAATGCAATGACAATTTAGAAAAGGACTGTATAATAAATGAAAATAATGAATGGAGGAAAGAAAATATTTTCGTCACTTGTCTTTCGCTTTGTGAGGTCGCAGACCCTGGTCCCCCGGAAATGGTTACAACCGGATATAGCCGGTACGAAAGGAGAATGGTAACCGGTTGCCGGTTTTCCTTATGGTTAGAAGTTCACCACGGTTGAAATGATTGAAGCTGCGTTTTGACTACTCTGGTTAAGCCTTTGGTCGCCTCAGACCCAGAAATCAAAGATAGGAAAGACGAAGAAAAAGAAAAAAAAAGAGAGAAAAAAAATAGAGAGAGAAAGTAGAGAGAAGAAGAAGAGAAAAAGGGGGCTTGTCGTCGATGTACAAGCGTCTGTGACTCCGGTAAAGCCATAAGCGAGTATAGAAAGAGGAAGACGACAGAGATAGCGCACAGACTTGTTGCATCTCTAAATCGAGCAAAGTTTGAGGTGAAATTGGTGGCTTCTCGTTTGATTCTAGGGTTTATCTCTCTGGTAGCTGTATCGGGTAATGTAAAGGAGCTAAACCAGTGGTGATTGTGCTTGCGACAGAGACAAACGCAAAGAAAGGAATCAAGCTCAGTACATAGGCGAGCTTTGAGGGTTTTGAAGGACAAGTGGTGGATTTAGTGTTTTTCTTGCTGATTCAGTCTGCTTAGAGGCTTTTCTGATACCAGATGAAACAGATCTGAGCTTGGGATTACCGTGGTATGGCGAGTTCGGAGGTTTCGATGAAAGGAAATCGCGGAGGAGAAAACTATCCCTCCGCCGGTTACAGTGACCCGAAGGAAAACAGAATTGTTTCCGCCGCCGGAGAAGGGCAAAAAAGTAATTCCAACCGACCAGTCGCCGCTGAGCGTGTTGGTAAGTCTCCGTTTCTGACTTTTCTTAGCTTGGTTTTGGTTACAGTCTGAGTTGATCTAATTCCTGATCTCTATCTTTTCTTCTTCTTCTCCTTCGTAGTCGACCCTGAGGCTGCTCTCTACAGAGAACTATGGCACGCTTGTGCTGGTCCGCTCGTGACGGTACCTCGACAAGATGACCGAGTCTTCTATTTCCCCCAAGGACACATAGAGCAGGTGAGATTTCATCTCTAAGTTTTTTTTTTTTTAAATTATTTTTCCTCTTTGTTTCCGATATGCTGAAATATCTTCCAGTTTCTACTGTTTCAAATTTTTTTTTTGTCGTTTTATTGGTGATTAGGTGGAGGCATCGACAAACCAGGCGGCAGAACAGCAGATGCCTCTCTATGATCTTCCATCGAAGCTCCTTTGTCGAGTCATTAATGTAGATTTAAAGGTAGGCTTCTATCACTTTATTGGAAATTTTTTGGTTTCTGAGTCTTGAATTGTTCGCTGACGATAGATTTATCATATGATTTTACAGGCAGAGGCAGACACCGACGAAGTTTATGCGCAGATTACTCTTCTTCCAGAGCCTACTGTAAGTTTTGTTTACTAATTCATTGGTTTAAGTGGAGTATTGGATGATTTTGTTCTTCAAGACGCTGATTTATATTTTGTCTTTTTCTTACAGCAAGACGAGAATGCAATTGAGAAAGAGGCGCCTCCTCCTCCTCCCCCTAGGTTCCAGGTGCACTCGTTCTGCAAAACCTTGACCGCGTCGGACACAAGCACTCACGGTGGATTTTCTGTTCTTAGGCGGCATGCGGATGAATGTCTCCCACCTCTGGTTGGTGTTTCATTTGCTTCTCATTCAGCTTCTGATATCTATTCACTATATTCCGAGTTTCGCTCTTATATTATCTTTAATCCTATCTGCTCTCAGGATATGTCACGTCAACCTCCTACTCAGGAGTTAGTTGCAAAAGATTTGCATGCAAACGAGTGGCGTTTCAGACATATTTTCCGAGGTATAGGAATGTGTATGAGTCATTGTTATCATTTTTTTTTTTCAATTTTATGCTCTTCGAGTCTTTGTTTCATCAGATTCGTGTAGTTTGTTGATGCTTGTGATGATGTAATACCAGGTCAACCACGAAGGCATTTGCTTCAGAGTGGATGGAGCGTGTTTGTGAGCTCTAAGAGGCTAGTTGCAGGCGATGCATTTATATTTCTAAGGTTTGTGGATTTGTATGTTCATCATATTCTTTTGCTGTATCCTTTCGTTTCTTTTATGTGAGATATCTAATTCTTCTGTAGGGGTGAGAATGGGGAATTACGTGTGGGTGTAAGGCGTGCAATGCGACAACAGGGAAATGTGCCATCTTCTGTTATATCCAGCCACAGCATGCATCTTGGAGTGTTGGCCACCGCATGGCACGCCATTTCAACAGGAACTATGTTTACAGTCTACTACAAACCGAGGTTTGTTTTAGTTTAGCCACATAACAGCTTTTAGTTTTGAGCTCTTTGCTGTTTTTGTATCGATGGCTGATGCCTGGCATTGTTACTTTACTGAATGTTCATAATTTCTTGTTTTTGTTTGCGACAGGACAAGTCCATCTGAGTTTATTGTTCCGTTTGATCAATATATGGAATCTGTGAAGAATAATTACTCCATAGGCATGAGATTTAAAATGAGATTCGAAGGCGAAGAGGCTCCTGAGCAGAGGTAAAACTGACTCTCCTAAATTTAATAAAAATTTAGATTTAGTCTATATAAATATCACTTTTCTCAATGCTTAAGTTTACATTCTGACTTCCTGTGGAAGGACAAAGCTCACAGATTGTATTGATTTTTATTAGGTTTACTGGCACAATCGTTGGGATTGAAGACTCTGACCCCACGAGGTGGGCAAAATCAAAGTGGAGATCCCTCAAGGTATATCACTAGTTCCTAGATTAGTTCAAGATTGTTGTTATCGTGAATGAATGCTGAGTGTTCATTTTTCTTATAGGTGAGATGGGATGAGACTTCTAGTATTCCCCGACCTGATAGAGTATCTCCGTGGAAGATAGAGCCAGCTCTTGCTCCTCCTGCTCTGAGCCCTGTTCCCATGCCTAGGCCCAAGAGGCCCAGATCTAATATAGCTCCTTCATCTCCGGACTCTTCAATGCTCGCTAGAGAAGGTAAAGTCTCTCTCTTCCATTGCATTGCGTTTGGCTGTGTCAGTGTGTTTGAAAAGTGGGAGACTAATTCATTGTCTACGAAACAGGCTCAACTAAAGCAAACATGGACCCTTTACCGCCAAGTGGACTTTCAAGGGTCTTGCAAGGTCAAGAATACTCGGCCTTGAGAACAAAACATACTGAGAGTGTAGAGTGCGATGTTCCTGAGAATTCGGTTGTGTGGCAATCCTCAGCGGATGATGATAAGGTTGATGTGGTTTCGGCTTCTAGAAGATATGAGAACTGGATGACATCAGGCAGGCATGAGCCTACTTACACGGATTTGCTTTCTGGCTTTGGGTCTAACATAGATCCATCCCACGGTCATCGGATACCTTTTTACGACCATACATCATCACCTTCTGTGCCTGCGAAGAAAATCTCGAGTGATCAGGATGGAAAATTTGATTATCTTGCCAACCAGTGGCAGATGATGCACTCTGGTCTTTCCTTGAAGTTACATGAATCTCCTAAGGTCCCTACAGCATCTGATACCTCTTTTCAAGGGCGAGGCAATGTCAAATATGGTGAATATCCGGTGCTTCATAGTCTGACGACTGAGAATACTGGTGGCAACTGGCCAATACGTCCACGAGCTATGAATTATTTTGAGGAAGTGGTTCATGCTCAGGCGCAAGCTCAGGCTAAGGAGCATGTAGCGAAACGACCTGCGATAGTACAACAAGAGGAGACAGCAAAGTCTAGAGACGGGAATTGCAGGCTTTTTGGTATTCCTCTGGTAAACAACACGAACGGGACAGATTCTACCATGTCTCAGAGAAACAACGTGAACGATGCTGCGGGCCTTACGCAGATAGCATCTCCAAAGGTTCAGGATATTTCTGATCAGTCAAAAGGGTCAAAATCGACAAACGATCATCGTGAACAGGGAAGACCATTCCAGACTAATCATCCCCATCCGAGGGACGCTCATACTAAAACAAACTCAAGTAGGAGTTGCACAAAGGTGAGTTTTATTGCCATTATTACACACATAGAATGAGCTTGTGAGAAGCCTTGTAGAAAATTTTGACTAACACATTACATATTCGTTCTTTTTTTTTAAAAAGGTTCACAAGCTGGGTATTGCACTTGGTCGGTCAGTGGATCTCTCAAAGTTTCAGAACTACGAGGAGTTAATCGCAGAATTGGATAGGTTGTTTGAATTCAATGGAGAGTTGATGGCTCCTAAGAAGGACTGGCTGGTAGTTTACACAGATGATGAGAATGATATGATGCTTGTTGGAGACGATCCTTGGCAGTAAGATTTCTGCAGTTTCTCCAACTTCACTACCTCAATTGATATATCCGTGTTGGGTTTGCTTTTTAGCATTGACACAATGATCTTTCGCAGGGAGTTCTGTCGCATGGTTCGTAAACTCTTCATATACACGAAAGAGGAAGTGAGGAAGATGAACCCGGGAACTCTGAGCTGTAGGAGCGAGGAAGAAGCAGTCGTTGGGGATGGATCAGATGCGAAGGACGCCAAGTCAGCATCGAATCCTTCATTGTCCAGCGCCGGGAACTCTTAATCAGAAAAACCAACACCAGCCGAGGTATGTCCTTCTGGACTAATATCAGGACAGACCACGAGACGCACAAGTAGACACAGAACCAAGTTTTTATATCACTTACTTACAAATGATATTAGCTAATTTTGTAACGCAGAGGAAGAGAGGTAAGAACCCAAATCAGGAGAGGAGAGTTTAATGGTGGAGCCTGGAGAGCAGAATGGGATTGTGGAGGGTTTTTAAGATATGATATTAAAAAAAAATGCAATTTTTGAAGTATTTTGTTGGCCACTTAGATTATTAGCATCTTCGACCACCTATTATTATATCTAATAATAATCAATATATATATGTTATAAAGGTAAACGAAAAAGGTTACAGGTATTATATAGTAGAATTATGAAAGGGTCTTTTATAAGTAGAAATGATGGTGTGGAGTTGTAGTTGGAGGCTGGTATCGGTTCTTTTTATATGTATTTCTTTTACCACTTCCAAAGATCTCTTCCAAAGTCTTTTATTGTTTATATATTAATCCCAATGTACATAAGTTTTTAAGATTTCATTAGTACTCGAACTACTTCTCTACATGTGTGTTTTCTATACGTTGAATGCTATTCTCTGTTTCATCAACTGAAGTAACCATTTTGGTTTATTTCACTAAATATGGTGTATACCAGAAACCAATTCTTTAAATCTTCAAGTGGCAGTAGATATAAAATGAAATGTATACTGACTAGATATATAAACATAAGAGTTGTAAGAATCCATCATTGATAATATTCACAAGAAGATAATAAAAATACATAATAAATAACGCGCCAAAGTAATAACACGATTTTGTTGTTGAAATCAGAAATGAAAGCCTTGGATATGATGAAGACAGAAAAATTCATTAAATCCAAAAATATGTGGATGGTTAACGTCAATCCTTTCTCCTTCTTCATCCACATGAGACTCATATTTTCTTTTGTTACAAAAACAAAACGAGATTACAAATGAGTGAGCAAAAGAAAAGGAGGTACAAATAAATTTGTGGTTTGTTTGTATGTCATTCATCCCACCACCAGAAAAATGAGTACACTCTAACTCTTCACATGAATATCTGGGAAGCAAGTCATGAGGCATTGGAGAAAGCAAGGTCATCGAGAGAATACAAACATCCTAAACTAACCACGAATTGCGGTTTTGCCGTTAGGTGAGTAAGACATCATGGCACTGATAGATGTTGTCGAGTGCTCAATACTAAAACAAAAATAGAGCTCTGCTCAGGACTTTTCTACATAGAAGATTCAATCAGCAACCATATATACATCTCTTATAGCCCTGGCTTTTGTTGCTTTTATACAGTTTAAAGAATAAGGATATAAAAAACTTGCTACTGTTCAATAAAACGATGTATTGTGCTCTTTCTCTTTGTTATTCTAGTCTGATACCGATGGACAACACATCAGGCAGACATGTGTCTGATATAATAATTAATTCCTTAATTTCCAAATAAAAACAATAGGATAAAGTAACTGCGTGGGGCCCGCCACTTGGAGACAAGTAAACAGAGAAGGGAATAAACATGCAGAGGAAGTTTCCGGAAAGCCCAAAAACATTACGCAGCTTCTCGATCTTCGGCTTTTCCTCTTTTTTAACACACACACCCATTCCTCTCATTTCTACTACTACTCTTCTTCGTGACTTTCAGGGGACTCGTGCCTTCTTTTTTTATGTGTTTTTGAATCTGCTTTTGCCTCTTCTAACTAACTTCCGACTGAACCTATAATGATTTCTCCGCCGAGCGATAACGGTGCTGCGATGGTTACCGGTGAGTCTCAGAGATCTGTTCCCACGCCGTTTCTCATCAAGACTTTTAACCTCGTTGAGGATCCTTCCATCGACGACGTTATCTCCTGGAACGATGATGGTTCCTCCTTCATCGTCTGGAATCCCACTGATTTCGCTAAGGATTTGCTTCCTAAACACTTCAAACACAACAATTTCTCCAGCTTCGTCCGTCAGCTCAACACCTACGTACGTCATAAATAAATCTTCTCTCTCGTTCGACTTTTTTTTCTTTCTTCTTGTATTGTTTCTTCGGTTCCGGTTTTGATTCTCGTTTGGTCTCGCAGGGATTCAAAAAGGTTGTGCCGGATCGGTGGGAGTTTTCGAATGATTTCTTCCGGAGAGGAGAGAAACGTCTTCTCCGTGAGATCCAGCGCCGGAAACTTACTCCTCAAGCACCTGTTTCTCCGCCGCCGGAAGTGGTGGCGGCTCAGATAATCCAGACGGCGAAACCGGTTGTGTCTCCGTCGAATTCAGGGGAGGATCAGGCGATGTCTCCGTCGTCGTGGTACTGTCAAACCGGAAATGGTGGTTTATCCGTTGAGCTATTGGAGGAGAACGAGAAGCTTCGGAGTCAGAACATCCAGCTTAATCGTGAGCTTGCTCAGATGAAATCTCTTTGCGATAGCATCTTTAGCCTCATGACGAACTACGCCGGATCTTCCTCCGATCGGGGCAGTAGCAGTCACGACGCGATGAAACCGGTGGAGTTTTTACCGGCGAAGCGGTTTGAGGAAGAAGCAAGCCCGAGGCTGTTTGGTGTTCCGATTGGGATAAAACGGACGAGAAGCGAAGGAGTTCAGGTGAAGACGGTTACTACTGCGGCGGCGAGGGGAGATAAAACCGGCGGCGGGAGCGGTGGAGGAGGGGAGAAGGAGGAGACGCCGTGGCTGAGACACTATAATCGAGCCAATCAGAGAGTCTGTAATCAAACGGCTTAGATTTTGTGTGTAAGATATGTGCGCGGAGTAGAGGATTACAGCTTTGAACAATGAGCACGTGTCCTATCTGTTTTCAAGAAGTTTCATCAATCTTGACTTCTTTTCTAACATTTTTGTCATTAATAAATGCTCCTTTTCAGTATTTCTTCGTTCTTTTTGACATTTTCCTCTCTTTTTAAAAATTACTAAAATACTTCTATGAGGAAAAAGACGTACATATCGAAAATAATAATGATGAAATTGGAATTTGTAATGAAGCATCTCGAATCTCCCGTTTGGTGGGCGCGGTTCTTGTAACGTGGCCACAATTTCCGTCGAGTATCACAAACCAGATTATTATTTTCTTATCATCGATGATTTAATATTTTATGTGCTCTTCCATCATAACTCTGAACTTGTGTAAATCTCCAAACTCAGTGATTTTTTTTAATTGGTAGTACAAAATATAAAATGTAGGCTAAATGAATCCAAATGTGTTGATTGAACTGAATGTTGCGTGAACATTTTGTCCACTCAGGTCATTTGGTTGAATAACCCAAATGTATATCTGACGTGGATGAGATCCAGACAACAACAAGAACGTATGTTTTATCCGGCCATTGCTAAACTTGATACGCCCGGACATAGACAGACCAGTTAATTAGTTTATCAACCGGTTAATACGTATTATTATATTTAACTAAATTAGATTTGGAGTATAACACTTGCTAGACCCTAAACCCTTTTTTTTTGGTGTGAATTGTGTTAGTTTGTTCTTCCTAGGCTTTGCGCCGCCTTCTCAAAATCCAATTTTATTCATCGTCCCCAATCCTTCCTCCTCGATTTTTCTTTCCTCTCAGAGCAATCTCGTGCTTTGTTTGGATTCGTTTCTCAACGTAAGTTTTCTCACCAGCGCTTACTGAATCCATGATTTATTGTTTTTAGCGGCGATTCATGTTTAGGCAATGGAACTTTAAGCTGTGCAAAATTTTTTGTTGTTGTTGTTGGGATCTCCTTTCGATTGATTTTGTGATTCGTTTGCCAGATTTATCGTCTTAAAACCCATCTCTGTATTTTACATGTCAGTGAAAGCATGGAGCTTTCCGATGTAAGCAACGGCAAGAGCAACAAACCAAAGCAGCCACCAAAACGCTTCGTGAAGAACCAAATCCCTGAATCGATCCTCGGCGACGCATCGCTCAACGCCGCAATCTCCCTGCTGCCTTCGATTTACCAGTTCGAGGTCCATAAATGCGTCTGGCGGATCAAATCATCAAACGCCAAACGCGTCGCTCTCCAGCTTCCCGAGGGTCTTCTTATGTACGCCCTCACGCTCTCCGACATCTTCACGTCTTTCGCCGGAGCGTCTCACTGTTTCGTCCTCGGCGATGTCACCTACGGAGCTTGCTGTGTCGACGACTTCTCCGCCTCTGCTCTCGGTGCCGACCTGCTCATCCACTACGGACACAGCTGCCTTGTCCCTATTGACTCCACGAAAATCCCTTGCCTCTATGTCTTTGTCGAGATCCAGATCGATGTCAATTGCCTGCTGAACACGATCCGTCTCAATCTCTCGAGTGATGCCAAGAACATAATCCTCGCCGGCACGATTCAGTTCACCTCGGCGATCAGGGCCGTGAAACCGGAGTTGGAGAAGCAAGGTTTCAGTGTCTTGATCCCTCAGTCTAAGCCTCTGTCGGCTGGTGAAGTCCTGGGATGCACAGCGCCTAAGATCTCGAGGGTTGATGATCAGAAAGACGCGGTTCTGGTGTTTGTAGCTGACGGGAGGTTTCATCTAGAAGCATTCATGATAGCTAATCCGAAGATAAAGGCGTTTAGGTATGATCCATATCTCGGGAAGCTGTTTTTGGAGGAGTATGATCACAAGGGGATGAGGGAGACGAGAAGGAGAGCGATATCACGTGCCAAGGATGCAAGAACTTGGGGCATCGTGTTGGGGACATTGGGAAGGCAAGGAAACCCCAAGATTCTCGAGAGGTTAGAGAAGAAGATGAAGGAGAAAGGCATAGACAGCACCGTTGTTTTGATGTCTGAACTTAGCCCGACAAGAGTGGCGTTGTTTGAAGACTCGGTGGATGCTTGGGTCCAGATAGCGTGTCCGAGGCTTTCTATTGATTGGGGTGAGGCCTTTCTTAAGCCGCTTCTGACCACTTTCGAGGCTGAGATTGCTTTAGGACTCATACGTGGTTGGTGGGAGAACAGCTCTTCTTCGAGCAGAGGAGGTTCTCCTTCTGGCTGCTGCAAAGAGGACAAAGAGGCAAGCTGTGCGTGTAGAAATGAAAACGTGGAAGATGATGATGGTTTACTCGATGGAGACTATCCAATGGATTATTATGCACAAGAAGGTGGAGATTGGAACTCATCGTATCTCAAGAAGCCATCTCGTCCCGTTCGAAGAAATCCTTTACCTTCTTCTATAGTTTAGAATCGCTGTGAGCTTTTGATGAGAGTAGATTCACAGCGTATATGACCCGAGTCGAAAGGGCAATGGGTTTTGGTGATGTTCCTGGTGCTGTCAAGATTCTTCTGATGTGTTTTATTGGCGAATGTATTACTTGGTGAAGTCTTGAAGTGACACCAACTTGTGGACAGAACATAAAGAGTGAAGGCTTGTGCTCAGTTTTGAGACAAGCGTGAAGACCTGTCTAATCCTTTACGGAGATTTTATTTTGGGTTACAACGAAATGGTGATTAAGTGAAAATTAGGGAGCCTACATATCAGTATGTAGTGAAACACTGATGATGTACTTGTATTTGTTACAGGTTAGACCCGGTTTTGTTTTGGTTTTGAAGGTTTGGTTTAGGCTTGGTTTGATCCGGTCTACTCACTCATGGTTCTTAATAAAGATTATCATTATCTGCTCTCGATGTAATCAAAAATCAAGAAAATTATTGAAAAGGAAAAGGACATTTCGTTTGTGCTTCATAAATTATTACATTGAATAATCGTAGACACTAGCATACTCGTAAATATTTACGTGAAAATGACTCGTTATTAATAAATTGGAATTAGCACAGAAATCCAACGTTATTATTATGAAAAACAAACAATCTCAACTTACACACACTCTTGTCTACTTCAGCACATTATATGGTGAAATGCTGTCGTTTTAGTGGCTTTAATATTTAATTAAGCTATACATCTTGTAATTTTTACCGTTGTAGCTTTAACTGGTTATGTTTCAAAGAAAACTATAGCTATTGAATGTTATACCTGCAAAACAACTTTAATTGTAATACATCAAAGTTGACCCAACAAATAAAAGGCTATATATAAAATCTGACTTATAAAGGCTAGTAATACATTATAGTCAAACTCTTTGTAAATTTTCAAATGTGGCTTCTATTCACCATCTCGGAATCTTCATTATAAATCATTAAACCTACTTCTAGAGATTTTGCGACTATTGTTTGCAAGTGCTTAAATGAAACTTTAGATTAACTGTATTGACTTGACTTTAACAAAACATAAAACTGTATGGTTATGCTCCTACCTAATTCGTATCGTTCTAATCCATTAACGCTAAATATTATAATGGAAAGATATATATATATATATATATATATAGTTTGCACATCATTTCTTTATTAATTTCGTTGAAAATCTATCTTCTAATAGTATCGGATCTTCTCAAGAAAATATCACTCCATTTCCACCACCACTCTGTCGTCTGCCCCCTATCTTTTCCTATTTAAAAATAATAAATATAAATCACTACGAGTTATCAAACAACATTTGGCAAATCATCAATCAACTATTGGTTGATACCTTGAAGATTACTTATGGTGTGGAGGAGATGTTGTGTTAGCCCGTGTTTTTAAGTAAAAACTTTGTATTTACATTTTAAATGTTTTAACGACACGAAGAAACTTTCTTTGATACTGTTTGAGTTTGGCTAAAAGTGATATGTTAGCTCCAATCAAATCATCGACGTGTTAGATTCCATGCAGACAAATATATTTAGCTCTTCTTTTTATTTTATTTTATCGTCAACTAGAATCTTTGTAGTTGGGCTCTTACGTTATCATTGTATAAGCAGGTTTCTTCAATATATTAAAATAAATCTCTAATTAAATTAACAACTTATTTTATCATCAACTACTAATATTTGTTTATATTCTTTGTCTAAAAAATTAATTACCGTTTAATTTCTTACTTATCTACACTTGATCTAAGCCAAAAGGCCGAGAGGGATATTAGTTTCTAAGGACGTAATTTTTCATTGTATATAAAGGTATCGATTGTTTGTGGTTTATGTGTTTTCTCTTTGACAACAAATGAAATGATACTATCATTCATTCGGTAAACATATATATATATATATATACAGCCAACAAAATACATTCTTTTGAGTATATATGAACTCGAATGGAAACAAATCATTAGATTTTATATTCTGATTAAAACAAATACGGTTAATGCAAACGATCGCTAACAGAACAAACACACTAAACATGTCTCTGTTCATTATACGATAATCAAAATGGAAATATAAATAATTATTTAAAATTAGGTGTCACTGTTTGCGCCACGTATATTGGATTATTGAGCATATATGTATATAGTGATGAGAAAACTCACGCGGATTCCATGACTAGAAACTAGAAAGTGTATAATGAGATTCTCAGTCTTTATAAAGCAGATTCCTTTCTTTTTATTGTTTTTTTCCTTCTTCTTATTTGGAATATCTACAAATCAATTTCTAAGCCAATCATCGCAATCTCTGGTTTTCATTTTTTGGACGACACGCGTGCGTTTTCTTTTTCTCTTTCGCCAATCGAATATTTGATGAGAATTATCGAGTACTTGAGTCTTTTTTTTTAATATAACAACAATATGTTTTTTTTTTTTGGTATGAAATAACAACAACAATATGTTTAAGTAATATAGATAGAAATTACATAGTTGACGACAAAAAAAAAGATAGAAATTACATGCATGTACATACTTACATATCTAATGATCATGCAATGTCAAATAGTTAATTAGTAGAGCATAATGGAAAACAATCTAATCTAGTTATCCCTTTTTGATCTCCCTATTTTTGTCAAGTCCCGAGATTCTTTAGTGAGCCTATAAAAAAGCTATCAAATGGTTCATTCCAAAGAAACCAGCATCAATCACAAAAGAAAATTGAGAAACTATAATGTCGAGAGAAATAGAACCACTAATAGTGGGAAGAGTGATAGGAGACGTTATAGAAACGTTCAATCCAAGTGTGACTATGAGGGTCACTTTCAGTTCCAACACAGTCGTCTCCAATGGTCACGAGCTCGTGCCTTCTCTTCTCCTCTCTAAGCCTCGCGTTGAAATCGGCGGCCAGGATCTCCGTTCCTTCTTCACCCTAGTAATATTAATAACTCGACTTTTATTTATCGTCTTTAAACCCAAGTATATATGGATAATAATTACGTTAACTACTTAGTTTTGATCCTCTCTTCTCACATTAATCTTTTCTTCCTTTTTGTTAACCCTCGAAAGATCATGATGGACCCTGATGCCCCAAGTCCTAGTAATCCTTATATGCGTGAATATCTGCATTGGTACGTCGATTTTTTTATCATTAATATAGCACATTTCTTCACATATATAACAACAACAAATGTATATATGAGAACGATGTACAATATGTCTTCTTTATGATGTGTGTGCGTTCGAATTCAGGATGGTGACAGACATCCCCGGGACGACCGATGCTTCTTTTGGTAAGAATCTCATTAATCGCATCGTAAAGACGTGAATAAAATCTGAAAAGAATGTAGTTTTGAAGATCTGGCTGTATATGGACCGGTTTAAAACATTAGTGGCACAATCCGGTCCAAAACACATTTTTGGAAACAAGAATAGAGAAATGATGATGATCGACATATCATGAATGGTGACTGATTGATTTGATTTGATTGTAGGGAGAGAGGTAGTGAGATACGAAACGCCAAAACCGGTGATTGGGATACACAGATACGCGTTCGTGCTCTTCAGACAGAGAGGGAGGCAAACGGTGAAGGCGGGGCCAGCATCAAGGGAATGTTTCAACACAAGAGACTTCTCTTCTTTCTTTGGTCTTTCTCTTCCTGTTGCTGCTGTTTACTTCAACGCCCAACGTGAAACTGCTCCTCGACGACGTCCTTCTTATTAATCAACTCTACTTTATATTATAATACCTCTCAACTCTTTTATACAATAATGTTCTCTACACCGTCATGTGCCATAATAAAGTCCTATGATTAAGCACATGGTTTGTGTTGTTTTGTATGTTGAACCAAAAAGGAATAAGGAATGCCATTTGATCGATTGGCACTTGAAATGATAGTATATGTTACTCAAAATAAGTTTCTATAGGGCAATCATCTATTGGCAAAAACGAAATTACAAATATTGTTTTACAAAGTTAATGAAGAAAAACATACAATTTCACTAGTAGCTTGCTACAGCTACATTTGCCTCTCGAGATAGTTTCATCAATGATGAAAAAAAATCAGTGTAGTAGTATAATTGGTTCTCATCCTCTGCACTTTTGACTCCAAAGCTTTTATTATTTTTTTCCTTGCCACTAACAAAAAATAGTATCATAAGATAAAAGATAAAAATGCACCATTGTTAAATCATCTCTTCTTGCTGCTGTTGTTCTTCTTCCTTCCCTTAACTTGGCTCTCCAAAGCCTTGAGCCTCTTACTAACAGGACTCAACGATGTTGAGGAGATCCTCGGGTTTACCGGGGAAGGTGGTTGTGTCTGGTTCTGTGAATAGTCCTGCGTCATGGCTTTCATTTTCTTGAGAGCTGAAAACAGGTCAAAGGAAGGTTGTTGACCTGGAGGAGGTGGAGGCAGATCAGGTATGTTTAACATCTTCTTCACTCGAGGACGCTTAATCACTGTAATTCATCATCACCAGATCAACCATTCATTGTTATTGTTATGCCGCAATTATGAATCTTGAATACACACAACATTCACTCACTCACTTACCAAGTCCATACGTGAGAGAGAACAGGTTGGATGTGATCCAGTAACAAAATATGGCCTGCAATATTTTCCAAATACGTTAGAAAATCCAGCTGACAAAATTCTTTGGGGAGGTTCTTTGGATCAAAAATAGTAACCTGTGGAAAACTCATCGTCATGGGGACTGTGAGGAGAGCGAAACCACGGCAAACGTTTTTGACAGTGCTTGCCATTGGGTTTCCTTCCATGCCCTCTTGTGCATTACACTGTGAGGTGACGGATCCAAGCTTAAGTTAGTAAGTCTGAACCAAACGTTGGAGATATCAAAACTGTTTAAAAGTTTGGAATAGACTGTATTACCTCAACGGTTATCAAGAATGTCGCTGCTGTTATAACCGGTAAGATGTATAAGCTGTCGGGTGTTGTTAGATCGGTAAACCATAACGCACCTCCGGTTTGGAATGAAGGTACCTTCTCTGCCATATTTCGAATCTGTAGGGAAGACAAAGTAACTGATTGAGACGCAAGACTATATCAAACAACACTGGCAAAAGGCATACTAAAGATAAAAAAAGTCTTACAGCAAGAAAAAAGCAGATGAACAGAGGTCCCTGAATAAACATCCCTTTCATTGGGGTGAACGGAGTGACACCATATCTGTAGATTGTACAACAGACAGTCTTATTGTTATGTAAAATTTATCTACCAATATAACAGACAGGTTATGATATGACATTATACATGTTTAAGGGTTTGGATTCTGTCACAAACTTATCTCAGATGATCTAAATTTAAAAGTTAGCAGCTTACTCTTTAAACAAATTCTTCATCTTTTTTTGACCTTCTGCCATCGTAACGGGGTCCATTCCCTGAACACATATAGGGAGAAAGGAAATGGAGAAAATCAAAAGAAACATAAAGATAAGGAAATTTTGAGTTACAGCTGAGAGGGAATGTAGTGAGTGCAAAAGCTATTAGCAGAGTAGCAAAAGTGTGGAGGAAGCGCATGTTGTATGGCTGTGATAACAAAGTTAACGTACCTTGTTTTGCATTTCCTCCCGGATGGACTCCAATCGCGGCCTCATCAGCTGCATGATCATAGAACAGACTACTGATGGATGCAGCACACAACAGAAGAAAAAAACAACCCAAATATAAATGACAAAAAAAAAGAAGTTTAATGTGCATAGGCATATGCTTTCCTTTTGTATGTCAAATTCTGTTTCAGAGCCGCGAACGTAAACAGCAAGAAGAAAATGTAATGCTTGAAATGTTTTGTTATTGACTACAGTGATGTGGATCTCAACAATCTATTCTATACAGAAACTATATCCACATGTAATATGATCTTTTCCTACAAAAAATATTTGGGGAAACCAACAATTTTACCCTCTTAACTAATTCAAAATGGTCTCCAAGATGCAAAAAAAGGAGTAAACGGGAGACACATACCGATAGCTTTGTTGTGTCTTTCATTTGTTTGATCAAGAGAGGAACTGTTGATGATCGGATCACAATGGTTGCTAGAACAATGGATGCCCACCTGTTAATATCCAGAAAAGACATGAGGAAATAATAACAATATCTTAATCCAGATGCTATTTTCGAGATTTTAACTCAAACACAAAAAGTCACGTTTCTTACCACTCAAAACCTGTGAATGTATGCACCATATCGATGCAATGCTGAAGAGCGGCGATGGGTAAGAAAGAGTCATTGGCTGCAAGTGCGACTTCACTGACCGCAGCAGCAGCCTGAGCTGGCACATCTTGCAATGTTGACTCTGTTATGACTTCTGCGATATCAGACATCACACCGATCTTCTCTGAACCGACACCGTGTGCACTTGACATGTAGCGATAGAAAGCAAAAGCAGACGTAGGAGCCAGGGACACATGTGAGCCTCCTCCCGGAATCTGGGAGAAATCTGAGCTGATAGAGGATCTCTGGTGAAGAAAGCTATGGTAACTTCTTTGCGATGTGAATGAGTCCCCTTCATGGTCATTCTCACGAGGGATGATATGATAAGATAGTTGCTTCCGTCGACCGATAAGTGTGGACCTTATAGATAAGGCTCGCCTGAAAGCCATTGCAGAATCTAAACAAGATCCTGCAGTAGTAGTAAGGAAAAAGTTATTAGCCCACGATTGCTGATTGGTGAAGATGTAAATTTTTTTGTCACATACGAATAAATATGTGATCTTTCAGATCAAAGAGTTAAGCTTTTTCACATCGATCTTACTCTAAAACATTTCATAATTCCTGTTTAACGATAAAAAGCACACGGAATCAAGTTTCAATTTGGAGATATGATCATAGCGATTACAATAAAAATTGTAGATCAAATAAGCAAAACCCAAATGGAGTAGATTCTTAGTTACACGATTGAAGAAGGCATAGATGAGCTCGAAACAGAAATCAGATTGGAAAGCAGAGACATTTCATAACAGTATAATCACATATACATATCCAAATCTGAGCTTGAAGATGACAAACAGTAAGAATCAAACTAAATCCTAACAGTGTAACATTAGAAAACCTGAAAACCTACTTGAACGAAAATAGAATCTGCAGAAATAAAACCTGGCGGAAGATAAAGACGGTGACGGTGAGGGTGAGGGTGAGACGAGACGACTATGGATTAAAACAGAGACGGAGAAAAATGACGATGAAATGGTTGCGCAAGTGTCTGAGATGGCAAGTGAAATCAAGGGTTTTAGTTAAACCGGTCGGTTTTTATTTTGGGTTTGATTCGAAACCGAACCGAATCCGATCGGATTTTACTTGGGTTCGGTGCAAGTAAAAAAACAAAAAAAACCAGATTAATCTGCATTAGCTGTGGAAATAAACTGAATATAAGCAATCTTTAATAACCAAATGAATTCAAATGGCTGGATACAAAAGAAAGTTTAATCATGCAACAATACAAAAAAAAACAAAAAACACTAGATTCTACGTTAGGATTAGATTCAAATTTATTTAGTGTTATTAATATTATTATTATCATTTTTTTCCTAACAAAAAACCGATTAATCTGCATTAGTTGTGGAAACAAACTGAACATAAGCAATTTTTAACAACCAAATGAATTCAAATAGCTGGATACCATGTCCGGTTAATTTCACAACTAATGTAAATCTAATCGGTTTTAAACTAATTCAAATTTTAATGCAAATAAATACAAAAAAGAAAATAGAATACATATCTTTTTTTCTTTAAGTTTTCTTTTTCTCGGCATCTCTGCTTATTAGTTTTAATTTGTAGAAAAAGTTTAAACCTGCAACAATACAAAAAAACAACACCAGATTTTGTATTAGGGATTCAAATTTTATTTAATGTTGTTAATATTATTATTATCATTTTTTTCTAACATAAATCCGATTGATCTGCATTAGTTGTGGAAACAAATTGAACATAAGCAATCTCTAACGACCAAATGAATTCAAATGACTGGATACCATGTCCGGTTAGTTTCACAACTAATGTAAATCTAATCGGTTTTAAACTAATTCAAAATTTAATGCGAATAAATACAAAAAAGAGAATAGAATACATACTTTTTTTCTTTAAGTTTTATTTTTCTCGACATCTCTGCTTCTTGGCTTTAATTTGTAGAGAAAGTTTAAACCTGCAACAATACAAAAAACAACACTAGATTTTGTATTAGGGATTCAAAATTTATTTAGTGTTACTAATATTATTATTGTCATTTTTTTCTAGCAAAAAACCGATTGATCTGCATTAGTTGTGGAAACAAAATGAACATAAATTTCTAACGACCAAATGAATTCAAATGGCTGGATATCATATCCGATTAGTTTCACAACTAATGTAAATTTGATCGATTTAAACTAATCCAAATTTTAATGCAAAAAGAAAAGAGAGAGAATAGAACACATATATTTTCTGAGTTTTCTTCTCTCGGCATTTATGCTTCTAGGTTTTATTTTGTAGAAAAAAAATTGAACCTGCAATAATACAAAAAACAATACCAAATGCTATGTTAGGATTAGATTCAAGTTTTATTTAGTATTACTATTAAAATTATCATTTTATTTCCTAATAAAAAATCGATTAATCTACATTAGTTGTGAAAACAAATTAAACATAGGCAATCTCTAACGACCAAATGAAATCAAATGGCTGGATACCATGTCCGGTTAGTTTCACAACTAATGTAAATTTAATCGATTTTAAACTAATATAAATTTTAAACCAAAAGAAAAAAAAAGAAAAAAAACGAGAGAAAACATATCTTTCTTTTTCTTTTTGAGTTTGGAGATGGAAATGATTGCTCTCCAATGTATCTCGACGAACTCTGTTGTTGTCTTTCACACTCACCGCGCTGTGGAAAGTAGAGCAAATTACAGAGTGTGAGGGCTTGCATCAGATCCGATTTAAATAAGATATAAGTTTTTTGCTTTTTGTAATGCAAAGAAGGTTTTTGGTTTACCGAGTGGCTTAGATAAAAACCCATCATCGGAGTTTCTTGATGCCCAAGCCTTCACGAGGTGTAACAACGGAATAATCTTTACCTGTACGGAATGTTCCTGTGAGTCTGAAGGTCTCTGCATATCTTCCCCAATCCAAATCGATGATATACACCTGAGGTAGGGAAAACAAATAAATCAGGAGATTCTTAAGTTTAACCTTCACAGTTTTCCTAAATGAGCACATAATTATGCTTTCCAGGATATGAAATGAGAACAGGTTCATGTTCAAGAGCAGTTCTCCGAGATGGCACCTGATTAAAAAGTTGTCGGGCTTGATCTCACGGTGAATGAAACCTCTAGTATGCATATACTCAACTCTGTTAATCTGAAACCAAGGAAAGATAAGTGTAAACATTATGGATGAAGACATGGTATTCAAACCGTGAACATATGACTCACTAGTTGATCTGCAAGCATGAGAGAAGGGTTCTCAAAGAAAGTTTTCTGACCTAGAAGATTCCTACAAATTTGCCATAAACAAATACAGTTTTGCTCAGATCAGCAATAAGAACAATTTAATTCGCAAGTAACAGCAGCAATTTCAAATCTGATAATCAAGAAGCACCAAATTTACATGTTTTCGTTCGCATAAAATGCTGTGCAAACAAAGCATCAAAAACGAGAAATTGTCTCACACTAAATCACTACATTATGGTTTATTGTTAAAATCGAAAGTGCATTGTTCAATCAGTAACCAACTCTCTTTGTTCTGTTTGAATACGATCGTATAGATAACTAAGAACATCCAATGAGAGCTTCCAAGCAAATTGAGATCGAAACACATAAAGGAAGCAGACACAAAGATAGCAACTTTATCAGAAACCCAGAAAATAGAGAGATTATTATTACCGGTGCACGGTTTCGAGGGTGATTGAACCGACATCTCTGGGTAGATTCACCTCCACCTCCACCGCCTCGCAACCCTAGCCGCCACATCTAAGCTACAAACGCCGAAAATGAAATCTTTCGTTGGATTCTCACATAAACACTAATCGCAGATTTAAGCCCGAGAAATCAAGCATTTATAGAAAGAGAAAGATATAGAAAATGCAGGAAACCCCATCATTGTTTAACGTTACCTTCGATACCCGTTTCGCCTCCTGGAGCGGTCCATTATGGATCCCACCGCGAGCCATCTTCGCCGGCGCGACCGTACCGCTCCATGTATATTTTAAGCCTTAATCTATCTTGAAAGCGCAATTGGAATCGAGTGTTTCCGATTTGGAAGCGTAACTTCATAAAATCGGAAGCGTAAAAAAAATTCTCAAAATCTCGCTTTTTATTTTCAATTTTAAACAGGAAATGAAATTAAGGAAACTAAATGAAAGAACGTGTAAAAACTATAAATTATTATGAACGGATCTTTTATGCAGGTTGCATCTCGTGAATCATGATGAATAAGACGATGAAATAGAGTTTTCGCCCTATTTAACTTATTGGGCTTTTGATGAAATGTAAAAATTCAACCTTATTTCTACAACGGTCGTTTTTCAATTAATTAATTATTTATTTATATTTCTTTTTATGATCTATCCTATTCCAGTTAATCAAATTTCGGTCAACTAATTTTTACTAAATATTAAAATAAAACATATTGAATAGAATTATTTACAAAAAATGCAAAAATCATAGTATTATAAATTTTCAATGCTAATATATATTTGTATTGAACAGGATTAGTGATTTCTCTCTGAAATATATATATATATATATGTATATATATTGTGCAAAAATCACAAGAGGACATTTCTCTGATTTTAATATAATATTTTATTTTAAATATAATAATAAACTTTTTGTAATTGTTAACTATGGTAATACATAAATATTGTTTAAATTTATCTATATTTTCTTTTATTTATATTTAAAATGTTATTTTATTTGATATTATAAACTTTTTATTCAAAATGTTTACTTATTTGTTTTTTTTTTCCTGAAGAAAAAGTTTCATAGAAATCTCATGGCGTTCACACAACCTCTATTGCAAACCAACTCCAAACACACACACATAAACGAAAAAAGCTTCTCCTTTTTGTCTTGACTATAAGCCCTACATTGCATCACAAGCAAAAACGTCATAGCTTAGCGAGTTTGGCCAATTCAAGAATCTTTTATCCACCAAAAATTAATCAAAAGACTATGAGGAGACCATTCTCTCAGGTGGCGATCTCTCTCTTCTTATTACTATCGGCGATATGTTCAGCAGCAGTTGAAAACGCGGCGGATTGTGCGGCCGTTGGAACGCTGATATCGTCGTGCACGGAGTTTGTGAATTACGGGTACCCGGATCCGATACCTGGCTCGAGCTGCTGCGACGCCATGACTGTGCTCGGGACTTACTCTGATTCGTTGGAGAAAAGACGGTGGCTCTGTAATTGTTTCATTCATCTCATCAATGTCTATAACTCAAACGCCACCGCCATTTCTACTTTGTCTGGCTTCTGCGGCGTCGTTTTGGGATTCACCATCGACCCTAACACCGATTGCAACTTGTAAATTACTCATCTCTCTTCCAGTCTCTCTCTACTATACATTCCTTTATGATTTCTTGATCGAATTTGATTGGTTTGTTATCCTTTTTTTTAGCATTCAATGAAGGCACTATAAATCTTTCAAGGGCCAAAGAGTTCCGGTGAGTTGCAGCAAGAAATATTCTTCTTTATCCTAAACACAGTGTATTAAACTCATGATATCTAAAAACTCATTTGAGTTTCAGTTTTTATGAGTTAACTTGGATCAAAGCAGTATGATAGATCTTTGATTGAACGAACTCTCTAATCAACAAAGATATAGAACAGAGTTTTGTTCCTTCTTTCGCAAGCAATCGAAACTTGTTAAAATCAATTTACACATCCAGTGTTATACATTTTCTCCTGGAAATTTCTCAAACTCAAACCAAGAAAGAAAAAAACTAACCAAAGAGAAAGGGTCCATAAAGCTAGTTAAGAAACGAAGAACGCAACCTTGATTTCTCGCTGTGGTTCCGGTTCAATCGATCAGAAACTCCTCCTCCTCCGTAGTAACCGGGGCTTCCAACTTCCAAACCCTGCTCTGCAACCGCCGTGTAGTAATAGTACTGTCCTTGAACAGATCTCTTGTAGCCACTGGTCTCATTAGAGACCTCAAGCCTCTGTTTCGGCGCGCTCTGTGACCGGACTTTAGCTTTGTAAGACTCCGTGTTAGCCATGTAATTCGGGTGATAACCCGAGTAGTAATAGTTATTACATCCCCAAGAATACTCGCTCTTGGTCGTCGGCGTAAATGGTGTTCTTCTTCTTGACCCACTAGACCCAACTTGAGGACTATTCTCTGTACTTCTCGGACCCAACAGAGACTGTTGTCTTTTCCTCGGAGACTCATTGTTTCTATCTGCACGTAGCGGTTTGGGATGGTAATGAGGCTTCCAGGTATCGACTTCTAGGATCTTGTCGTCTTCCTCGGCTTGCCAATCTAACCGTTTGGAGCTGCCACGGTGGTCCATAGGGATGGCTTCAGCGTTTGAAACGCATCGCGTGTGGAGAGAGCGAGGAGAAGAAGAGGAAGAAGGGAACAACAGAGCGGTTGAGGAGTGGAAAGAAGCAGAGGAGTGAGAGGAACGAGAGGCTCGAGCACGAGCTTGACCTTGGAGACGAACCAGAGTCTGCATCCTTCGAAACATATCTGCAGTTTGTTTTCTCACTATGTGTCCTCTCACTAGAGCTTGAAGCTTCACTAATGCCTTTAGTGCTCTTAGTGCCCTCCTCGCCTGAAATTTTTCACATTAGCCAAATGAACCAAAAAAACTAATTCCAATGATAAAATCATCAAGACATAACTTATTTATATTTTAAAAGTGTGGTTTTTTTTTTTTAACTTGTAAGTTATACATAAGTCAATAGCCCCCATTGGTTGTTCTTCTATGGCCAATATAAAGTAGAAATTAGCTCCACTAATGATCAACATTTGAGTTTGCTTGAAAGTGAAAAACAAAGACGAGGTGAGTTTAATGATTTGTTGAAAGACATAATCATCGTTTTGCCAACTAATTTTAAACCCAAAGAAAAAACAAACAAACAAGTGAATAAAAGAGAGGTTTGTGGTTAGTGAAATTATTCTATTATGCTTTTAGTTTCCCAACCACTTCCACTTGTACCAAAAACTAGATTTAGTAATTACAGAGCCCACCATTCGCAAAAGTATGTCTCAAGGTCAAATGTGCACACACACACGAGTTCTTCTTTTCACATTGGTCGACATTTGAGAAACTTTGATCTTGATAATTACATAACTTAACTCCAATTAGTAGAGAATCTCCATATTCCGTGTTTTGAACCCTTTATTGATAAACAATTCACCGATAGGAACTTGAAAAAGGGTAACAAGACATGGCTAAAAAACAAAACTTTACAAGGGAAAATAAAAATTGCAACGTTTAAGACTTTTTCAGCTAAAGGATTGAACTTTAATGTTCCTTGAAAAAAATAAAGTTGCTCAGAAAGCAAAACAACCCATGTGTAAAATAATAAACAAGTGTTAATTTTATTTCCACAAATTAATAATTTTGGAAGAACAATAAAAGGGGAAAAGAACTTGGCCTCTTACAACTAAAATCAATGATTCTTCACACCAATGCTAGTGTAAGTTTTTATTTCAAAATTCTGAAAAGCTAGATCCTTATCAGATCCTTAATAAGAAGAAAAATGGAGTGATAAAAGATGTGATATCTTAGGAATAAAATGGCCATATAAATTATATAACTAATTCATAACCACTAAAAATAGTGTCGGCAGAGTGTAACAAGTTTCCAAGAATCTTCTTCGTTTCACATTTGTTTGTCTTCTTCTACAGTACTCTGTTTCTTTGGGACCAAAACTCCCCCAAAGAAAACAAAATTATGCCCATTGTTTACATTTTCAAAAAAGCAAAATTTTTGAATTTTAGGAATGAGGTAACAAATAAAAAAACAGTTTCAAACAGCTACATCACACCAGCTAAAAGAATTTACGGAAAGTTTCTTGGTCGAGAGAAGATTAGTTGAGGAAAGAACAGTTTCGAGATTCAAAAATCTAGTTTGAATTAGTTAAAAATTCAAACTTTATAAGGTGAGAAATTAACTAACCAGATAACCACGGAAAGCGGATTGAATCTTCACCGCCGCAAGGTACTCCTGAGCCCACCGGCGGTTACTCCCTCCGCCACCACCACCGTTTCTCCCGCCAGTTCCGCTGGTGAGTCTCACAACTTCCGCCGCAGCATGAGCAGCAGCTAGAGCAGCCTCGGCCACAACGGCGGTCGCAGCCGCCACGGCTATTGCATGTTTGTCGGCGTTTTCATCCTCCACCGAAGCCGCCGTCCGAGGCGGAGGATACGAACGTCTCTTGCTGGAGTTTGAAGACGCCGGATTAGAGGATCTGGTGGTGAAGCTCCATCTCCGTCTATCACTCGACGGAGCCGATTTATCCTGTTTTTTACTCCCGAATAGTCTCCCGAAAAAGCCCATCGTTCATCGTCGGAATATCGCCGGAGATTTTGGTGAGAGTTTATCGGAGATCGCTACGGTTAGAGTACTACACTTCATTTAATTGCTGAGAATATATAATGTTTTTTTTTTTATTAATAAGAAGAAAAACATAATAAGCAATTGGGTATGGAGAAACTGCTTATATACTAGATTGCCAAGTACGTTTCCACGCGCCTCACTGTTGCGCGTTTGTTACACGCGTTTCCTACAAGGCATTTTGGCTTTGCTTGACTTTAGGTAAAGAGGGTCGGTTAAAGTCAATGGGCCTGACTACTCCTAACCGTACCAGATCTGTGGTTGTGGTCTGGTTCAAACCTTTAACATTAACGACGTCATTTTTTTTTTTTTTAGTAATGTGAATATATTTGAATTAAATAGAGCACATAAAATATAAAGTTACTAAAAGAGAATAATTGGGAGGACGTGTCATTCTTTGAAGCCCATAAATTCACTGCAGTCTAGTGTCTGCGATTTTCTGCACTCTGCAGCTTTTTCTATGGCTTCACTTTTCCTCCAATGACTGCAAACTTTACAACTATGCAGGACTCATTTTAAATCAGAATTGTATTTTTTTTTTGTATGGATGATAGGTGTTTTCTTTTAGGTAGGCCATTATAATGCGTATGTTTACTTGTTATTGTGGTGGCATATTAAACTCTTGGACCCTTTTTTTTTCATTTCTGAACATATAATGAAGTACATGAAGTTGTGTCTTTTTTTTTTTTTTTGCTAACTAACTAAGTAGATGAAGTTGTTGATTCACCCTAAGTACTGTAGTTACGAGTGGTATTGTTTTCTAAAATTGAGTGGCTAGCTGATTAGGTGATTACGAGTGGTATTGTTTTCTAAAATTAAGTGGCTAATCGCCTAATAAACTGATTTTGAACGCTTCTTTTTTGTGTTTTATCATTTAATCGTCTACTTCACTTGGTTAGGTATCCTTAGTCAGTAGGATGCAGTTTAGAAGTAAGTCTATAAAAAGAAAAATAATAGGGAATATTCCCATAAAAACTAACTGTGATAACGATCGTCTAAAGTGCCCTAATAAATGCAATCCTTAGGTCGTATTCAGCAATCAGCACTAGGGGTCGGGTGCAATTTCTAGATTTTTCGAGCATTTAAAAGATACATAATTAGCTTGTTGACAAATAAAAAAACTTACATGATTTCCCATGCGTATTAAACAAGCCGCTAATAAATTCCGATAATTAGACTTCCGTACCCGATTAAAAGATCTTTGTTGTTAACAGTCGGTGAAAGTTTTATTCTCATAATTAGCAAAGCTTTATTTATTACGGTTGTATCTGAATTTCCAAGCGAATGACCAGAGCTAGATTACAAGGAATAAAAGGCAGAAGATAGACAAAACATAAAGGCAGGAGTAGTATTTAATTTTCTCATTATTCTTTTTTTCTTCCATTTTCCTGGATCCATCTAGGTCGGAACTGATTACTTAGCTCTTAGCTCAACTAAGCATTTATACCTGCATTGCATACAAAAAAATAAACCATACTTATATCAGAAACAAAACCATTTAAAGGAACACATTAGCTTAAGTAAACTATTAGCCAAACAAATAATGTTATCGTACCGCAATTGATAGCAGGAAGGTTACAAAGCGAAGGAAGAGAGGTGGCTGCACGGAGAGCGTTGCATAGACAATCTTTGTTAGTAGATTGAAGGGCGGCACAACACTCGGAACTCGGGCTGCCTGAACCGGGCAGCACCATCGCCGCACACACCTGCACATTTGCTAGATCGTTTCCACATTCTTGGGCTTGAACCACCACTGTTCCGGTTTCTATAACAGTCATGGCTAGAAACACAACACCGAGAAGGGCTGCTAAACACTTGAACGATTCCATAGTTAAATTTGTTTTGTATATGTTGTAGCTCTCTATCTATATTACTACTATATATATGGGGTTTAAGATATATTACAGTGACATATGTACATTTATATTGTTCGAATCCGTATTTTTCGAGAGACGTTTTGCATGGCCACATGGTCTAGTTACTTCATATGATTTACATGATCATAAAAGCTAAAAACAAGAAAATTAATGATAACTATTCAATTTGAGTTTTTTTTTTGGTTTATAATTGAATCGAGTGCAAGTTCATTTATTCAAGATAAATGTATGATTTACCAAACTCCGTTTTGTATGACCGAAAGGAACGGAACGGACGTACGTGGACCTGTTTACATATGACAACGGCTCTTGTGGACCGGACCGTCATGAGGTGGGCCTAGTGAGACGGTCGTATATGGAAGATGAAAAACCTATTCGGTTGAATCTAGGATTTAATTACCTTTTTTTTTATAACGAGGCGAACCAAAAAAAAACTCATTTCTAAAAAATTAAAAAGTAATAACAATATTGATTGATAGTGGATGAGTTCAACGGTTTCTTTTGCAGAATTAGACAAGATTTTCCAGAAACCTTGATGACAAAAAAAAAAACTGAAGCTTAATCTAAAAGCAGAACAACCACAACACAGTGTTGACAAGTTAACATTGATGAACCACCTCATGAGATTCATACAGCTAATTAAGAGTGCTCTCTAGTCTTTAGTACTTATTCTGTACAAAAAGACAACGTTTTGGAACGACGACTATCTATCAAATCCCAAAAGACCTCATTCATCATGCCTTCCAAGAATATCCCATGCTTTCATCAACCTCACTGCCAAAAAACCCGTTATTCGCAAAGCTGAGAGATGTGTTAGAGACCATCCCTTCCTGGTTTTGGCTCTGATCTAACCCCTTCATGCCCCTGAATCTGTTGGAGGTGCTTGGTGTTTCCGCTGTGAGCCCATAATCTGCTCTGTTTCTTCCCATGTTGACATTGCAATTCATGTTCTGACCAGAAAGTGACTGTTGTTGTTGTTGCCCGGAACCTCCATTGCTGTTTGCCATCTGTTGCCATATCTGGTGAATATACTGTTGTTCCAATGTTTGGTTACTGCTACTACAGGAAGGTGGTTGTTGGTGGTATTGCTGGGGTGAGCTATTATAACTGGAGCTTGGCATTTGTCGCTGAGGAGACGGATGGGAAGAGACACCGCTGATTGATGGGCTCTGCACGAAACCAGGCAACAGAGGACTAGCTCCTTGATAGCTCGGGGATGGGATCGGGTTCCTTGATGGTTCTTGTTGGATTGTGGCGTTGTTCGGCTCTGAATTCAGATGGTTCTGTTTCATTAGCATCGTCTGGTAGTTGGTAAGCGCAAAGGCGGCGGCTTGTGCAGAGCCATTTAGTGATCCTTGACCGCTTATACTGTTCATCGGTATGTTAATCCCGGAATTGCGCATGGCCATTAGCTTGTTGAGACTGTTCCTATCAGGTGGAAGCCCTCGAGCAGCATTTGCTAGTTGCTCCATCTCCTGCATCTGCATTTTACCTGTCTTCATTTGATATGGATAGCTCTTCAAAGCCTCTGCAGAGGTAAAAGACAGCAAAGCTTTTGTAAGCACAAAGAAGAGGAAACACAAATGAGTTGTTGATGAATCGCAGGGAGACTTCAGGGGTTTATATTTGAAATTACCTATTGGACCAACTTTTTGGTCACGACAGAAGTCAATCATATCTTTCATGCTGCTGACAACTTCAGAAATCTGTTAGAATAAAAGAAGACAAGAGAGTTGAACAGAAAGAAGGAGAGAAGCCACGAGGATGATGCAGAGGAAACTAGGAAATTACATCAGGAAAGTAAGCAGACAGATACCTGCAAACTTCGAACATATCGTTTGGAGAAGCCCAAGTCGTTGAGTGAGTGTGATTCCAAGCTTTTGGCTAGTTGACGTCCAGCAGCCATGACCCTGGAACAAAAAGACTTGGCATCTATCAACATGTCACATTTGCATCTTTAAGCTGAACTCGCTTTGATTTTCATTGCACAAGTGAAGACACTTACATAATCACAGTAGAAGATGCAAGAAATAATGAAATGGAATTGACTGAAAGAAGAAGAAAAGAAGAAAGGTAGAAGTCGTCTAGAATCATCGACTCACATGTTGCTATTGGCTTGCAAATCCTGCTGATGAATCCCATCTGATCCACTTTGATCGATTGTGCTCTGGCATTTCTCAGCAACCTGAAGCAATTGGTTCACCTGCGGGACAAGCATTCGAAAATATCAAGACCAGGCAATCCAAATAGAGTTTCAAAGATTGCAAGAAAGACGAATGTTACCTGTGGGGCTATAACGCGGCGAGGAAGTAGCTCTTCATGTCGACGAGTACAGAACTCCCATGAGAGAATCTGGTGAAAAGCAGAAGTATAAGCTAAACTGCTCTAATACATAAAAGGAAGAAAAGCATTTGGAATCAAAACTCAAAGCCCTTTGAACCTTAAGCTCTTGAGAGAATATTATCCGAAGGTGGCCTTCACGAACAACACGGATCTGTTCATACACACTCTCCTGAACTGCTTTTGCATACTCTAACATCATAATTCCAGAGGCAAATCTGCGCTCAGACGGCACTCCCAGATAAAGAAGCTCGTCAAGGACACCGCTTGCAAATTTGATTTCGTTAAGCCTGGGCAAGATATCAAAAGTTGCTTCTGCAGAATTCATAAGAAAAACTTAGTCAGAGAAGATGTTTCGATACCAGAACCATTTTTTTTTATATTTTCCATCTTCTAATCAGAGGATAAACTAACTCTGGAACTTACCAAAACCTCTTCCCGATTTAGAACCACAAAGATCACAGTGCCATTCATCCTGCAAATAGCAAAAAGAAAAACAAGAACAAGTTTACATTAGGTTATATCATATGAGTAATTACACTGTACGACCAGAATATCATAAGCAAGAAAGATCAAGAGAAATAAAGCATGAACAAAAGTTGCAAACTATGATACACTTGAAAACTCAAATACATCTATATACTGCTTACATTAGGCTATATAATCTACGACCAGAATATAATAAACAAGGAAGATCAAGAGAAATAGAGCATGCAAAAAAGTTGCAAAGTATGATACACTTGAAAACTCAAACACATCTATATACTGTTTTATTCACGTTTTGGAGTATAAACAAGCACAAACCGGAAGAAGAATAAAAACGAAACAGGTGGTGAGACAAACCGTGGCTGCCTGAGGAGAAACACCAAGTGCGCTATTCCCCACATTATCGTAATGAGAGAGACACCATCTTTTCTTTGCCCGGGGAGAGAAATACTCCGTCACAAATTTCCTCCAGTAAACAATACTGCTCTCCTACAAAATCAGCAACTGGTATCTGTCAAGAGCATTTCTCTAGTATAGACATAGAACAAGAATCCTGAGGACTACATGCATAATACTCACAGAAGGCCTTTGACGCTGATGATATAGGTACTGCATTAATCTCCGAGCACAGACGCTGTTTTCGTAAGGTCGTGGTCCACCAGATATCTGCATCTGCATTCCTTGCTGTTGCAACAGCTGCTGCTGCTGCTGCTGCAACTGTTGCTGTTGCTGCACCTGTTGCTGCTGCTGCAGCTGAACCCGCTGCAATGGTGGGAGGGACTGGATGTATTGTTGCTGTTGCCTCAGCTTTTGTTGCTGAAGCATAATCTGAAACTGTGGGTTCTGTCCTTGCTGTTGTTGTTGTTGCTGCTGCTGCTGCAACATCTCCTGTCTCTGAAGCCACTGGCGTAAAATCTGCTGCTGCAGAGCATCGTCCTGTTTTGAATCTAGTCGAGGCTTTTTCCGCGCCTGCGTTAGATTGTTCGGGTCCTGAAAGAAAGACTCAGAGGCACGACGACCCATAGAAAGCGGTATCTGATTACTCTGCGACGTGGGCAGCGATGTAGCACTTGAGCCTCCTCGCTGGACACTCGGGTCATGGAGGGAGCCACGCTGCACGACGGTGGACCCGTCAGCAACAGATGACCCAGAGATGCTGATGTTGTTAGAGGAGAAGGACATAGGGGACGCAGGCAAACGCATATACGACTCGTTGTTGATGCTAGCGCTTCGCTGCAGATGAGGACCGCCTCCAGAGAGACCTGAGTTAGCATCTGTGACCATCGAACTAGCTCCGGCGCTTGGACCAGGGGTCGAGACGCTCATCATAGCCGGGTTGTGCATCTCCCCAGAGACCATACTGAGATTGTGGTGATACCCAGGTCCACATCCAGGGACAGAGTTGGATGAGTTCCCGTAAGAGGAAGTGAAGTGAGAGTTCATGAAGCCTTGGGATTCATCATCTCCTTGGAAGAAAATCCCAGAGGTTGAAGAAGATGGGGTTAACCCACCAGCCATCGAAGGTAGGTCCCGGAGTTAAGTCTCAAGCGAGTTTCCTCCGAAATGCGACACAAATGTCCCACCTTTAATGGAGATTTCTGCAACATAGAATATTTAGAGATGAAAAAAATCAGATCAAAGAACGTTGTCCTCTATCGCAACATACACTCGAATCTGGTGCTCCAAAACAGAAATTAAAACTCTCAACTCTAAAATTAAAATCCCAAATCCAAACATCAACATATGTGGAACTAAAGCTGAATTAAGCCCAGAGTAATAGCTAAAGAGACAATTTTTTTCCCCCTCCTAAAAAAAAATCTCGCATTACGAAGGAATCACAAACCTCAATAGTAATCAAAACCCTAATTTTTAAGTTCATTACTTCACAAAAACTTAAACCCAGAAACTAACCTCACCATTTCCAAACAAACAAACGGGAAAACATGTAATCCTGTAAACGAAAGCAGAAACTAAAAGCAATAGAGAAGAGATACGATCACAGAAATTAACTAACGAATTTTAAAAAAAAAAATCGGAAGAACGAAGAAACAACATACCAAGAACTGTGAAGTGGAGCTTCAATCAGCATAGAACAAAGTAAAAATCACGGCTCGAAGATATATCAAACTAAAACCAACCGAATCGAAAACAGGAAAAAAAAGGAAGAGAATGTAAATTAAAGAGAAGTTTTTTTTTTTAATTAAAAATACTGCTTCGAAATTTCAAGCTGGAAATTTACTAAAACAAAAAAAAAGAGAATTTTTTGATGCATAAAATGGAAAATTCTAGAGAGAGAAAAAGGAGAGCTGGAGACAGGCTCTCGAGGCTTCCTTATATACCTAGTGCAAATCGCAGAGCCAAAACTGACCGGGCGAGCCGGTGACCATCACCTAATGTTACAAGTACATCCCTTTTATTTACCCGTTGGTCAATACTGACACGTGTGTAGTGTATGATAACAGGTATCGTTTGATCGATTGGTAACCTTTAGATCTTATGATTACGTGTCCAACTTGTGACCCGATGATCTATAAAGGTTATTCTATTTCTGATCGTCCGATTGAGAGAGAAGATCTTCTGCGACGCATGTAGATTCATCAAATGCATTGCGTTTGTACATTGACCAAATATCAACTCCATAATTTTTCTTCGATATTTATTTTTTGGTTAAGAAACAAATAACTACACCAATGATTGCAGCTGTAAATGAGTGGGCTACGACAAATGTCCACTTTGTTTCCTTTGAATACTCACTGACAAAAATAAATTCGGATTTACCCCAATACTACTGACTTTGACAATTTAACCCCCAAAATAATTCTTACAAGATCCAATTATGGAGCTAACAAAACAAGCAGCAATCAAATGAGACAGCTGTATTACGAGAAGAAGATGAAAACACTGCTAAATATGAAATGCAAACTTACTTCTCTCTTCACTGACTCCTCCTTCTCCGACAAGATTAGCTCAATGTGGCATGGGTTTGACATGTAAGCTGCAAAACAAAAAGATGATAATTGTTACTCAGTAGAGCAAGTAACGACTGCCTAAAGAACTGTTCTTTAGAGAGCATACGGTTGATTCTTCCATAAGCACGGTAAGTCCTACGCCTCTGCTTCTGTGCTTGGTTCACTTGGATGTGAGATATGAAGAGAGCATCTACGTCCAAGCCTTTCACCTGAAAAACAGTTTGACCAAGAGTCAACGGTTGCTCGTTCGCAGAAAGGTTTCTTTTTTTTCTTTCTCATATACATGTTGGATTGTTTCAAATACCTCTCGGCGTTGTTGAGCAAGCCAAGGACGAAATTTGCAGACTTGGCGGGGCAGCGACCTTGGCCATCAAATCAAGCCCATTCTTTTACAATTCCTTTAATGGGCTTGACCACCCAATAACCTCATATATATATAATAACAATCTGAATAAATGTCAATTGCATTTTGAAAAGTTATATTTTTTCAAAATTTGTGGTTACATCTTTTCATTACCAATGATTGCATCTTTTCATTATCAATGGTTGTGTTCTTTCATTAACTATAATTTGTGTCTTTTCAAAACTATTTATATTGCTCAAAACTACAGAAAAAAGTATTTGAGTCTTAACTTTTACTTTCTTACTATAATAGATTTATTAGGTTTAACTTTTATTTTTTTTACTATAATGGGTTTATTATTACAATAAGCTGTGAAATAATGAAAGTTTTTTATGTCAGCATTCTTTTATATGAAATAAAATCTAATAATTTAGTCTAACTTTAACTTTCTTACTATAATAGGTTTATTAGATTTAACTTTTATTTTCTTATTATAATGAATTTATTATTACAATAAGCTGTGAAATAATGAAAGTTTTTATGTCATCATTATTTAATATGTAATAAAATCTAATAATTTAAAGGTTGTGTTTTCTTTCTACTAAGCTAAATATTTTCTTTTAATCTTTTTAATGTATGTTTTATCTATCTATAATAATTATTTGGGTCTGATTTTCATATTTTTACTATAATGGTGACCGGTGACAAAACTGGTAACTATCCGAATAAATGTCATTTGCAAAACATAAATATAATAAATGTCAATTACCCTTACAAGGTTGTGTGGTTTCAAAATTTGTGGTTGCGCATTTTCATTATAAATGGTTGCTTTTTTTATTATAAATTGTTGCTTCTTTTCATTATAAATAGATACATTTTTTCATCACAACTGTTATTTGTGTCTTATCAAAACTATTTATATTGTTCAAAACCACAGAAAAATATTATTTAGGTCTAACTTTTATTTTCTTACTATAGTGGATTTATTATTACAATAAACTGTGAAATAATAAAAGTTTTTAAGGTCAACATTCTTTTTTATAACATCAAATCTAATAATTCAAGGATTGTGTTTAGAAAGACTATTTGCATTTTGATAAGTTGTGTGGTTTAAATATTTGTGGGTGCATACTTTCAATATAAATAGATGTATTTTTTCATTATAAATGATTGTATTTTTTCATTATTAATGGTTGCATTTTTTCCATCAGAGATAATTTGGATCTGTTCGAATTATTTATATAATTCAAATCACATAAAAAACCACTCTATCTATAATAATAATCCAAATAAATGCCACTTGCACTTTAAAAAATTGTGTCGTTTCATAATTTATGGTTGCGTCTTTTCAATATAAATGATTGCGTTTGTCCATCAATTGTTATTTGTGTCTTTTTAAAGCTATTTATATTGCTTAAAACCACTGAAAAAATCAATTGGATCTAACTTTTATTTTTTTACTATAATGAGTTTATTATTAAAGATTGCTTATATATTTACTTTTTGCTTTACACTATTTTGCGAATACAAATTTTTAATAATTATAAAAATAGTTTAAAATCGCATATTTATATCATATTTTTAGATTGTATATTTTCATATTTAAAAAGTTGTGTATCTTATTTTCTATTAATAATTAGTAATAATACTTTTTTATCTTAATTAGTTTGTACATTTTTCTTTAGAACTTATTATTAATAATTAAAAATATATCTTTTTATTTTAATCATTAGAAATTGTTTAGATGTTTATATTTTTATTATTAATTTTTATTTTATATATTTTACTTATAATTATTTTAAATAAATTTCAATTTAATTTTTTATATATCGCAAATTAACTCTGCCAAGCGGGGTAAAAGTTTATTTAATAACTAAATCATCTCATCACTTTAGGCCCATTATTAGCCCATTAATATATAATACCAGAAAGACAGAAACAATTACAGTCTCTGTTCTCCCCCAACAGTAATTAGGTCTCTGTTCTCCAACATAAACAATTACAGAGACAGAGCAATCCATGGTCCTTTTGGAGCGGTCGAAAGTTCGAGACAGTTTGGATCTGCGAGATAGACATTTTCCGGTTGCAGAGTTTGTCGGAGTTGTGCGATGACGTGTAATGCAAGTTTCTGTTCACTTGCTTCATTACATCACCTGCACTTAGAAATGTAGAACACGACTTATAAAGAACAACAGGGATGTAAAATAAAATATATGTGTGGGGACATGAATTTCTCGTTATTATCAGCAAATTAGATATATGTGGGGTTTAATAAAAATATTGGTACTTTTTTATATATTGAATGATGTATGTATGTATCTGTGGACTGTGGATGACTGATAATGAGACATAACAACAATCACATTAGCTGTCACTCGTTTATTTACTATTTTTTTGAAAAAGTTATTTTTGCTTTTATGGCTTTAGATCGTTCTTCTTCCACGAGTTCTGTCCAGAAGCAGAGAGAGAGATAGAAAATTAAATTATTTAAAAACAAAGTATATTTACTTCCCTTTGTTCAGACGTTTCTTTATTATTCTTCTTGATCGTGTTGAGAAATCAAGTTCATCTCATCATTTCACTGTTCTCTTATCTCTCTCTCTATTTTTTTTGTCTTTATTTTAAGTTCTTTTGACTTTAGAATTTTCGATCAGAAAACAAAAAAAAATGATGAAAATGATAACCGGAACAACCACGACCACTTCCGCCACCACCGCGGGCGATGGTGAATGGGAGCTTCGACCTGGAGGAATGGTTGTACAGAGACGAACAGATCATAGCTCCAACGTACCACGTATCATTCGGGTCCGGGTCAAATACGGGTCGGTTCACCACGAGATCAGTATCAACTCTCAATCTACTTTCGGTAACCAAAAACAAAAATTCATATGCTCTGTTTCTGACTTTGGCTGTTACTAAATTTAAGTTAAATATAAAATTACATTAGTTTTTATGTTGCTTTTGAATTTGGTTGTTATAAAATGAAACAGGGGAATTAAAGAAGATACTATCTGATGAGACAGGAATCCATCACCAAGACATGAAGATTCTATACAAAGACAAAGAAAGAGATTCGAAGATGTTTCTTGATCTTTCTGGTGTCAAAGATCGTTCGAAACTGATTCTCAAAGAAGATCCGGTTTTTCATGAGAAACGACTCCTGGAGCTGAGGAAAATCGCCGCCAAAGGGAAAGCCATTAAAGCAATCTCCGAAATTAGCTTAGAAGTCGATAGACTCGCCGGAAAAGTAACCGAATAAATATATAATTTCAAATTCTCTTATGATAACACTCTTGTCTCGGAAAATGATATTAGAAAGTTTGTTGTTTTTTTCTTTTTGGATTTTAGCTGTCGGCTTTTGATACAGTAATTGGTAAAGGAGGGAAAGTTGAAGAGAAGAATGTGGAGAATTTGATGGAAATGTTGATGAATCAGTTGGTGAAGCTCGATGCGATCTTAGGCGATGGAGACGTTAAACTGAAGAAGAGGATTCAGGTACCTAAATTACATGTTTTAATTGCATATCAATGGAGTATATATTAACGGAGTAGTCTCATGATTTTTACATTTATATGTTCTTACAAAGGAGGAGAGATTACATAATTACGTTGAGGCACTCGACGTGTTGAAGATCAAGAACTCAATGCAACCGCAGCCGCAAACGCAACCACAATACAAGGAACGAGATCTGGTGACACTTGAAGAGGAAGCGTCGAGGAAACGCACCGCTTCCTCGGCAGGTCCTCCGGTGATCATAACGACGAGATGGGAAACGTTTGATTCAAATACCACTTCCACGGCCGAGGCCAAATCGCTTAAACCTGTCCATCAAAAATTCAAATGGGAGTTATTTGATTAAGCTATATCCTGTATATATATACTACACCTTACACGATAATATCTAATATAATTTATTTTTTTTCAGAATTTTGTAATATATGTGGGTTCTCTCTCCGTTTCTGTATTATTTGTGGTTGATCTTTTACGTCAGTCTAGCAAATTTTATTTTATGTCGTGTGTTTTAGGAATGTAACCTCTAGAATAGCTTCAACGAATAGTGATACCATGTATACTCTATAAATCATTGTGTGAGATTAATGTTTTACGTTGGCATATTGAACAATAAGCTAATGAATTGCCACACCAGTGGCAGTAAGTAGCAACAGCGACAATTCAAATGCGAATGGGTCCGGGACAAGACAATCCTCTATATATATAGATAGGGACAAACCATTGAAACAAACCACAAACTGCCAAACAAGCGTTATAAACCTAATAAATACTTTGCAATATAACCGAAAGCAAGCCCTTTTTATATATAAAAAATATATATATGGAAGCAAATTCGTATTTCAATTTATAACCCATTTCTAGCTCTAGTTAACTAAATTCTAACGGATTGTACTCATATTTTCGATATATCAATATCCAAATTCAAATCCGCATAATTAACTCCAGCTTCATAAAAAAAAAACAAAATTTATTAAACACTAACTTTTTAAAAGAACAAAATATTTTAAAAAACTTGTTAACTCCAGCTTCATAAAAACAAAAGTTCTTATATGAAAAAGAAAAGAGAGATGCTCATAATTCTTCTTTACCAGTTTAAAAAGAACAACTAAACATATAAATAAAAATCCATGAAATAGCAGCCAATTCGAATATGATGACTAAAACAACATCCCAAGTTTTAATATAGTCTTAAACAACACCATACCAAACATATAAAATAGTACTTAATGAAATTTGTAAGCGAAATTGGGAGAACTTTTTCAATTCATGCCAGGTAGAGCAAAGAGTTCAGGAAGTCGTCAGTGCCAATATCCTATATAAAATATACAAACACAAATCAGTAAATGAATCTGATGTAATAAGTTAGAGATGTACTGTAATCTAAACTAACATTTCCTAAATTAAAGATAATGTAAAAAAAAGAGTGATATAGTACTGTACCTCAAATTATAATATTTAAACAAAACTATCAATACGATTAGTTTTCAAACAAAATTTTATTATAAACATTTACCTGATCGAATGCAAATGGGAGTTCCGTCAAATCCGCAACATTATGTTCCTATATCAATTGCCATGTCATTTTACATGAACGTAATCCAAGATGCACAAAAAAGAGCTCTCAGTGATAGAAAATAGACTTACCTGATTTGTGATGTTCGTGTCCCGATTAGGAAAGTATATTTCCCCATTAGCAACAGTAGGGTTCAATGTTTCTTCATGATGGTTACCCTTCAAAAATATATAGATTGTGTATGGTTAAGAAATCTTCAATCCATATCCATGCAAGTTTTATCGAGCTACTTAAGAAAAGTAAAATAAACATGGCTTACGTTATTAAGAGGATAAGCAGTAGACACCCCAAGACTTTCACGAGTCACTTCACCTTGATGCTGCTCAATATCATGTATATTATATATATGGAAGTTTTAACGAGCTACTTAAGAAAAGTAAAAATAAACATGACTTACGTTATTAAGAGGATAAGCAGTAGACACTCCAAGACTTTCACCAGTCACTGCACCTTGATGCTGCTCAATATCATGCATATATATATGAATCAAAACATTAACTCCATATATGAAAAAATGATTAAATTAATATTATTAATGGATTTACCTGACTCTGATCAAACTGCGAGTTAATTGTATCGCAAAAAAACTCGTTGATGCCATGATGATCATTAAATATGATTGGATTCTCTATTAAAGAAACCACACCATCGGTTTCAGAAATCATGTTGTTCTGTGACTGATCCTTATTGTCTAAGAAGGATGACAATGCAGAAGTTGAACTTCCATGGCTACTCCTGTTGCTGTTATCGAAATTCCAATCCATGCCACTAAAATTTTCACCAAGAGATTCATCACCATTACCAATACCAGTACCATTACCATGAACCCTTATTCCACCAAGAGATCCATTATCATGAACCATTCCACCAAGAGAGCCATTACCATTACCATTACCTTGAACTCTTATTCCACCAAGAAAGCCATTATCGGTACCATAACTATGAACTCTTATTCCACCAAGAGTGCCATTGCCATAACCTTCATCATGAGCTCTTATTCCACCAAAAGAGTCATTCATGGCATCACCGTGAACTCTTATTCCACTAAGAGAGCCAGTACTGTTACAATTACCATAAATCATTCCACCAGAAGAGCCATTGCCATTGCTATTACCATTATCATCAACTCTTATTGCACCAAGAGAGTCATTACCATTACTTGGAACTCTTGTTCCACCAAGAGAGCCATTATCAGTACCATAACCATGAACTCTTATTCCACCAAGAGAGTCGTTGCCATTGCCATAACCATCATCATGAACTTTTATTCCACCAAAAGAGTCATTCATACCACTGCCGTGAACTCTTATTCCACCAAGAGAGCCAGTACTGCTACTATTACCATGAACCATTCCACCAAGAGAGCCATTGCCATTACCATTATCATCAACTCTTATTCCACCAAAAGAGTCATTCATGCCATTACCGTGAACTCCTATTCCACCGAGAGAGCCAGTACTGTTACTATTACCATGAACTCTCATTCCATCAAAAGAGCCATTCATGCCATTACCATGAACTCCTATTCCACCAAGAGAGCCAGTACTATTGCTATTACCATGAACTCTTATTCCACCAAGAGAACCATTACCATTATCACTGCCATGAACTCTTATTCCACCAAGAGAGCCAGTATCATGAACTCTTATTCCACCAAAAGAGCTATTATCATGAACTCTTATTCCACCAGAAGAGCTATTATCATGAACTCTTATTCCACCAGAAGAGTCGTTCATGCCATTACCGTGAACTCCCATTCCACCAAGAGAGCTGATACCATTACTATGAGCATTTACTCCACCAAAAGAGCCATAATCATGAACTCTTATTCCACCAAAAGAGTCGTTCATGCCATTACCGTGAACTCCCATTCCACCAAGGAAGCCAATACCATTACCATGAATGCTTATTCCACCAAGAGAGTCATTACCATAACCATTACCATGAACGCTTATTCCACCAAGTCCAGCCAAATTTCCATTTTTATTGATGTTGATCCCAATGTGATTACTACCCGTAGTACCAGTAGGAAGGTTAGAGTTCATACCCGGAACATCGATTGTTGTACCATATCGTCCAAAACTAGGAGCTTGAGATCTTCTGGACATGCTTCTTTCTTCCTCTTTGAAAGGCAACATACCATGTAAAAAGGCGAGCCTAGGCAACAAAGTGGATCCGGTTTGGCTTAGATCACTGGTGGGTCTACGGTTCATGTAGTTGACAGAGCCATGGAAACCAGCACTGTTGTTCATCATGGGGCTAGATATTTGACAACGACCGTAGCCAGGTTGGGAATTGAAACGATTGTTGTTGAGTAGGCTTGTCTTGTAGCTGTATGATGGTGTAAAGTTGCAGTTCATAGCCATGTGTGCCCTTTGCATGCCTTCCTCCTTAACTTTCTGCAAGAAGTTCCTGTACTTCTGCGTAGTGTCAACAACTTCAACATTTTTAGTTATATGTTTAATAAAATTATATGCATAATCAAAAAAATATACAACATACACATTTATAAACTACTTCCACCCTGAAAAATAAAAAAACACTACTTCCTTAATTTCGCCTAATAATTTTTTTTTTGTTTGTTTCATATAATTATTTTATGTTTTGTTAGTTTTAATGTGAACATAACACCCTGTCCATCCATGAAAAATGATGATGAATACTGCTAAAACTATGCTCAGAAAAATTATTATGAAATTTGATTAAATCAATCTTTGAAAAGAAAGAAAATCTTTACAATTTTCATTGATTCTATACTTTTTATTAATTTCTAAGTATAACACCATACAGTTTTCATTCAATCTACTATTAATTCATTGTCTATTTTTAACGGTATGTACTATTCAAGAATTGGGGAATTTTGACCCAAAAAAAAAAGAATTGGGGATAGGATAAAGAACGAAATATATTAGGTATTTTTTTTTTTATCTTTCAACAACCGTTGTGTAAAAGTTAACCCGATGTGTAAAATTCTTTAAAACATCGAACAAAGATAACTATTTCTTAATGGAGATATTTGATCCAACAATAGCATACTGATAATGCTTTGAAATATGATTAAATTACTTTTTTAATTAAAGGAAATACTGTATGACTAAGTTACATATGATCTTTTAAATGTTGACAGAAATCGAACCTGTAATTTGCTGGCTACATGTGCTCTTGTTAGGTCTTTCATGTTCATGAATTCTAAAATCTTCTTAGGCGTAGCCTCTTCAAAATTATATCAAACAGCAAAAGATAGAACATATTAATATACACATCTCCAATCATTTTGAAAATGCAAGTAATAAAGAGAGTTATAATTTAAGTGTTTAGTATAACTGTAACTTCAATTGTAAATGTTAAAAAGACTAACCCAACACTTTACAATTGAAGTTATAAAATTGAAATGATCAATTTCAAGACCGATGTGTCGGATGGCTTGCAAAAACAGTTATGAAACGAATTTCGACCAAACACCTCCATAACTTTTTAATTGTTCTTTATTTTTTACTCTACTTATAAAATTAATTTAAAATATGAGGGCTACTAAACAACTTCATATTTTTTCAAAAGACTTATTATTTGTTTTCTATTTATAAAGTTCATTTAAAATATATTTAGAATTCTAGTTAGAATTTTTCACTATCTCTTGTAACATAATAAACATATAACCTGATATATATATTTTTATAGCAGTATATTTTTTTATTAACACAAATGATAATTGAAAAATAATCTAACACGTAAAAAATAGGTTGCAAACTTTATGATTACTACAAAGAGTGATTTGTTAGATAACTTTTTAAAATAAAAATAATCAACAAGTATTATCTTAATTTTGTTTTTTACCTTTTTATGTTACAAGCAACTTTACATTTTTTCCAAACATCCTATTAGTTTTGATTTATTTATAAAATTAATTTAAACATAAATATTTGGGATTCTATTATATATATCCATTACAAAATAAACATATAATTTCAAGTACATTTAGAATTTTTTTAATCTTATGCTAGTAATATATTATGGATGAACACGAATATAATTTAAAAAAATAACCTAACACTCAAAAGATAAACTAAAAATTTATAATAATTACTATCAAAACCAAGTTGTCAGATGACTTGTAATAACAAAATATGAAAACAGTATTACCTTAAATTTCTTTTACTATCATATTTTTCTTCTAAAAGTTTGTAAAAAAATATTTAAAATATATAAATATATAATTTATGTAAATATTTACTTTACGATAAAATATGAAATCAATCGAAGGACTTCGTATTTATTTCAAATATCCTAATAATTTTTCTTTACTTGTAAAATTGATTTAAAACATATATAATTTATATTCTGTTTAACTACTATTGCATATTCGTTACGTATAAACATAAATATATATAACTTAAAAACCTATTTATAAAATTTTATCTTCTAATAGTCATATATTCTTTTGATGATGAACACAAATGGTAATGTACAAATTAATTCAACACATGAGAAATAAGAGCATCTCTATTGAAAATCTTTCAATAGGTACCTCAACAAAAAAAAAAAAAAAAAAAGATAGAACAGAAAGAAAAATTGGTTCGAATCTGAAGAACTTTGAAAAAAGTCAAATGGTTAAGTAATATTTCAGTGAACACGAACGGTATATATCCAGCAAGTGAAAAGATAAGTGAAGAACTTCATATACGTAATCACGATCCATGTGTCGAATGGCTTGCAAAAAGAAAGATTATGAAGAGAAATCGACCAAACAATCTTAATTAGTCTACTTTTAATATCCTATTATTATTATTTTTCTAATCTTATAAAAGGGTTAAAAAAATTTAATTTTGTACTTAAAACTGAAACTAGTGTATGTACTCATGCTTTTCGTAATTAACATATAATTATAAATAGTCTAAAAGATTATTATTTGCTCATCCTATATAATGAATATTTCAATGAACACAACTAATAACGAAATCAAATAATCTAACATGTGAAAGGATAAGGGATTTTAAGAAGACGTGAAATACTTACTATGAACACCAATGTGTTGAATGGCCTTGAATAATAGATGCTCACGGATTCTTGTCCATTTGATCTTAGACTTCGCTGAGGTTTCTTCACGAGAACCTTTTGCTGGAGAGTCTTTTGGTGGAGAGTCTTCTGACTCTTCGTCTTCTGCTGGAAAACTTTCTGCTAGAGAGTCTTCTAGTAGATAATATTCTGCTGGAAAGTCTTCTGACAGAGAATCTTCTGCTGGAGAATTTACTGGTGGAGAATCTCCATCATATGAATTGCTGATTGAATCTGCCGTCTGGATTTTCTTTGAACCATCTGCATCGTCTTCACATATATTATTCAAATTAATATCATAATATATATATATATAATTAATCATAAAACATATCTAGATTCAAACTGTATAAAGACTGCAAGAAGGAGAAATAATAAGATTGTTATTATCGTTCACATCATATTCGTCATTAATTGATACGAAATTACCGCAGTTTAAAGTCTCTTCCTCAATTTCATTGTTCATGTCTGCTGACATCACTGTAATAGTCAATCGAACTTATTAGCATTAATTAAGACTGTAAGAAAACAAGAGTTACGAACAAATAGAATAACAATGCACTAGAAAATCTTGCATATCAATTAGTTTTTGGCCTCTAATGTTATTTCTTCTTCTTTTCGACACTAACCTGAGATTCTTCTTTGCTCGGGTAGAAATTTTTTCTTCTCAAATTTTTTCTTATTGCATTATGTTTTTTATATATGTGACATGTATGTATCATATAAAGGATTACATTGGCTTTACCATTTCTACAATCGAATACACAGTTACTGAGCTGTCATATAGCGTGTTATGTGTATACACTAGTATACAAAGAAAAAACTTAATATATTTATCTTTTTTTAGGCTACTCCCCATTTTGTAAAAGCAGGTCCTTTTCATATAGGAAAAAAGAAATGTTTCTCATTTTTGGGTTAAATATTACCAAAAAGAAATATATACAGGTAAATTTTAACTAATACTGTCAAAAAATATTTATTAAAATTAGTTACAGGCAAGATTTCTCATTTGTTTCTTTGTCATCACTACTAATTTCTCATTTTAAACCAATTACAGGCAAAATTTCTCGTAACTTGTCCTTTTGTTAATTATAGGGAATTAAAATTATACTACTAATTAACCCCAAAAAAAACAATAGTTATCCACTTCTCCTTCTTTACCATTTCATCTGATTTAATTGGTTTAAAATGGAGTGAAAAGCAAATTATGGTATAATAGGACAGAAAAAGAGGTTATATTTTTAATTATTAATTAATTTAAAAGATATCATTAGAATAAATTGTTGATAAGAAAGCATTACAATAACTTGTTGATAGGAACATCAAAAAAAAGATAATCAACCTATCAATAAGTGGAAAAAAAACCTTACCAATAACAGGCAAATTTCCAAATTATTCACCAATATTGAACACCATTCAGACCAGTCCGCATATGATAATCGGTGATTACAATATCATCAATGTTGTTTGCATTGACTCATTTGCTGTCATTACTGTAATTTCCCCAAATGATTTATCTACAAAAATAATATTTAAAATATGAGATCATTTTGTTTTAACAACAAAAAATATGAAAAATTTGAATACAAAAAATAGATATATATATATATGCTTTTGAATTTGGACAAGTTTTTACTAAAAATTCCTTTTTTCTTTTTTGACAATATTTTTCATCAAATTATGTTTATAAAATTGTTTATGATTTAAGAAATCAGTCGATGAATTCGAATAATATTTTTTTCTGAACATATAATTTGGATTAAAACTTATGTTGGACGGTAATAGGTTTCTATCTATAAGGAGTTAAATTATTTTAATGGGATCGGAAATAATTTTGTCCTTCAACCCTTGAAAAAATTGTAAGAATAATTTGTGAAACTAAGCACAGATTTTTCTTTGCAAACAGAAATATTTATATGATGTGAGATACTTACCCAAATACATATGTGCATTTCAAATAGGTTTACATGAGAGCAGGGCAGTTTAATTGTGAGTAGCTATGACACTAATGGTCTAGGGTTTCCAAACAACTTTACATCAAAATATATAATGAGATTCAAACATTATTATATATATATATATAAGATCAAACAGACGTCTATGTTCACAAGAACATTAATTTTGGGGACAACAATTCCTTTGAGAACCTAGATTATTAAATTTTTGGATCTCAAACATATATGTTTAGTGGCTAGAATTTTTTTTAAAAACTTATTAGGTAAAAATCATATAGAAACATATATGTGTGGGATTGACAAAATCCAAATCTTGTGCGAAAACGAGCTAGGAATTCAAATTGTAGCCAAAACATTCAGAATAATGATTATACCTTTGTAGCTCGAGGTTGTAATCATAGTGGGGATAATAGAGAGAAAAATAGGATCATCATCCACAACCAGAGTTGTGATGTTCATCACATGAGTGTTTGGAAGGTAAAAAGTAGATCAAAGGCCATTTCGTTTTAGGTTTATATTAGTATGTCAAATAAATGAATAAAAAATTTACTAGTCACTAAATGAATAACTTTTTTGTATAAATTAGGTTTTTCTTCTATGTAGAGTATATACTTATGCAACTCGTTGTGACTATTTTGAGCTCCGTGTATAATTTTTTTTCAGTTTGGGTTTTCTCGAATCTCTCGTCATTTGGTTCAGCTGATCAGCTCTGGCATCTAGAAGTTTTCTGCAAAGTTCGTAGTTGTGTGTTTAAGTTAATTAATCCAAATTTAGTTTCCTTGGTTCTTGTGATTTCATGTCTTCCTTTCTCGGGTTCATGTCTCTGGAGATTTCATGTTATTCAACAGAAAGAAGTAAAAAGAAAAGAAACAGATAAATATAACCCTTTTTTTTTACATTGAGAAAAAATGAAAAAGGATGTTTTATGAGTCGATCATAATAAAATGAACAAAAAGCAACAAACTGAGGTCACCCCAACGGCAAAACTCTCCGGCCGACGAGCCTTGAGAGAAAAAAAAAAACCAAACCAAAACAAGAAAAAGAAAACGCAAAAGAGAAAAAGAGAGGAAGACCCGAAAACCCTAACAAGATTCACCACAGAAGAAGCTTCTCCTGCGAAAACACACCTAGTAACAACTTTCTGAACACCGGAGAAACTCGCCGGAAAAAAAAAAGAGAGAAAGAGTTAAAGAAGAAAAAAAAAAGACTTGAGAGAATCATTTCCATCATTTTGATTTCTTGAGATGAACGGTGGTTCTGAAAACCGCGTCGTCACGGACAAAACTCCACCAAAGGTAAGAGAGTGGGATCCCTGCAGCTCGCCAAAGAGCGTGAGCATCGACGTACCCTTTGTACGGAGGGAAATCGAGCATTCTAAGGCACATCGTGAGTATGCTCGAGAAAAAGAAAGCTCTCAGCTTCCACTTCGATGGATGCGACGTTAAAGCCGCCCATATTCCCCACACCACTAGCTCCACTCCTCCTATTGCGAATATAACTTTCCGGTGAAGCCCTGTAACAGAGAGAGAGATGCATTTGAAGAAGAAAAAACCGCATTTCGTCTTTCAGAATCTTATACAAGTATATATCCATCTTTACCTTCATCGAGGTTGTAGAAGTTGAGGTAGAGAATATGAGTTGCTACAACTGCAAGAATAGGTGCAGTAACCATGATTATGGCAGACTGGTCGTGTAGACTGAAAGACCTGATTATCGCTAGAATAAGCGAAAACCCGGCTAATACTGTAGCTGAAGAGTAATCTAGCCTCTCTGTCAGATCAACATCTCTGCAGTTTGAAACGTTGAGTGTTAGATGAAGTTTTGACAATTCCTAGGTAACACATGGAGATCGAAGAGATGAATGTTATTACCTGCTGTGACAGACGCCACTCCAGAAGAGTGAGTTCATGACGATGACGGCGTAGATATGCAACAACCCGTTGTACTCGTAGTAGGTTTTCCGGTTTGGCTGGAGAGGCAAGTTGTAGTAAACGAGGATGAAATATGAGACCCATCCATGGAACTGTATTGCAAGGTCGAGAGCAGAGAAAGCAACAGAGACAGGTTCCTGAAAGTATATTGAGGAACACAAAACTTTGAAAACACCACTTTTGTTTCTTAAAGATTTGCAAAGAGAGGATCATTCTTGATGTTACCTGAATGCCATAGACATGTTTGAGTGGCCATTTACCGAAATACTTGGTAGGTTTCTCTCCGTTTCTCCTCCTCTCTTCTTCTCTCGTCATCATGCATTCGTACTGACAATCACTTTGGCAATCCCACTGTTTCCATCGCAGGTAAAGCGGCTCTTGCATGTACCAAGGACCGTCAATGGCTTTCCCATCAGCTGAGAATTTACATTGGTGGAAGCAGTTATCCCCAACGCATCCAGTTTTCTGACATTGATCAACACACGACCTGGAAACCCAAATCAGCTGAGCCAAATCCAAAAAAGAAAAAAGATAAAGCAGCCTGAGAGAGTACACTAACAACAACAGTTATGAGGAAACAGAGCAATCTACTTCAAACTATACAATCGTCATAAAAAGTTAACTAAGCTCAAAACATATATCACTGAGTTGGTAAACAATATCTTCATATCTTTCCCTCTTCTCTCATGAAGCTGTTACATGGCCTACAAAGCAAACGACAGTTTCCACTGAACAAAAAAGGAAAACAAAACACCTAACTCCTCAATACCACTTGCAGCTCCAAGTCCCTTTCTAGTTTTCTTGCCTTTTTTAATCTTTACAACAAAAACAATGACCCTACTACAGTTATCTAATCAAAGGAGGGGGACTTGTACAAACACAAGAAAAAATTGATAATGACTCTAACGTGTCCCAACACTCACCACAAGACTTGCAAAATTTATCTGGAAAAAAAGTCAACCACACAGTTCTAAGCACTTCCCTCCCCACCATCTCCTATTTCGTGGCTCTAATCCACTTCACAAAAGCCCCTCTTTTGAAAATCCATCCATACCTAACCAGAAAAAAAATCTGAAAACTTTTTTTGTTCTTTCCCTAAAAGGAATCAAATTTCGCACAAAACATAAAAGAGGGATTAAACAGCAGTAAGTTCTTGTATGAACCCAGAGTACCACAACAGTCTTGTAGTTTCTGCAATCATTGAATTCTAACGGTCACAATAATCAAAAAACCTAGCGCCGGCATTTATAAAGAATTAAAAACGATCATCGAAAGCTAATTAAGAAAGGGGAAGTTAATTAATTTCTGCAAACGAATTTTAGATATGAAAAAACCAGAGGACAGTCCTGTATCAGAAATCGATCTAAGAGAAACACCAAAAAAAGAAGAAGAGAGAAGAAAGAAGCGGAGGGCTTACTTGTAAAGAGGATCAGCATCTCCTTCACTAGCTTCAAGTGCCGTAACAAGACATGAGACAGCAGCGATAAGCAGAACCCATCGCAGATTCCGCGCCATCCGATTACCAAAAAGTAAGAAAGAAAGAAAAAAAAAACGAAACAACAAAAGAAGAAGAGGAGGAGCTACTACTCGGTGGGATATTCTAGAGGGACGACTTAGTCGGTGGATGGTCGGAGAAATTTAATAACTTTCGGTGAGGCAGCTTCTTCTTGTCCATCAAATCGCGGAGACAGGTGGATGCATAGAGCGAGAGCGAGAGAGAGAAAGAGGGAGAGAGGAAGAGATCTCGCTGCGGGAAAAGAGAGAGAGAGAAAAGGAGAGAAATCCCGTGAGGGTGAAGGAGGAAGGGAAGAGAAGCGCGTGGCGAACGAGAGAGAGACGCGTGGAGCACTGTAATAAAAGAGAATTATCACAGACGTCGATAACACCTCAACGTCTTCTTTCTTCCGTCACTTCGATTATTCCCATTTTGTTTTTCTCAAATATTTTCTTTTGTCATCATATATATATACCGAAAAAGAGTTTAGCTGTGGCACTGTTAAAATTCTTAAGGCCATTTTATTACTGTTATTACCATCAGTCACACATGTAAACATGTCTGTAACATATTCGAGGTTGTATCTATTGGCATTATGATGTCACATTTTCATTGCATGTGTGGTGATGACTGGTGAAGTGAATCCAAAACTAAATCTGAAACTTTGTATGGTTCTCTAATCGCTTACTTGCAAAACAAATGTTTACCACCACCGAATCTCCATATATAATACCCCACACACACACACAAAAGAAACAAATCAAAATCAAATAAATACGTGCTTCGGGCGAATACATGACAGCACGATGTTTCACATCCTCACGTTCAAGTTAGTGCGCGTGTGAAAGAGAATTGGTCCCCGAAATTTTGGGAGAAATAAATTTTCTTTGATTAACTGCTTTTCTCTGTTACTTTGTCCCAAGTCCGAACACTACACACCAGTCCCTGCCCAAATAAATAATGATTCTAAAGTCAAACAAATCCGTTTTTTTTTTTAGATTTTTAAAGTTGCGATCAATCAAAAGTATCTTTAATCATCGAGTCCTTAAGTTTTATTATCCATTGTTATTAATTACAACAACTATCTATCCTGGAAGAGAAGAAATATTTTCTGAAAGCGTAGTAAAGAAAATCTCAAACATGATACGGAGTATTATGTTACACGTCGTAATTAGTGATTTATAAGTACGAGGAAGATTTTATTCCACTTTCCCAAACTCGTATCTTTTCTTAACAGATTTACCAATTTTTATTAACTACGCCAAACTAATTGGAACCTTAAAAAAAACATGAAAAAGATGTTTAAAATAAGCCTATACTATTAAACATTGAAATTTAGGGAATGCTGAACTTTTAATTTGAATACAATTGGTTTAGTTTTTCATTTTCTTTATCAAAACTTCGTCATTTTCTGGTGTATATCATCCATCTACAACGTCGGTCAAATAAATCATTAAATTATATATCTCGTAATCACATTTCACAAAGAAACAAGTGTAAGATATGTGTCAATTCACACATTTACTTCCTCAAGCTGTAATTTGTTTTTATATGTTCACCCCCATTAATTTTTCCCCCCTTTTTAAGGTCACCCATCAATTTTTTTTTTATTCATATATCTTCTATCTTCTACAGTCATCTTTTTTCTGACGAAAAATATTTAAATTAAAAAATAATAAAACGGCTGAATCAAATTTTATTCAAAACTTAAAAATATTCTTATCATCAAGATTGATAATCGGAGACTGAAATTACAGCCTGTAGATCGGCGAGACACTCCGCCGGGAGAGAAAGGAATGTGTTCATAAACAAATCGTCGACAGTCTCCACTTTCGCCACGCCGACGAGCCTACACTTTCCTTCTCCGTCCATTCTCTCTCCTCTCCCTCTCTTACTCTCTCCTATCGATTCCTCCGTCGTCAACACCGTCTTCACCTCTAACGCCGGGGCTCTGTAAATCCCTCCCCCCGCCGTGAAACAGAACTTCGCCGTGAACTCCAGCTCCACCTTCAAATCAATCAAATTCAACCCCAATTTCAAAAGTAGTCCAGCATTAAAACAGAGGACTTTATCATCGGATCATCAGAATTTTCACCTTCCCGGATTCTGGGTCGACGGTTCCTTGGAAAAACTCCGGAGAGATATCGATTTTAAGAAACGGCGGTAGTGGAAAGCCGAGAAATTTCGTGGTTTGGCTAGTTAGAGAAGGAATGTAGAGAGTGCCCACGTCGAAAGAAACAGAAAGTTCCGAGTTTGATGCATTATTGTCGCCGCCGATGATTTTCCGGGCGGCTCCGGTGCCGGAACCTCCTCGAGGAGAATATTCGAAATCGGGATATCTGGAGATGCCAAGCTTACCTGTTCCAATAGTCTTGAAACTGACACTGTAGAGATTACTGGGAAGCTGTGCTGTGTTGGGTTCAGGGTTTAGGGAATTCGAAATTAGTTTGATTTGGTTTGGGGATTTGTGGTTAATAACGTATCTTTCTGGGGATTTGTGGATTGTTGTTAATGGGTTTAACTTTGTTGAAGCCATGTCCACTCTCACTGTTTCTACAATTTGCTACGATGAATCAATTTGATTAACGAGTGATCAACTGAACAAAATCATCAATCTTATCGATACATTTTTATTTGTGTGGCTAGTTTCTGATGTTCATTCTTCGCCTCGCAATATCGAGTAATGGGCTTAAAGGAAAATTATATACATAGGCCCAATAGTATCATCTCATTCGTTTTTGGGCTCAACCTATCAAAATCAAGTGTACATAACCTGAAGTTTAAGGGCTTTTTGGCCAAGTTTACCAATTCATGAAAAGGAAGTTTTATTAAGTTAGCTAAGCAAGGCTCCTAATATTGGTATAAGAGTTTTTCTGATTTTAAGTTACTATCTGATGGTTAGTGTGTTAATTTAAGAAATCTTATGGTAGATGGAAATATGGTTGAGCTGTAACTTGTAAGCTGTAACTAAAAGAGTCATCACTATTAGTTGGAAATTGGCTGTATGGATAAGTTAGAAAATGAAGATAATATGTGATAATAATATTAAATTATTGAATACAGTTTTATCTTTTGAGACATTATTATAAGATTTGCGTTTGCGCCACAAACACCTTGACACACACCAAAGGGAAGACTTGGCCATAAGCCCCTTTTATTTGGTCATGCAAAACATGTTTCTAAGTGAGTCTCTCTCCACTATCCAGCATCCACTCAAACACCCAAATTATGTTTTTATAATATTAGAAAAGCTCTAAAAAAAATACTATCACAAATTCACAAACATGTGTAAATCTATTAATCAAATTAACCATCTTAATATATCTAAAATATGTTCTTAGAGAGTTTTTTTTCAGTTTAATTTAAAAACATCCGCGGCCGAGTTAAAATCTAGCCAACAATTCTATTTCTTCTAAAGTTATCAATATTGAAACCTTTGTTGATGTATTGCTCGCGGGTTTTAGAACAAGGTAGCATTATCGTTTTACATTTCATAAGACTTTATGTACTGATACATATTACATATCCCTACTTCTCACAATGATAAAATTTTACAATTGTCCAAATGAACGAGGAATAAACCACCTAAATGAAGGTATTGATTGACTGCATGATTATATCATTCAAAATTCCACGGCTAGTTTACCCCCAAAAAAGAAAAACCAACCAAATTGTATTAAAATGAAAGCCACAATAATGGGTTGTTGGTAATTAGTATAATCTTTTTTTTTCTAAAATAAACTCTTAAAAAGAGCCACAACCATTTAAAAATACAAATATATTTTCAATAATTGATACTTTTATAACGTTTCGTGCGCAGTTATGTGTGCATATGAAACACTTAATGGTTGCTTATAATAAGAAGTCAGACTTTTGGCCGTTGTGGAAAATATAAACCTCTAGAATTGGGACTGCTTTTGTAGAATATGGACCGATCTGACTTTGTCAAATTTCATTTTAACCGTTGGTCCTCTCCTCGCTCCTATCGATTACTAATTTCCCGCACGCCATTAACGATAAAGATTCTCATTATTCTTTATCGTCAATTTTATCTAATCTTATTCCCAGCCATACCTTTGCTAACACCATAAAAACACGATTCTAACAATCTCTACATTTTGGGTTTTACAGTATAAGACCTTATACAGAGATATTATGCTAAACTAAAAAAGGACGCTATACCCTTATCACATTCTTATTTTGTCAACTATCACATTCAGTACTTTATATCACTCATAATCTGTTAATTAAAATACATGCCATCGATTAAGTGAATCAGATCCACCATCTGCCATGTTTATATTTGGCTAGATGTTTCTTTTTCACTTTTATTTTGCAAGGTTTTTACAACGTATTTCTTACGTTATTGCTGAAAGGATCAAGATTAGAAATCAGTCTTTGCTAAGCATTTATCACCATATGGAAATTTTAATAAGATGCGATATATAGGAGAGATACATCTTTTATCAAACTTATAAAAACGTATTAGTTCCTTGTGTGCTCTCCCGTCTTCAATGACTCATGATAAGAATTTAATTTTAATATACAAAACAAAATTAGATAGTTGAACAAACAAAATTAGATAGTTGAACAATTTCGATCAATTATATATACATATATAAATTATTCTAATCATCTGCTTTCATTATGTTTTGACTGGTATATACACGACAGGACAACCGATACGATGACAATTGGTTCGAACTTTTTTATCCAAAATATATGAATAATAGAGTCGAAAACACGTTGACAAAAAAAATCTACAACACTGAGTCACTGATGGACCACTTTTCTAAATGAATAAAGTATTTTGTAATGTGAAAGTTTTGAAAGACATAAGTACATAATATCTGAGGTTGATTAAGTAATGATATAAGGTAGTTGGAACGTTGGCTTTTGTGGAACTAATATAACCTACGTGACATTCAATGACGGCTACTTTGGAAGGCTACGTTTCTCTTAACTTCATTCTCCATTTTCCTTAGCTAATACGATATCTTAATTATACTGTATAATATATGCACGAATCTATGATATATAAATTTGAAAAATTAAACCTCTTATGATCAGCGTTAAAACTACATCTTCTACTCAGAGAGAGAGGTTTCTATAATTTATATTTCCCCGAATCTAACATGAATTATATATTTGGTGAAGAAGTATTATAATTCATTGGTCAACTAATCTCACTAGTGTTTCCAGAAAACATAAATCAATAAAGAAAAAAATCCATATATCTTTAACTAGTAGTATTAAAAGAGAAGCTGAGGGTATTATAAGAACTTATAATCCAATTAAATCCTAAGATCTGCTAGTATGACTATTATATTTATTTTCAGTCAAGTAATTTTTTTTTATTTACACATCTTTCTATTTGTTTTGAC